GTGTGACGTCCATTCAAGGCAGTGCATTAAAATGACGTCGATCGAAGCATAGACCTATTGTCTTCGTGCGAATCTTAAAGTCCCTAGTATCCTAATCCTAGGCACATAAATATGCCGGCCTTGACAGTATAGGAACAACAATTTTGAATCTTGTTCCTGCACCTGTTTTTGTAATTAATGTGAGATTTAGTGCCGGTCATTATAGCCTGACCTACAAAAGGATGGATGCAGTTCCTGACACTTTTAGGGCAGAAGTGCTAGATTCCCGCTCACACCCAAGCTAACGTGTAGTTGCTTGTTACGAATCTTTCAGATATCGATCTGCATAAATGATTTGTTTTACATACCCAATTTATACATATTTTTTACATAGTTGATTTTATCTTGACAAAGTTTGTTAGATGATAACTATTAACTCATTTTTAAAAAATCTCTTTTAATTTAAAGAACATTGAGGAGGATAATGCTGCTACCAGCATGCTGGAGGACGCCATTGGAGGTGTAGAGGAAGAGGAAGGGGCCGTGGGTGAAGAAGAGGCAGTAGAGAATCTAGAAGAGAAGGAGGAGGGGGGGGGGGGGGGGAGATGCTGCACAAGTTGTGAAGGGTATTTGTACAGTCGATGGCTTGTTGAAGTGGGGGGAGAGCAAAATTCGAGCTTGCAGGATATCCTGCATGTGCTCCGGGAGCATTTGTATTTTTAAATTGTTTTTCATTGTTCTTATTATTTGTAAAGGATTTTGAAAACAATTTTTTTTTTCTATGACGCAAGATCAAATTTCGCTCTTCCTTCACTTCGACAGGCCTCCTGTTTTACCAATACAAAAATTAAATGTTGAGTAGCCTACATTAAAAAAATGTTTTTGATTACTTTGGCAATATTCGTCTTCATATACAATCGTTTCAAAATACTTTTGCAGTAATGAGTTTTAATGACATCCTCTTTAACCTCAATTTACATTTAGAGTGCAATGCCTTTCCAATTTTTAGAAAAATTCCCTTGATGGAAGTTCTTTGCCATGAGTGTAAACTTGATGAAATTTTTGAGCCAAAGATAAGTAGATTGTAAATGAGAAGCGAGGAGATTTCTTTTATTTGTGTTCAGCACAATTTGTTATTTCAAAAAAATCAAATAAATCTATTCACTTATGATTTCTTAACAACTGGTCAGTTTGCTCTTAATATTTGAACAGGGTTTTTCTTATGCCAAAGAGGTAACGTTGGAATATCATCTAATTGGGGAAAGAGTGTTTAAATGAGAACCATTACTTGTAATGGTAGTGTTTCCCATTTGTAGGCAAAAACAAATTCTATAGATCATGATTTACACCACTTTGTATTTTCTGTCTGCTAAAGAGACACAGCCCCTTTAAAGTTGGTAGCCCTCATTTGCACACCCTCCCCAAAATATTATATTGCATGGGTAAAGCTCTTTGGCAGGAGAATACACTATACACTTCATGGAATTTGATGAAAGGAGTGCAAATGAGAGCTGCTGCCTTGAAGAGGAGTTTTTAGTTGGTAGCCATTAACTACATTCAAGATTCAAGATTCAAATAAGGTTTTATTCATGACTTGTCAAAAAGTCCAAGGACTAAAAATGCAAGTTTACATCAATATAAAAAGCATTCAAAACATGTGTACATATACATATAAAGATAACATAGCAAATGAGAACAAATATATAACAATGAATAAATGTTTAAATCAAAACATTAAAGTAGTAACAAACAAAAAGGATTTTTTTTTTTTTAATTAAAAAAATACAACGTATAAAATATTGCTAACGAAAATGAATAAATGTTTACATTAAAACAAATAAAGTGTATACAGATACGTGAGTTCAATTAAATTAACTGTAACATTGGAAAATTGTGATAAAATGCAATACAAATTCCATTCAGAAGGTATAGTGAGTATTAAAAAGTATTAAAAAGTATTAAAATTGGAGTATTGGCAGTGTGCTAAATGTGATATGAGTACATTATAATATATAAACATATTGCACATGAAAACAATGGAATTCTATAGGTATTATTGGTCACAGTAAGAATAGCAGATAATTAAAGAATGTTGTACTGTAAAACCTCATCAGAGGAGAAAGAGGTGGAGAGGAAGAAGAGAGGAAGAGGCAGAGAGAGCAAAGAGAGAGAAAGAGAAAGAGACAGAGACAGACAGACATAGAGCTGAGAGAGAGGGAATTGGAGTGAAATAAAAATAGAGGGGAAAGACCAGAACTGAAGAAGAGAAAAGAAAATGTGAAAAGTAGCAAGTTCGAATATAGAAAAGGGATGAGAGTGTAAGAGGAAGGATAAAAGTACATGCAATATCAAAATACGAATGAATGGAAGAACCCGCTATTCCAATCATCATGACAGTTAATATTGCACATAATTATATTGCTGAAATACATGACATACAACATACTGATAATTATAATAACCAATTATAATTTATCATTAATTTATCATTATTTAAAAGAAATGGAATTCCTTAAGTGTTATTGGTCACAGTAAGAAAAACATGATTATAGAATGTTGTACTGTAAAATATCATCAGACGAGAAAGAGGTGGAGAGGAGGGAGAGACAGAAAGTGAGAGAGAGAGAGAGAAACAGAGAGGAGGAAGAAGAGAGGAACAGGCAGAGAGAGCAAAGAGAGAGAGAGAGAGAGAGAGGGAATGGGAGTGAAATAAAAATAGAGAGGAAAGACCAGAACTGAAGAAGAGAAAAGGAAATTTGAAAAGTAGCAAGTTCGAATAGAGAAAAGGGATGAGAGAGTGAGAGGAAGGATAAAAGTACATGCAATATCAAAATAATTTATGTTAACTTTATATTAAAATGAGCTGTGAGGGACACATTAGCATTTGTACACATCAATATCCTGCTTCTTGTAATGGCCAGCATTAAACTGATCGAGTCTAGCTGTACTCGGCACAAAACCACTGTCCAGTACAAGGGTCTGAAATATCAGACTATTTTGTGTGTTTTTTTCCTTCTCCACTTGTTGATATAATTCCACCTTGAGGCTAGTATTTATTCTTAACTTTTAAGAGGCGATTTTAGTTGATATTGCTCTTGTTTACCATAAGATTTGCACCATACTTTCAGAGCAGTTTTTAGATTACTTACACCATTGTTTATTTAATACCAATGCAAATTATTTTCAGTTGAGTACTAATATTTACTGCCTTAGTATGCTCTAAATATCTGAAATATATCTGTTACATCCATTGGAATTACAAGTGTACTGCATAATACTTTAGTGTCATTTTTTTCTTGAAATTTAAATAGTAATAGATAATATGTGAAAGATATGTGGAGACTTTGAACACTAACGAGAGGTAAAAGTCTCTCGTAACTTTATGAGAGACTTTTGACTTAAAGAGAGACTTTTATGTGTAGACTTTGCTTTATGAAACAGAAAAGTCTCTCATAACTAAACTAAAGTCTCTCATAAGTAGGACACTTAAGAGAAATTTTGGGGTTTATGTCTAGACATAAATTCTTTATGAAACACCCCCCTGCTATAGGCATGAGACTTGGTAGCAGGGGCGGATCCAGCCGGCGACAAGAGGGAGGGGGGGGGGGCCAAATCTTGAGAAAAAGTTTGGCGCCGACTTAGCCGACCGGTGAATAAGGGGAGGGGGGGGGGGGGGGAAGAGCACATATATATATATCTTTCTAGTATTTTTTGAGGAAAAATTCAGTGCCGACTCAGACGATCGGTGAATAAGCGGGGGGATGGGGGAGATACAAATAGCCCATTTCCTTTCGTAACTACACTTGACTTGTAACTGTTATCATTCTAGCCCTTTTCCTTTTGGAACTACACTTGACCTGTAACTCAGATGGCGGCCATTTTGGATTTGACCAATATGACCAGTATAGCAGCAGCAAGGAGACCTCAAATCGATGAAAGAACATCATAATCAGATTCTCTGACCCCGAAAACCGCCATAAATAGATTGTTAACATACTAGCCCATTTCCTGCCATAACTACACTTGACTTGTAACTCAGATGGCGGCCATTTTGGATTTGACCAATATGACCAGTATGGAAGCAGCAAGGAGACCTCATATCGATGAAAGAACATCGTAATCAGATTCTCTGACCCCGAAAACCCCATAAAAAGATAAAGTTTTAACATACTAGCCCATTTCCTTCCATAACTACACTTGACTTATAACTATGAGATGGCGGCCATTTTGGATTTGACCAATATGACCAGTATGGCAGCCCCAAGGAGACCTCAAATCGAGTGAAAGAACATCATAATCAGATTCTCTGACTCCCAAAACCCCATAAATAGATAAACCTTTAACATACTAGCCCATTTCCTTTTGAAACTACACTTGACACTGTAACTCAGATGGCGGCCATTTTGGATTTGACCAATATGACCAGGATGAAAGCCCCAAGGAGACTTCAAATTTTACTCAGATTCTCTGACCCCCCAAACCCCAGAAATATATAAATTGTTATGATACTAGCCCTTTTCCTTTTGAAACTACGCTTGACCTTTAACTCGATCAGATGGCGGCCATTTTGGATTTGCCCAATATGGCGGTCACAGAGGGCGCCCTTCTTGGCGTCCGGCAAAGAGATTCGATCATACACGTATGTCCTCCGTAGGAGGACTAGAGGGCCAACTAAAATCGTGACCTTTGACATTTCATAGGTTTTGCATTGGATGCATTATGGGGGTTTTGTCCGATTTGAACGACGGTTTTGGAGGGTCAATGAATATTCATGAGCAATGACGTCAAAAATACGCCAACTTCTGTTTGTTGATTGGCCATCGACAAAATGTTTTATGTATTAGGTCATGCATAAAACATTTTTTGCATTCCCAGAATTCCCTACGATTTGACCACGAAAATGGCGGTTGTATGAACTGCAACTTTCAAGTTATTCAATTACGAACAATGAAACATTTTTCTTTTAAGTGAATTTCTATTATAATAGAAGTTTGTCAAGTACATCTCAGTGAAGCAGAAAATCTTCAGGCGAACATTGACATCGAAGTGATACCCTATGATATCAAGAAAAGTAAGTAAAGATCCATTTTGTGTGAAGGTCTCTGAAATGATTGTGATGTGTTCGTCATTGCAGTGAGGGGCTCTCCGCATTGTCACAACGTATTACCCGGTTAACCCCCTACCCCATCCTCTTTTCTTTCTTCTGACCAAAGAATATTAACTGATTGAATGAACTCTAATATAAGTCATCGACGGTAATATTTTTAGAAACAATCAGGATTTTACCGTAGGTTATTTCATTAGAGCACATCTCATAATTTTAAGTTCAGTTCATAGCTTGATTACCGATAGTAATCGGTCGTAGATGTGGACCTGTTGTAGACTGCGCAAATGGCTCATTGCTAGTCCAAGCCGACGAGATCTCGTCGAGCGGTTTATGATTTTCAATTCGCCGGTGCTAGCCGGCTGTAACACTCCACCAAGAAGCGACTGCGTTTCCTGAGCTGGCGTGGCTATAACTTTACAGTGTGTTACTGTAAAGCCTAGACCTCTAGCTGTAGACTAGTATTCATAGCATAGTCTAGCCTGAATTTTCTGTCTCTTTCGTTCGTTAGCCTCTGATTTGGGTAGGGTCGGCTCCTCTCTTTAGCTGACCCTACCCAAATCAGAGGCTAACGAACGAAAGAGACAGAAAAATTCGGGCTAAAGCTAAGCAGAGCCTAGGCTAGGCTAGGTCTACCGTCTAGTCTAGATCTAGCACTTAACTACTATAAACAGCATTTAACCCCGTATCTAGTATAGACCTATATCTAGGGCTAGATTCTAGGCCTAATGCATTCTAATTTTAAAAAAAAGACTAAATAGACCTAAATGCCTGGTTTAGGTGGGTCAATGTGGAAGTTATGGAGGGGGGGGGGGGGGGGGGTGCACAATCATTTTGTGTCCCCTTATTCAGATGTGGCATAGGGACGGGTCTAGATGTAGGTCTAAAGCCCCCTACTAGTAGGGTCTACTAATAATATTAAAAATAGGCAATTAGATCTAGATCTATACCTTGTGTTATGCCATAGCTTAGCAAAGACTTCCATAGCCATGGGTCTAGGCTCATTTTGCTCCACTACTAGACTAGTCGCGCGCATGTGTCATTATTGTGATCCAGGTCCAGATTCAGCTTAGTTTGAATGTAGATCTAGGCTAGATCTACCAACAACAACAAAAACAAAACAAAAAAGGTATCTCCTCCTCCCCCCCCCCCCCCTCCCACTTCCCCTGATTTCACTCTTAGTTATGTCATTGTGCCTTGTTTGAAATAATTGGTTATTTTCAGGATTTTATGCCACCCCTTTTATGTTGGTGAGAATTCTGGATCCAACCCTACATATGACATGGATATTTCTTTCTCTAGGACATGAACAAAGTTATAAACTGATAACTAATACATGCATTTGATATTAGCAGGAACCTTACTAAGTTTCTGTTTTCTTTTAATTGTAGAACCTATGGAACAAAGAAGCAGATAATGATCACAGAAGTGCAACAAAGAGCACCAGGACCTGATCATCAAATGTTATGGTGTAGATCTAATCAGGAACAAGACACCTATGTTGAACTCTGGCAAGGTATGTTTGTATGAAGTTCGAAAATATTCAGGCTGTATAATCTAAGCCCATGCGAACACCGCACTCGACTTGGACTATATACAAAGATTTGGGGAACTGTCATCTTGTGTTGCATTATATCTGGTAATTCTCATTTATTCTCTAGCTTTATTTAGGTGACAAACTATGGTGTTGCTACAGTTTATTCTCTCAGCATATTAAAAGACATACTCAAAGGCAGTTTTTCCTAAATATTACATTATATCTAACAAACTTTTGTTCACAAAAGTCTAGCAAATAATAACTTAAAATAAATTGGAAATTACTTTTAAAATAATTGGAAATACATCTAAACCTTTACTCTTCTCTAAAAAAGGCCCTATCAGATAGACATAAGTTTATCATTTTTTAGTAAAATTAAAATGCAAGACCTAAACAAAAGTGGGGAGGTACTATTTTTGAACATCCAATATAATGCAGCAGTTTTAATCTTATTTGATTTCTCCTCTCTTTTTGTTTTATTATTCAGGTTGTCCCATGCAGAAGGTTTGATACCCAGGCTTCTTTTGTACAAGTCCCTAGTCCACCCTCATCTTGAGAACTGTTCCGGTGTCTGGGATCCCTACAACATCTCAGATATCCAGGACGCTACTTCACAATGGGGACCACAAGAGAAGCAGCAGTTTGACTGAGATGATCAGCACCTTTTAGTTGCCTACTATATCTACAACTACAAAGCACTCTGCAAGAAGACTGGGAATGGTGCACAAGATAGTCAATGGTCTCTCCGCTCTTCCTTGAAAATTTTCCCACTGCACTACTTATACCTACTTGCGCCCTCTATATAGCAAACAATGCCTAATCTGTGCCTGTTGGTCCCCCATGATCCTCTTTTTCTTATATTAATTGAGAGCTGATTTGATGAGATAACCACCTGTCAGTGACCTTGCAGGGTGGTCTTATCCCCCTGGCCAAACTAGTACAGACGGGCTTTAACAAATCACGAGCAGGAAGTACCATGACATGACCCTCCAGTTGCACCAAGCCAGAAGCGACATAGGTAGACAAGTTTGTATTTGCCCAACACTCTGTCCCAAAGTTAATGGAACTGACTTCCAGCAAATATAGTGCATGCTGACAGTCCAGAGAACTGTCAGGACTACTTCTGAGGCATCTATTCTCCTTATCCCACTTAGAAACAATCTGTCTTCCTCACACCACTTGTAATCTTTAGTATTAGTTCATCTTTGTGATAGGCTACAACACCTTTTGAAGATTACCAGAAGAAGAAGAAGAAGAAGATATATCGAGGATCATGAAAGTAATCATTTGTTCTTTTAAATGCGTGTACATGTAACATAGTTTTTTTATATTTAATCTTAAGTCAAGTTCTGACAAAAATATGAGGGATGCTGAACTGGATAGTAAATTGTAGGGGGGGGGGGATAAAATGATGTAGTTCAATAGTAAGACTGTATTAATATAATTAATATTAATAATAATAAAAATATTAAAAATAGTAACAATAATGACAATGATCATGATAATAGCAGTAATAATAATGATAATACAGGTAGTAGTAAAAACAACAACAATAATGTCCAATGTAAGATAAAGTACTCATAAAACTCAGTATATACCTGTGCTTTACATAATAAAATAGCATGTTGATATTATTGGAATATTTTTTTCCTCAAAATCTACAGTAAATTTTTACAACTGAAAGATTTGAATTCAAGAGACAGCACCCCCCTCCCCCCATCCATTTGTCATCATTTTGTTGATGTCATGTTGGATTTAAAAAGACTTTATAGAAACAAAATATGTTGATAAATGAGTTCATAAATGTTAATAAATCAGTTAATACTGCTGAATTCTGTTCTTTTCATTTTCTTATTTTGTGAAATATATGTGATGATGCTGGTGATTATGATGATGTAGGCACTCTGTAATGATAATGCTGTATGAATGAGGTGAGATGGGGGCTGATGCAGTCTTGTGTAGAATTGAGTATGGTGTTCGACCTTTTGATGTTTGTTTATATCTGGCATCAGCGAGATAGATTTAACCATCTTTCCTAATGAGAGAGAAAGCGGAAATGTAACAAGAGAGTGGGCAAGACTAATGTATAAATGCAGTATAAAAAATGGTTTACAATAAAGATGAGGGGGGGGGGGGGGTTAAATAAAGAATAAGTCGATGCCGAAATGATGAAAGCATAGGTAATTGGGGTAATAGAGCCTATGGAAATGTCACTATTAGAAGGGGTCTCTGTATTGAAGATCATTGAAGTCGAGGTGAGAATGATTCATTAATTGGACACTAACAATATTTAGCCCACTTTACAAGTGATATTAATATCACTTGTAAAGTGGGCTAAATGATCAGTGCAATTTGTCTGATTAAAAAAATATTTAAGTTAATAAACGAACAACAAAAAATGGTAAAAAATGAATTGAGTGAAATGGGGTCATTATTTTTGCCTTTTAACTGAACTGAATTTTTTAAAATGTACTTTCCATCCTGGTGACAGTGAAGTTTGTGGCCCCAACTAAGTCAACCATTTAAAAGTCTTCCCCCCCCCCCCCTCCTCCCCACACACCTCCCCAATTCTGACCTTTGTTCTACATTTATCCGGCCCAATTAAGATTCTGTCGATATAGTAACGCATGCGCATTGTCTTTTTTTCATTGCGATAATATGCTAATAAGTGGAAAAGAGCTCATGAATATTCAAAATTTTAATTTAAATATTTTGCGCGCTGCGCGCAGTCCAAAATCCCCATTTCGCTGGTGCACTAAAAACTTGTCGTCTTCATAGGCTAATACACGATAAATGGAAGCAGTGTGCACTTTTGACCCTCCAAAATTTCCCCATGGCTAGACGGATGCAGAAGCGGAGTTGAACCCCCCTCAGAAATCGTAATAGTATGGTATAAGCTACCTCTGGGCCAAATTTGGTGCTTTTAGAAGAATCTGCACCAAACGACCCCTATATAGCCCTAACAGCCCTGACTATTGGGGGGGGGGATGCTTTCAATAGACTTAAAATATAAAAGGCCCTTTGAATCATGCACCTCGTGCAAGATTAGGGCGCTTTTATTAAATTTTTAGGAGAAGTAAAACCCTGTTCATTGTTTTCATGCTGCAAACTAGTTGTTGACAGACTGGAAAAGGATAGAACGGGACAGTAGAGAGTGAATAAAACGAGTAAATTCAATAATTGAAAATGTAAAAAACGATGTTAACCTGGCAATAAGAGGCTCTTGAATCCAGTTTTAAAAATGGATTGGCTTTGTGGCTAAAGCTACCGGCCGCAGGCTACGCTAACGACCGCCCCCCCCCTGACGACCCCCCCCCCTGGTCGCCATTTAGCTGACGACCAGAGGGGGGGGGGGGGGGGGGGCTTGGACCCCTGGAAAAAAGTTTTAAAACACGTTAAAGGGCCCCCCAAAAAAATGAGGAGTCACTACCCCCTCCCCCCCCCCCCCCCCCCCCGCCTCCACTGAGCGTATTCTTTGTTTACAAGTTATTTGCAAGCTCGATTGTATCGAACAATTAAAAGAATAGTATAGTATTAATGACTGCTTTGAGAGAAATAGTTGTTTTATTACGCTCAAGGGAAGGTTAGAATTGTGCTATTCCCCGAGGCTTGCCGAGGGGAATAGCCCAATTGTAACCTTCCCGAGAGCGTATGAAAACAACTATTTCTCGAATATTAAAGCAGTCATTAATACTTTTATATGCCGAAAAAAATAGACTAAAAAATAAAAAATAAAAAATAATTTACATTATGTCGAAGACGGGATTCGAAACCAACGATTAGACCACTCGGCTATCGCGCGCCGTTAACATGCTTGGCAGTTTTCTCCAATATATACATTAAAATGGATTGAAAACGGCTCCGCGTGAGGGATGCTTCGCAAAAGCTCCATGAAACGTAGACAGCAATAACCATCTGATTTGTGTCATTTCTTTAATAAAACTGACATTTGTTGTCATTCCCCAATACAGATGGCAACCCAGAGATCTCGTACCGTGGGGGTGGCTATGTACATATTTTCGTCCACGACATTTTCTCCCCGATTTTCTTTATTTAGATCTAATTTCCTGATTTCTAAATCAGATGTAAATTAGGTCGGTATGTCATTTGTCCTAATTACAGTTATCAAAATTTGATAACTCAATATTAAATGGATAATTTACGGACTTACTTATATGAATTATCCAATTTGTATCTCAGAACCGCGAAGCAGTACGTTCATGCATTCGAAATATTACCCGGCGGCCGATATATTTCCGGGTCCACCTACCAAAACATAGCCAATGGCCAATCAGAGCACTCGTTTCGTGGGAGTTCGTTGGTCAAGCCGGGCCGACTCGTAAGTAGCTACGGTAGCTATTGAACGTTCGAAAAGAAAAAATGAATATTCATCAACTAAAACCAAGACGGATAATGTTGACGACGAGACTTTCTCGGATTAATCATTAATTTAGGATCTAAATGAGCAAGCTATCGTAAGTCAAATAAGCTATATATATGTTATTTTTAATTTGTGTTATAATTGCAGCAGTTATGAGGATGTAAAGAGTGAAAATCTCGTTGCATATCTTATTCATCGCGGTCCGGTCGAACCGAACCATTTGTTCCGTACAGTGCCTCACAGAAAGAGGTCCCCAGACTTCAGTCTCTATAATCGGAGGTCTAGTGGAGCCAGACGTAGTCTCAGTGGAACAACCGACGATTAGAGAGACTGAAGTTTTCGGTCTACATGAAACGGACCCTTCTTTTACTTTTACAATGCATATTGGCACGAACTTAGATCAAGATCTATCGGCAGATGTTGTTTTTTTGTTTTTGAGAGTTTATTTTCGTCTTCATGTCAACAATGCAAGCAGGGGCGTCGCTAGACCTTTTTCAGTGGGGGGGGGGGGGGGGGGGGGGGGGGGGGGGGGGGGTGTAGAGGCCAACGATTACCGACAAAACTAGCGACCAATTACCGACAAAATTAAATGTCCAATATCTACCAATTTAACCCTATAAACCCGGGGCCGAAGGCTAAAATGTTTTTCCTATGGACTATCTATAGTACTTGCATATGCGCAAATGGTCATTTTCCTCGACGACATAAAATGTACAAATTATTTCGTCAACTTAGTCAGCATCATAGCTGGTATATTTTAATGCAGGCGCAGAGCTAGGATCTTATTTTAGGGAGGGCGGTAGTGAGCAAGCGAATCACTTAAAGAGCGCTCATTAGGGGCCTCGTGTGGGTGATAAGGCCTCTAAATTATTAGGAAAAGAAGACGATTTATTGTACCTTTCTCGACTGTTAATCCTTGTCTAAATGAAGTTCCCCCCCCCTCCCGCGCTAAGCGCGAAAGCTTAGACGTTTCATTAAATTATTATGAAAAGAAGACGATTTGCTGTACCGTTCTCTACTGTTAATCCTTGTCTGAATGAAGCTTCCCCCTCCGCGCGAAGCGCGAAAATTTTGACCGTTTCATTAAATTATTAGAGAAAGAAGACATTTCGTTGTACCGTTCTCGACGCGTCTAAATGAAGTTTTCTCCCTTCGCGCGAAGCGCGGAATTTTGGCGTTTCATCACAATATAGAGAAAGGAAGACGATTCGTCGTACCGTTTTCGATTCTTATTACTCCCTATTCATCTGAATTCAGTTTCCCCCCTCTCGCGCGAAGCGCCGAAGCTTTGACGTTTCATTAAATTATTAGAGAAAGAAGACGATTCGTTTGTACCGTTTTCGACTCTTAATAAGCCCTATTTGGTGTACTGTTTTCGACTCTTAATCCTTATCTGAATTCAGTTGTCCCCCTTCCGCGCGAAGCGCGGAAGTTTGACGTTTCATTAAATTATTAGAGAAATAAGACAATTCGTTGTACCGTTTTCGACTCTTAATAAGCCCTAATTGTCTGAATTCAGTTTCCACCTCTCGCGCGAAGCGCGGAAGTTTTGACGTTTCATTAAATTATTAGAGAAAGAAGACGATTCGTTTGTACCGTTTCGACTCTTAATAAGCCCTATTTGGTGTACTGTTTCGTCTCTTAATCCTTATCTGAATTCAGTTGTCCCCCTTCCGCGCAAAGCGCGGAGGTTTTGGCGTTTCATTAAATTATTAGAGAAAGTAGACGATTCGTTGAACCGTGCTCGACTCTTACTCTTAGTAAGCCCTAATTGTCTGAATTCAGTTTCCCCCTTTAGCGCGGAGCGCGAAAGCTTTGACGTTTCCTTAAAATATTAAAGAAAGAATACGATTCGTTGTACCGTTCTCGACTCGTTTAAATGAAGTTTTTTGGGCGTTTCATCACAATATAGAGAAAGGAAGACGATTCGTCGTACCGTTGTTGACTCTTAAACCTTGTTTGAATTTAGTTTCCCCGAAAATTTTAAACCTCTGATTTCTTTAGCTGATATTATAGGAAAATTAAACTTCGAGAAATTACAAGTATTGTAGTTGTAGTCACTCTCGAAGTCGTCACAGCGGATAAAAAGTCACAGTTCGTAGGGAAAAAAACTTGTCGGCCGACCGACAATATACATCTCACCGACTTCAAACTTCTGCATTGATATAGTACACGAGGATCGAGCAAGAATACCGACACAGCTGACCCGACATAGCAACATATTTACCCGTGTCTTTCTTGCTCCCTCGACGAGACGACTCCACCCAACAACCCCCTTCTCTCTTCTACTCCTACTCCTCCTCTCTCAGGCTCTTACCTCTCCTCTCTTTCACCCCCGTTTCTTTTGTTTCCCTTTTACTATTTTCTTTCTTCTTTTTCTCCCTTTTCTTTCTTTTCCTTTCTTTCCTCTCCTCCCTCTTTTTCTTTTTTCTCTTTCTTCTTCTCTTTTCTTTCCTTTCTTTTCCTTTCTTTCCTTTCTTTTCCTTTCTTTCTTTTCTTTTCCTTTTCTTTTTCTTTTCTTTCCCTTTCCCTCTCTTTTTTTCCTTCCCCTTTTCTCTTTTTTCCCGACGGCAGCGCAATTTTACCGACAATATCCTGACAGGTGGGGGGGGGGGGTGTCGCACCCCCCACACCCCCCCATTGGCGACGCCCCTGAATGCAAGATAAAATTGTCGGTAAGATCGATCGAGATTCAATTGTATTGAAATATTGCCGACCAATTTTTCGCACACGTATGGTATCCTCCATCGCTCAAACCATTTTTTAACATGTAAACCTATGGGGTAACCATGGAGACTGACCTATTTTTTTAATAACCATGGTTATTAAAAAATATTGAAATGTTTTAAGCATGGTTACCGGGAATTTTACAGGAACAGTTGAAGTTTATGAATGCAATTCGACCAATCAGATGGCTGGATTTCTTAAGTGAGGTATATAACAATAAATATGGACTTTGAGTGCGGTAAAAAGCGGTTTAACGTCAGTTTTTCTTTTTCAAAGATAACAAAAAAAAAACACGAACTGGGTGTCGAACCCGATACCCTCCAGTTACCAGGCAATTGCCTATCCACTACTAGACTAATGTGTCACACTGCTAATCTCTAAGTATTTTGTTTATATTCATACATCTTGTTGTAGATGTAGCAAACGACGTATTCTAACTAATTCAGAGAGTCGCTTGTTTAAAAAAAAAGAGTATTACATGTACATGTTATTTACTCCTTTGTTTAGGAGGTGTTTGTGTATGTGTTTGTGTGTGTATGTGGTGTGTGTGTGTGTGCGTGTGTTTGTGTGTGTGTGTGTGTGGGGGGGGGGGTTGTTCCCTTAAAATGCATAATTATTATTATTTTTGTAGTCCGATGTTGTCAAGATCGCTTGTAATTTTTTCTTTCAGTTTCTGATATTACAAATATAATAGTGAGGTTTTATGTTATTTTCATTTATTTTGAAAACTACTGACTTTAACTTAAAGTGATATGACATTAGGCCACTGCCCTGACATAGCAATAATGAATAGAACACGGGTCTATTCAATTCAGTTTATACGCTTACTAATTCTATACCTTCCAGATATGAGGCGATTGCCTATCCACTAGAATAATGGGTCACACTGCTATATCTCCATTTATTTAGTCATATTGATACTTATCGTCGTTCCCCCGGAAAATTTGAAAAAGTGCCCAAAACAAATGTATAGCAAATACTGACTAAAGACTGTAACAAACTTTTAGGCTCTGAAGGGCAGCGTTTAGACAAATACAAGTGCAAAAATCTTGTCACTCGGTAGCTATAGTGCTCCATCGCATAATATCTTTCAATGTGTTCAACTAGATAATTGTAGAAAATTGAAGTGTGAAAAAAGTATAATGCTCGTGTTAATATAATAGTTTTACTAAGGAAAGCAATTTTTATACAACAAAACTTCAAAAAACCTGTGAGGGGGTAGTCACTTCCGTCACCTTCACCCTCTCATTCACTATACGCTTCCTCGCACTGGCGTAATGATGGGGGGGGGGGGGGGGGGGCTTGGGGCAGTTTCCCCCTAATCAAATTCGATACCAGTGGTTTACAAATGTTGCTGAAATGGCATGGTTTTCCCTGAGCTTCCGGAGGATGTACCCACTGGACCTACAGTACCAAGGGCCCTAAGGCACCCCTCTGGATGCTCATTTGATCGTAATGTAATGCCCAAAATTCTTGGGCTATGTCCCCTTTACCCCACTCCAATTAGTGACCTGCATGCCAGTGTCACAAATAAGTTATCAAAATATGCTCATCCGACCGTTATTAAATGCCTTACCCAGTGGCGGAGGCATCGGAGTCAAGGGGGGGGGGGGGGGTGTTTGGGGGTTCAACCCCCCCCCCCTTTGGTATTTTAATGTATGTAAACCCCCCTAAAAAAACCTAAAACCCCCCCCCCTTTGGTTTTGTTTGTTTTTTATTTTTATTAAAAAAAAAAAAAAAAAAAAAAAAAAAAAAAAAATTATACCCACGGCTAACCTAAATAAGGTGACCTTACCCCCCCCATACGTAAAAAAATGTCAAATTTTTGAAATTTTGAGACCAAAAAAAAAAAAAAAGTGTCCGCTTACCCCCCCCCCCCCCCCCCCCCCCCCCCCCCCCCCCCCCCCCCCCCCCCCCCCCCCCCCCCCCCCCCCCCCCCCCCCCCCCCCCCCCCCCCCCACTGAGCAACTTTTCTGCCGGCTGAGTCGTTGCGATTTTTTTGGCCTCCAAAAAAAAAAAAAAAAAAGTGTCCGCTTAGCAAATTTGTCTTTAATTTCACCAAAAGCCAATGACTACTCCCAAGGCCCTTAGATAGTTTTTTTTTTTTTTTACACCGCTTCTCCGCAATTCAATCCTCCAATGATAAATATATTTTAAAATTAAATTCAAGTGTCCCTTTTTGCCAGGTTTAAAAAGTGCTTTAAATTTTTCAATTTTACTTAAAATTATTTTCCTTTCTATAGGGGCATTCGGAATGTTTAGGATTTCTAATTCCTATTTACTTTCCTTTTCTTTGAATGAAATATAATTTTTATGTGATTCAATTCAGATTTTATTTTTTTATATTTTATTTTTGGTTAAAAAAATACAAACCATTTTATATCCACTGAACTGGAATTGGACATAAAGAAGAAGAAGAAGAAGAAGAAGAAGAAGAAGAAAGAAGAAGAAATGAAAAGAACCGAAGAAAGAAGAAGAAAGAACCGAGCCGACTATCCGATCCGGCCCGATATTCTAATGCAATGACGTCACCTTTCAGGTCGGTGCATGTTGCGGGAAAAACAAAGGCTGTAGACTATCATTTTTCGAAGTGAATTACCAATAAGGTCTAGATTATTTCAATTCCTGTTCCAAATTGGCAATGTAACCTTCTCCATTACTTTAAAGAGAAATCTTTCAGCTAGATAAAGAGTGAAAATGACGATTGTTCAAGTGAAGCATGTTGTATCTTGCACCAGCGAGGACACGGTAAGTTCCATCGAAACTTGTATCGGTTTTCTGCCAGGGCTGTGGGCTTGGTAATCCGAGTGTACCCGGCCTGATCAGGAGGGCAATTCCACGGTAACGAAAGGACACTCAGACAAGATTTTTGAACTTCAGGTTCATACTAAAAGAACTGTTTTATTAGTATAAGATGTGAAACAGTACAGATATAATACCTATATAAGTGCCTTTAATTCTCCCCCAAAAAATTGTCATTATAGTTAGTCTAAGTAGTTTAAGAATGTGCATATTAATTATCTCGGTAACCATGGTAACGGAAGGACATACAAATGGACATGGTTTTTCCAGTTAATTAGTGTTTATCCAAACTTTGTGAAGTTGATGAAGCTTTCCACTTGACTGAAACACATTTTGTTCCCCATAGTTTAATACATACTAATAAAACATTTCTTTTAGTATGAACCTGAAGTTCAAAAATCTTGTCTGAGTGTCCTTCCGTTACCGTGGAATTGCCCAGGAGTAAAGTCTCGAGCGCGAGCGCGCGCTAGCTCGAGCTCGAGTTAAAACTCGAACTCCCACTGTAAATATCTTACTTAGTTCATTCTAATAGAGGCATTTACATCAATCTTTCTCACATCTAATTCTTTGTTTTTCCTTTAACCATGTTAACCGTATATTGAGCTCTCCATGCTTTTTCCAGGTTGGATTTGAATGAGTTTCTTTAAGTTACAGTAGACCAGGAGACTATGAATTGTCTAGGCCTAGATCTAGATCTACTCTTTGTTTTATCGCAGTTGCACAAGGCAGACAATCTCTTGAAGGGAGACTCTTAATACAAGAAATAATCTTAATAATCTCTTAATCTTACCGGTAATTAAAAGAAATAAAACTAAGTTAGACTAAAGTAAACAGGTAAATGAACCTGATTTTTATTCTGCAAGATTCTATTCTGTATTTCTGGGTTTGCTGTCACAGCCGGGCATTCATTCTCTCCTAACCACCTTCTTTCTAATCTTTATGAATTGTCTTTATTTTATGTCAGTTGCACAAGGCAGATAATCTCCTGAAGGGAGACTCCTACAAGAAATGGACAGGAGGGTCCGAAGGTGAGAAGCAGGTCTCTGTCATTCTGCAGCTCGATAAAGCTTCCAACATTCACTCCATCGACGTTGGCAACGAGTCGTCTGCGTTCGTGGAGATCCTTGGTGGTCATTCCAGCTCAGACTCAGATGATTTATATCAGGTACGCAGACCCCTCAAAATATACTTAAAGGAGGTGTAGCATGACGAGACTATGTGTTTTACCCGTGGCCTGACTCTGGGCCAATCGGGTATAATACAACCACGGATGACGTGACCGTAGTGATCATATGCATGCAGCATACGCAAAACCGAACTTTGGTCTGTTTTGCGAACGCTAGCGCACTGACCGTTAAACAAGTCCATTTGTTTACGTGCAGTTGTCAAAAAGAAGTTGAAGATGGCGTTAACCATTATTTGCCATACTACAAGTTACCCCTTTAACTAGATTCTCATTCTTGTTTCCTCTTTTGTATTCATTTCAGAGAAAGTGAAATATCAAGCAAGGGTGGATCTTGAAAAATAATAACTTGGACATACATTAAACATAGATTTTAAAGATATGTGAAGAATCGCTGAAAATAGTTTGTTAAAAACTTATTTGAAATATTCACCTGGATTGAATCAACTTATTGTTCGTCTCGGGCCAGTTTCTCAAAACCGTCATGAGTCTAAGTTCGTGGACATCCCTAAGAAGCGTGTGTTAATTCTATAACACACGTTTCAATAGGATGTCTAAGAAGTTAGACTTATAATGGTTTTGAGAAACGGTCCCCTGATCTTCATTACATGAGGCTGGTGCGCAGTGCTGGGCTCACATGACTGGCTTGCTACACTATGAATATACAGGCCTTCCAAAAATCCTGTATTATTCCATTAAATCGAAAATGATAATTAAACATATGAAGAACCGGAGATAGAAGTAGATAGAAAGCCTTGATTGCCAATGTCTGGAATAGACAAGTTATTTAGCAAGCAAGAGATTATACATGTAGTTCAATACTGTCTTCATGTATCTAAGCTAGCTAAAGATATGTCAGATATTTTTATGTTCAACCATGATTTGCGATGGATTAAAGTGTAATTATCTGAAAGGAATGCCAGATACAGTCAAACCTGCTTTAGTGACCACCTGTCTACAAAGACCACCTGTCTACAACAACCCATTGTTTTGTTTCCTTGGAAAACGGTTTTATATTGAAACATGTACTATTAAAAGGAAACTATCTACAAAGACCACTTTTTGTGTTTCCCTTGGGCGGTCGCTATAGACAGGTTTGACTGTATCAGCTATATGTGTGATCTGCTAATAATCTGTCTTCGTTATTTGTATTTATTACATTGACAGGTCATCTTGGTAACATCTTCATTTATGTCGCCAGTGGAGAGTAGGAACAACACAAATATGAACCGTGTACGGATGTTTGGACCAGAAAGCCTCTCGAAAGCCGTCGCAGACAAGAAGTTTGATCGCATCAAGATCGTTTGTACACAGCCTTTCAATAAGGTATATGCCAAGGGGGTTCGTTCATTCATATAGTCCCTTGCTCATTGTATTGCTAGTTAAACTTAAAGCCCAACTGCACTAGTTTGGCCAGGAGGGATTAGACATCCCTGCATGGTCACTGACAGGTGGTTATCTCATCAAATCAGCTCTCGATTAACATTAGAGGAAGGGGATCATTCTTGGGGGATCAATGGTCATTGATTGCTATATAGAGGGTGCAAGTAGCTATATTAGTAGTAGTAGTAGTAGTAGTAGTAGGAGTAGTAGTGGGGCTTTAAAACAATATCAGATACTTCATCCAGAAAAATTCCTTTGCGTTGTTCAATCAATAGTCATCTTAGATTACGATAAACCTTTATTGATGCCCTAGATTATGTCATTTGTACAAAATGTTGGATATTTACTTCGTTCGTTCGTTCGTGTCTCCTTAGATCAAGATTACGGTAATCTTGATCTTCGGAGTAGTTGCTACAACCGGCCGTGTCAGACACGTTGCCCCGGGGTGCGAGATAGGACTTTTGTAGCGTGCCCCCATTTAAAACAATTGGACAGTTACAGTTAACAATACATTTAATTAATAGTATGAAACTATTAAAATTACTCTCATGTTACGGGAAAAAATATTGCATATACATATATTATGAATCAATTGATTTGGTCGATCCAGTTCGATGGCACAAACACAGCACTACTGGACAGAGATCCTAATAATTACAGATATTTACTGATATAAATGTATTATTAGTATTAATTTATCTATCCATTTGATCTATTCTGATTGTAAAAGAATCTGCAATTCAGCTATGTGGCCACAAAGGATTTCTTATCAGTAAACCGTTTTAAATAAATGAATTAAAAAAAAGAAGGAAAAGATGTGTCTTGAGCACCGTTTTTCAATTTTTTAAGAGGAGCGGTACGGATACAATGAGGAACACCATTCTATATTTTTATAACAGCCACTTGAAATTTGTAGGCATTGGACTGCAAATCAAGAACAGTTTGAACATAACCCTGAATTTGTTACATTAGCGGAAGATTCTCTGCAAAAATAACTATCTACAACAATTACTTAGTGAAAGAAAATATACTGAATATTAATTCTTTGTCGAGTTTGGTGCGTATTGTAGCCTGGCTTATGTCTGTCACAGGATTGTATTCATGTACATATCGAGGTGTCAGTGACATTAAGACTTACTCCATTTTGGCCATTTTTAGAAAAAGTGGTTTGTGTGTCACTCAACACTTGGGCCTTACGGGGTTAAGTCTATATTTCACTAGCCATTGACTTCAATGGGGTGTTGGGTGGAGTGATGCCTTTGTGTTTCCTGGAAAGCCCACATTTTTCTGAGCATTTTGATATCAAATACTCATTTTGGCAAACTACAGAGTTACGTCTTTGTGTCACTGATCTCTCGATATATCCAAATAAAGATTAATACCGGTCCTTTTTTTATTTGTGACAGCGCTGTAAGTATGGACTGTCTTTCATCAAGCTACATGGTCCACCAGGAGCGGGTGATCAACAAGAAGGCACTTCTGGACAGGTTAGTCAATGTCTCTTCCAAAGGCATTAGAGCCCTTTCGCAAAGACTACAGAAGCAAAGACGACAGGAAAATTACGGGGATACAGCTCTTCCGTCGTGTTTAGGGAACGAATGCTATAATGGATGCGTACGGTTGTGAAAATCAACAGGACAGAGAAAATTCTGTTTCGCGCATGCGCTGATTGTTTTTTTCACTCGCATTACCGTCGTCTTTGCCTTCCGTCATGTTTGTGAAATCGCGCTATTATAGCCCTTAGAAGGGCTGATGGCCTCCGTTTAGACTAAGAGCTCTTCAGTTTTTTAAGATCGTGATCAGTGTTCTCTGATTGTCTTCAGTATCGTAGTCATTCTCCTGAAGATGACCACAACATAACGATCAAAACATCAAGAACCAAAGAGCTGGGCCCCATTTCACAAACTGGTCATCACTGACAAATGACACTTTTCGTTATAAGCTACTAAAATCCTTGCTTCTGATTGGTTACCAACAGATTTGTCACTGATTTTTGTCATTTGTCATTGAAAAAAGGCTTTGTGAAACGGGTCCCTGGTAGCGGAGGTCACCACCCATTTTCAGGGCTCTTATTTTCTTTGAAAGGAATACATGATGTAACCTAGAAAACTGACCTATAATTCACTTTCACCACCATTCACTTCATTTTAATAATCATTTTAACCCTCAAGACTCGTTCAGATATGTTGCGGTAGACCGCCGCATTATTTTCATGTGTTAATCAATGGCAACTGCGCGCAACAAAGGTCCTATGCGTATTCAGAGCTACATGTACATGTATGTGTTATAAGATACAGAAATGTGATGCATATATGACACTTTAAAATGAAAATAAACAATAATAATAACACAGAGAAATATACAAATCTTATAACTACTAAAATGACTAAATTAACATAGTAAATAACATAATAAAGAGATAGCTAACATGGTCAAAACAAAGAACGTAAGTAAGGATAGTTTAAGCTAATTAAATAAGGCCAAAGAGGTGCGTTTTTAGTAAAGATTTGAATGTTGCAGAAGTGGGTGCCTGTCGTATGAAATTGGGAAGATTGTTCCAAAGGTTTGGTCCAGCAACTGCAAAAGATCTGCCCCCATAGAGTATTGGTTTTTGGTCCACAAAGTAATGCTTGATTGCTTGAATGGAGGGTTCGGGGTGGGTGGTATTGTTTAAGCAAATCAGTCATGTATGAAGGAGAAGAACTGTGTTATGCTTTAAATGTAATTAATAAAAGTTTGAATATGATGCGGTTTTGCCACGTCATATGCAAACGGGGCCATATGGTGCTACCATGTTTACCAAAATGTTATTTCAGAGCCAGAGGGGTGTTAACTCTGTTAAAGTACAGTATATGAGTCAATGCCCTTCTTGCACTGTACAAACAATATGTTGTAAATAACCTTCCACGAGACAAGTAATAATCATGGCATATTTCTTTAAATTTAATAGAAGTAGAATCACATTGATATGTTTTTATTTGCAGGGGAAATTGATTTGATTTGATTTTAGCCAGGGCATCTAGAAATAAAAGTGTTGTACCAGAAATCAAGACAAGTGTCATTGTGCCAAAATCTCTATGGGATTGTTTCACAAAGACTGCCACTGTTTCCTCTCACCATTTACTGGCATTGGTCTCTCAAGGGGGGGGGGGGGGGGGGGGGACGTTCAAATCGTAGTCATAAATCTACAGAATTTACATTTTTCGATAATTCATAAAGATCATAATAGTGAGAGCAACCAGTGGCATGAATGGCCTGCCATAGTTAAGTCCAACTTAAAGTCGATCTTAGTCTTTGTGAAAACACCCCCCATGTACGTTCATAATTTTCTTATTGTAATTTCTTCCCAAGCCAACTCTGGGTAAGTTCCGACTGAAAGAAGAGAGCAAGTCATCTCTATCTGTCGGAAGTTTCTTCAAGGGCAGAGACACCGAATCTACACAGAAACCTCTCACAGGTAGGTAATCATTCAAATCAATGTTAGATTTTCAGCGAAATGGTTCCAACAATTTATTTTTGTCCAGCCTGGCTTCCCTCTATAGATCTCTTAAATCCTTGGTAAAAAGTTAATGAAATATGGCCTTACCGCATCTCATGGGATGATTGGGAGGGCCAGACCCATTTTCCACGATAATTTGAATCTGAATCTAATGTCTTGTGTTTTTTTAATTTTTTTTTTATCCATTATGATTATTATCAATTTCATTATAAACTGCTCGAATTAAAGACATACCTACCTGACCTGAACTCAATCATTATGCAATATTTTACTCATGAGCTTTCATTTATTTGATGTGTTATAACTTGATTGTAGCTCAACCACATTGTCATTCATATATTTATTTATGAAGCTCTACAGTTTCTTTGACTTTGTGTAAATTATTTCTACCATTGTTATGTATTTTTTTTGTATTTGTGTTTGAGATCCAACTTCAAGTTTTGGTTGCAATAAAGAAATTATAATAATAATAATTTGTCTTAATTCTCATATGGTTGTGAGTAGTAGCACATATTGCATCGGCAAGCACTCCTTTTTCTCCCTTTTTAGGCAGTTCTCTATTATGTGATTTTTACTAAAATGAATGAAACAACAGGTCCACACAAAATAAAAGAATCAACTTGATTCCCAACAACAAAGTAAACGATTTCAATTCGTATCATAATTCATCCTGTCAATGATACATGTGTCTTTTAGGAGCAGCAGCAGTGAGGGCAGCATCCAGCATACCACCATCTCAACAAGCATCATCATCATCTTCTACATCTTCACCTAAACAGGTGCGTCAGCAGTAGTTTTGTAGTGTTGCAGTCTCTTAAAGATAAAGTTGTGTTCTGGTCATGCGATTGCATTGTGAAAGAAACGGTGTGGAATCGATCAGAAAATGTTTATCATCTAGCATAAGTATTTGTGTGTATTGCAAGGTTCTTGAATCATCAAAATGATAAGAAATTTGGCCAAGTCTTGGTAAAGTTACAAGCACTGTACACAGAAGGATGTATATGGGACTACACGAACACGTGGTGTAAAAATCTGTCCGGTTTTTACGATGTTACATGCCATATTCAGAATATGAAGGCATTTGAAGAGCCATGCTTTTCAGGGAACATGTTTTATCTGATGTTCTTCCACCCTTGTAGAATAACAATCATGACGCTCACAAATAATTTTTCACCTCTTCCCAGAACTCAACCTTCTCTTTAAAGTCTAATAAGGTACTTTAGGTGGTTTAAATCATATTAATCTGATCACTTTGGACCCTTGTCTGCATGTATGACGGTGTAAGGCTGTATCCACGCACATCAAGCAGGACAAACTGACTCCTAAATTAATAAGCTTCGCCGCCACATGCATATTTTAGAACGATCAAAAGGCACATGAATGTTGTTTCAAGAGCTTTGATTTATTTTCCTTTATCATAATATCTTGGGTATGCCATTAATCAAACATTTGGAAGTCACCTCATATGCCTTCTACTCTAAAGAAAAGTTTTTTTTTTTATAGAAAGATCCCAACTTCATTTACAGATCATTGAACTCTTTCCTCAATATTCAAACTTCAGAAAACAAACCCAATTTTGTTCTTAAAATTGTTTATTTAAAAAAATCATGTTGTATACTCAGTTAATATATCATTTTTCAAATGTTTCCTCCTCCAGCCTTCCCAGTCTTCAACCAAGAGACGTCTATCTGATGCTGATAAAAAAGAAGGAGAGAACAGTCACAAGAGACCAGCTGTAGAACCTAAGAGAGAAGAGCCACGCAGGAAAGAATCCGTCCCAAATAAATCAAAAGGTGAGTAGACTAGAGAGTTATTCGATAGCGATGTTCGCTCCAAACTTTATTCTACATTTTTATTCTGCAAAAGGGCTCTTTTGCATTTGCCACTGAAGAAATGCAGTGATTTTATATAAATTTTCAATTTTGTTTATAAACAGTTGTGATTTATTGAGACTTATTTGCGATTAATATCCATTGGAACTATGTACCTAAGAGATAAGACTTATCCACTAGACCACAACACCTCTACATATTAGTTTTTGATGAAATATGATATAGTCAAACCTGCTTTAGTGACCACCTGTGTACAAAGACCACATTGTTTGTTTCCCCTAAAAATGATTTCTCATTGAAACATGGACTATAGGCACCTTTATATAAAGACCACCTGTCTACAAAGACCACTTTTTGTGTTTCCCTTGAGCGGTTGCTATAGACAGGTTTGACTGCAATAGCAAATGTAATGTATTGAATCCATAATGAATATAGAGTCAAAATCCCAGCCTCAGCCCGCTACGGGAGAAGCCTTCGGGAAGCTGATGAAGAAGGTGGTCTTTGTGCTGAGTGGTTTTCAGCAGTTCACAGTCCAGAGACTTGCAAAGTTTTAATGTTAATTGAATTGATAAAATTTGTAATGCATTTCTGTTTCCTTTACTTATCAGCTATTTTCTTCTAAACCGCTTAGAGGCAATTTGCAATTTGCGGTATAAAAATATCTCATTATTATTATTATTATTATTATTATCCACTAGACCACAACACCTCTACATATAAGTTTATGATGAAATAAGATAATAGCAAATGTAATGTATTGAATCCATAATGATTATAGAGTCGAAACCTCAGCCCGCTACGGGAGAAGCCTTCGGGAAGCTGATGAAGAAGGTGGTCTTTGTGATGAGTGGTTTCCAGCATCCTTTGAGGGGTGAGCTGAGAAAGAAAGCCACTGAGATGGGAGCCAAGTACCAGGCAGACTGGGGTCCTGGTGCTACACATCTCATGTAAGTTGAACCCTTCCTGCACCATTACATCACAGGGCCACACAGTCACAGTTTTTGTTACAATAATAATAATAATAATAATATGTCTTGTTTACCCAGAGTAGCCTCATCAGTATTCATACTGTTCTCCCTGAGGGCCCTTTACTCATATTATTACCCGGTCATCGGATTCAGGCTTACCCGCACACAATGTATGCACATTCTCCACTCCCTGTGGAGCATTCAAGCCAATGCATCATTTTTACAAGCACACACTTGCTAATCTAAGCACATTAGCTTTCGCATCCTACCGGGTACCCATTTAACACCTGGGTGGAGAGTGACAAATGTAGATCTATGTCTTGCCAAAGGACATTAGTGCCGTGGTGGGACTTGAACCGCGGACCTTGTGATCCACAGTCCGGTGACATATCCACACGTCCATGACACCTCTACATGACACCTCTACAGAAGCTAGTGAAATCCTTGCTTCTGATTGGTTACCAGCAGATTTGTCACTGATTTTTGTCATTTGTCATTGAAAAAAGGCTCTGTGAAATGGGTCCCAGGATGCCAGTTTTCAGGCTTTTTCCGGATTTCAGGCCTTTTGGGCTTTTTTTTTGTACAAAAATGACAAAATTCAAGGCCTGAAAAGAAGAAAAGCAACTAATTATTGACACTCTACAAATTCCTGGATTTTATTTGATTAGATCCATAATCTATATCATCTTCTATTTAAACAGCACTATTAGAGTTACATTTATTGCACATTGTTATGAATGCACAAGTTATACCATTGAACATGTAGATAGAGATTTTCATGCCTTTAAACTTTTAAAACTTTAATTCAATTTGTAGCTGTGCTTTTGCGAACACACCCAAGTACAACCAGGTGAAGGGCAAGGGAAAGATTGTGAAGAAAGAATGGATTCTAGACAGCTACAGGAAACGCACACTGTTACCATGGATACGGTAAGCTCAATATTTCTGGATATATCAACAGCATGAATAACTTAAAGGGAAAAGGAGTCTCGTTTAAAAATGCCAGTTTGTTTGTTTATATGAATTTCCATACAAAACATCAAATGCTTGAGACGAAAAATGCTGGTCTAAGCATTGTAGTACTGCATATTGGTAAACGATCGTTTTTTTAAATTTTTCTGTTAGAGGGGGTGGGTTGGGAAGGGATACAATTTTTTGTTCAACTCTACAACAATATTCCTGTGTGTATTGTTCTTAGAGACATTGCATATTTTCTATCATTGTAGTCCTAAAAGAAAATATCACTGTTGCCAATTTGAGGAGCAATATGAAGTCAATTTAGCTCCAAAATAAATCCTGTCATAAAATATTTAACTCTGTACTTTAATATATGAGTTTACACCATTATGGCTCCAAACAGACAAAAGGTTCTGTGTAACATTCTTTCAGTTATCACCTTTTCTTTGGCCTTCCCATTCACATCATATTCACAAGTTTCTTCGCATTTCCGTTGCCATAGATACAAGTTATCAAGTGGACGGGATAGTTCTAGTGATGAGAGTGAATCTGAAGAGGAAGAGGAGATGGAGGAGGAAGAAGTAGTGACTCCAGTCAAACCTTCTTCATCAAAGAGCCCTCAACCAAAGACACCAACTCCAAAGGTAAATTTCTTCTTTCATCTTTCAGTTCTCTATCCATTATCTTCCCTTCTTTCAATCATTGCATTTCATGTATTACTTTTCATATTTCAGTTATACTTTCCATTGTCACCTTTCGATTGAATCTTCTAATGATTGGGGATTGTGCAACACCTGTGAATCTGTTTACATTCTGAAAATGGATTGTTTTCTATTTCTTGTATCATGGTCTTTCATTTGTGCCTCTCTGATAGTATTAGATTTTTATACTATATCTTATTTTTTCTATATCTACCCTTAAGCACTCAGGGATATATAGTAGTTGTGATGTTATGCATATGGAAAATATTCAATATTTTCATGATTATAACTGTTCTCTCTCCGTCTTTCTTTTTCTGACCTTTCCTTCTCCTTTTTGTCTGTTTCTCTGCCTGTCCAGCTCTCTCCTTTTGTTGTCCTTCTCTCTCTCTCTCACTTTCTTTTTTCCCTGTTTCCATGCCCAGATTTCTCTCTTGCTCTTTGTGTCTGTATCTGTCACATTCTGCATCTCTCTCTCTCTCTCTGTCACTCTCTCTTTCCGTCTGTCTCTCTCTGTCACTCTCTTTCCCTCTGTCTCTCTCTGTCTCTCTCTGTCTCTCTCTCTGTCCATCTCTCTGTCTCTCATTGAATGACATGTTTGTATCTATCTTATCTTTTGATAGAAACCTGCTGATGTTGATGAATACAGCGGATCTACCGATGAGGAGGGGAACGATACCGAGCCCATGTCAGGAGGATCGTCTGGTGATGATACTGAGGATGAAATCAGAAAGTAGGTCATTCTTCTGCCATGTTAATATAACAATTAATAAAGATATGCCACTGCCTATATATAGAGGTGTCGTGGTCTAGTGGATAGGTTGTTGGACTTTGGATCACAAGGTCTGCGGTTCGAGTCCCGCCACGGCACTAATGTTTTTTGGCAAGATATTAATTTACATTTGCCACTCTCCACCCAGGTGTTAAATGGGTACCGGTAGGAAGGAATTCCTTGAATACTGTGAGCGCAGAAATTGGCTGCGTAGCAGAGCCGGGGTAATAGTATGAGCGCCTTGAGCACCATACAAGTCATGGTGGATATGTGTGCTATATAAATATTGCATATTATTATTATTATTTATAATCACTTCATCTGTGCCACTAGGTTTATGGAAAATTTGTATTTGTACACTCCAGCTACAACTGCTCTGCTTTCAATATTCTGCATTAACCGAATACCCAATTTAAACCCTGGACCAGACAGTATACTTAACCCCTTTCCCTTATCTTGAACCTAAAACCCAATAGCAACCCTAGCTCAAACCCTGTATTTATGATGAATAAAGCCCAGCGAAATTATTGCCTGAGCATATGTTGCAGCAACTGTACATTCACAAGATAATTTGAGTCTTTTTTCCTCTAAATTTTGTAACAGTTGTTGAATTGGCAATTAGAACTGTAAATAACCCTCATGATGATTACCAGTATAGGCCTACATTTTTAAGATGAAGGTGTAATGTGGAGCTTCTCATTGACTTGGAAAAACTGGTTCAAAAGGGTAGACCCAGGCCATTTGTGCCCCCCCCCCCCCTCAATGTGCCAATGATGCAGTTAGTGTGTGAAGATGGCATACATATCTGGATTGTATTAGTAAATTCATTATTTTTGTTTTCTGAACTGTACTTGTACCAAAATACTTTGTTTAGCTCTAAGGGGTTAGGCTCGACTAGCACATGTGCTATTATCTGGCCCTTTTTACCAACCAATTTTCTCTTCTTGTATATATGTATATGTATATGTAAATACCAATGTATATAGTGTATTGCTGAAGGTAAATAAATCAAATCAAATCATATTCTCATCATTGTAGAGCTCAAGCAAAACCAAAGGCTCAAACCAAAACATCACCAAAGGGAGGAAGCCCATGCAAGAAAGGTCAAAGTTCAAGTCCCGGAGAGATTCCTGATCTCCCAGATTTCTTCAGCAGTAAACGGTTCTTCCTCTTTGGCAAGTTTGATAAAGAGGAAAGAAGGCAGGTCAACAGGTTCATCATTGCATTCAATGGGTAAGAATTCATTCATAATTGCATTTGATGGGTAAGAATACATTCACCATTGTATTCAATGGGGTAAGAATACATTCATCATTGCATTCATTGTATAAGAATACATTCATCATTGCATTCAATGAATAAGAATACATTTATCATTGCATTCAATAGGTAAGAATACATTCATCATTGCATTCAACGGATAAGAATACATTCTAATTGCATTCAATAGGTAAGATCACATTCATCATGGAATTCATATTGTTAAAAGTAGACTCATTTACATTCCGATTAATGTTTTTTCTTTCAGCCTTATCGAGAACTACATGGATGAGAGCGTCAACTACGTCATCACCAACTCGAACTGGGATAACAACTTTGAAGAGGTAAGATCAGGAAGTCGTCTGTTCAATGAAATATAACTTTTTTCCATTGTCCTTAACCTTCTTAGTTTTCTACTCTCTACTAAGTGTCTTTATGTGAAAATGTTGAAATGTAAAATATAGTTTGCTTTTCATGCCTGTACATATAGAATTTGTTACTATAGTCTCTCCCCCATAGGTGTGCCTCTCCTTCTCTCTCTCTCTCTCTCTCACACACTCTCTCTCTTACTCTGTAACTTTGCACCAAAGTGTACTTCAGATAATTGTCAATGTTGGGACACCTTTTTAGTACTCTATTCGAACTTGTAAGAAGTAGAAATAGCTGTAGATTTGTACATTTGGTTCTAGTCTTTATGACTTCAAACACGTACTGGTGTTTAATCTTTAGGGGTAAATTAGCATACTAAGAACATTAAACCACTTGTTTCTCGCCCTCACAATAGAATGTTTCTTTGAAATCAATCTTTCTTTGCTGTTGTATCGTAATATGTGACAATTCATGACATTTCAAAGATAATAATAATAATAATAATATGTCTTGTTTACCCAGGGTAGCCTCATCAATATTAATACTGTTCTCCCAGGGGTCCTGCAATCATATTATTATATGCATCATATAATCGTCTATTATTTCTTTCTTTCCGTCCTTTGGCAGGCTTTGTCTGAAAACTCATCCATTACCTTTGTGAGACCACGGTGGCTGTATGCCTGCAACGAGAAACTCAAGATGGTCCCTTACCAGCCTTACATTGTGGTGCCAGCCAATTGAGCTTCTTAGATGATCCCTTACAATCCTGACATTGCCAACTCAACCTTTGACCTATAGATGGAATAGTTAGGCCCGAAATAACTTGGACTGCAGTCTAGGGAAGATGTGTGTTATACAGTGAAACCTGTCTAGAAAGACTCCCCAAGGGAGACAAGAAAATTGGTCTATAGACAGGTGGTCCTCATGTACAGGTTCATGAAGTACATGTTTCAATGAGAAACCATTTTCAAGGGAAACAAAAAAATATGGTCTTTATAGACAGGTGGTTGCTATAGCAGGTTTGATTGTATCAAAATCTTATCTTTTCTGTCAGGTTAAGATGTTCCTTTGTCAGTTCAAACAGAGTGAAAAGGAGATAAAAGCAAAGAACAAGAATTAAAGGGAGGGCATTTTACCAACATTGCTACCACTGCTGTAATGTATATTCAGTCGCACATTCATACCGTGATTGTGTACACAGAGAGTGATTTCTGGTTCCTGTATTCAAGTATCATCACACATGCATCATGCAGTTGGTGATGCATTGTGGGAAATGATTGTCAACACATCGGGAGATTGTTAGAATTAGATGGCAGTATATTAAAATCTCGAGTAGTGTCGGTAGAATACCCTGCATTTCAAAATAAAAGAAGTCTGCCAAGGTTACATGTAATACCTGTATGTTAAAATGCTATAGACTTCACAGCACTGTCTTTTTTCTTCTGTAGCCACTGGGCAAATCAAAGTTTCAAGAGCCAGCCCTCTGAGAATTTGGGTTCATACAAAGCAACTTTTTGCCTTGTCAGATTTGCAAAACAATTTGTGTGAAATAATTGAATCATGGTATATTATAACACCACTTTAATGCAGTTCACGTAAGTTTCTTGCAACAAAAGTGGCTGTCCTTAACAATTCAGAGAGTTTCTGGTTTAAGTAGATAGTTGATTATTGGCAAGGTGTATTCCATTTTAATCAGCCACATAAAGACATGCCACAGATATTGATAGAAGGTCTACTAAATGTGTGTTTGTACTATGATTGATATTTCGTGCTGAAATTTGTTGTAATTATCTGGAGGGGGTAGAACAATTGCTGTCCAAAAACAAGCATAAAATGCACTGAATGCATTATTTGTCCTTTCATGTTATTTCCATCCAATGGAAAATGTTTAAAGTTACACTTTGAAATTGTGCCAGGAAGCAAATGTTCAAGCCCATTTCTCATGAATAAAGCTGTACAGTTTTCTTCATTTTTCTATTTCTTTTTCTTTAATACACATCAGTGGCAGGTTTCTAGAACAATTATGTACATAAAACTGTGTACCCATTCAAAATGGACATGTTTTGTTTAATTTATGGGTAAAAAGCTTTGCCATCTTTGTGATTTATGTCATTATGAATGTGTAACATACATGTATTTCTGATATTTTTGTATCACTTTGCTACTAATGTGAATACAATTTACATGTACAATAAAAGACATTACAACATGATTTTGTGCTTTTTATTCTCAAGTTGTGTTCATATCAGTGTTTTTATGACCAAATCATATTGCATATAAGGCTTTTCAAAAGATATATCACCGGAACTTTGGAATAAACTTCCACAAAATCTAAGGAATATCACTCGATCATTTAGATCAATTCAAAGAATGTGTGATCTAAGTTTTATGTGACATTAATACAGTAGTGTTCTATAACACAGATATCATGTTGGTATGATAATTTTACTCAGCAATGTACTATATGTATGATAATTTTTCTTTAATTTTTGCTTTCATTGATAGTAATATTGCAGAAATACACCAACTTTGCATATAAAGTCGTTAGAACTAAGACAAATTATGGTACTAAAAGATGAAGAGGAAGAAGATGAAACAGAGTGAGAGATAGAGAGAGAGATGGGGGGGGGGGGTATAGTAGGATGAAGAGCGAGAAAGAGGAAGAGAGAGAGAGGGGAGAGGGGAAGACAAAAGGGAAGGAGCAAAGCAACTGGAGGGAAATATTTATAATGAGAGACAGTTAGGGGAACGAAAAGGAAAGAGTTCAAAGGGAGAGCTCTGGGCTGAAAAAAAAAAAAAAAGAAAAAAAAGAGAGAGGGTGGGGGGGGGGGGGGGGGGGGTGGGGGGGGGGGGGGGGGGGGGGTGGTGGATAGAGGACAGACGAACACATGATAGAATGTCTGTAATGTCAAATACTGAAATACTGACCAAATCAGATGGGATGTTAAATAATAAAAGATATAAACCATCATTTCAATTTGGTTTTGGTTTCTCTGATTATGTGAGCTAATTCTCATCCTTCATCTTGTATAGAACATTTTAAAGATTAAATTACTAACAAAATGCCTGTAAACATGTAGGAGAACTTTTCCTTTCTCCGGCTCCCCACCCTATTAAAGTGGGCCATGGGCCCGTTCCTAGAAACCGTCATAAGTCTAAACTTCTTGACTATCCCATTGAAACGTGTGTTATAGAGCTGGTATCTGACTTAAATTTAGACTTCAATATGGTTCGCAGCTGAAAAAGCTTAATAGCTATAAAGGACACCGGCTAAGGAAAAGGTCGAGCGCCACTTACGTTTAAGACGAGGTAGTGCATTCAACCTTGGCTTGTCCAGAAGAAAAAGCGACCCTATTTATTATTTATTCCTATAGCAATTCATCTTCTTTGTATGAAATGTGAGTTGGTGATTTAGTCAGAATGGCAGGAAATCAAGGTGATCTTTATAGATGGAAGCGATTGACGTCAAAGAATAAGCCTACGGCGACGGTTACCAAGGTAAACTATTCGTTCTTTGGAATGACTCGTCCTTCACTGTTGTCCCATGTACTTATAATTATGCTGGCTAAATCCAAATGAAGAGCGAGCTAAACGTCATTTGTGTTGTTTATCAATTGTGTGCAGGGCATAGAGATATATACTTAATAAGGCTAGAGTGCGGACTCGTCATACGCGCCCGTTCAAAGCTCTGTGCGCGCGTGGAGCGCGGTCCGCCATTAAAGGAGGGCACAACTTCGAGAAATACCCGGATGTTCCCTTCGAAACTGTGCTACTGATATTAGGGTTTTCAGTTGTCCCCTCTCTCAGTGAAGACACCCACGCAACTAGCTCAAAATGTCCGTAAAATCGTAACCTTTTTAAACTTGAAAAGAGCATCCTTTTTGTTCCTCAAACCCCTATGTATTAGACCCTATACACCGTTAGAAAGCGTAGACTCTCAGCTTTCTAAAAATGCATAAATATTCACCGTACCTCATACACAACTCATCGTATGAACTTATGAATGAACGTCTTAGGCTCCGCCCCGTTCTTCCGAACGACTCGCGCGACCGAGAAATTCTGCCAAATCGGCCCCTAAATTTTGCCGAATGAGACGCGACGGTCGACTTCGGCTGCTTTTCCGCAGCTGATTCGTTGAACGAATGACTGATTGACGGGTTTCACCTTCATCTATGGGGGCTAATATGTACAATCAACTTTGGACCATCTCGATAGCTGCTCGAGAACTGAAGTTATATAAAAACGCATTTTCGGTGCCATTTTTTCACTGAAAAACTTCAAGTTTGAAGGTAGGTGTGATCTTAATCTGAATTCTACATGTGTTTTTTACTTTATGTGTGAATTTCTAAGCTATATTGTTATAAGTTTTGAGCGGAGAATGAAATTTAACTGCGAGTGTGGTGAATTGTCGTCACCCTTTGTCGCACAACAAACGCTATTGTACGCGACGTGGGACTAGACAATGAATGTGCAGCGGTCAATGGGGCTGGATTTTGAACAGAGTGAGCCTGCGCGCTGTGTTTTGAGGCGATTAATGAAGTCGTTTATGACATTTATTTCAAATGTTGGTGCATGAATTAATATTCAAATTATTATTATTACGATAAAAATATAATTATGATATGTATTATGAACAAATCTAAGATAAATGTAACAAGTTTGAGAAAGACGGATGTCCCACTTACTTTAGCATTACCTACTTATAAAAATGGTACGGTCCAATTTGTACCTACCTGTGCGGTCGTACCACTCGGGATGGACGAGTCCATTATAAACAGGGGTGTTTTTATCATTAATATGGGAGGGCCATGCTAGAGATTGAAATGCTTATGCAAATTTTCACAAACGATGCATAGACCCTCTAATGAGGTTTTATTTGAAAGTGAAGCCAATTAATGTTTGCAATTGACTTTGGTTTCCATGTAACAGGTTATGAATTATTCTAAATTGTAAAATTAATAATAAAATGAAAAGTTTTTTCGAAATACTTGCAATAAAAAAATAAAAACAATTGTTTCATGTTTGTTACATGTATTAATAGATCTAGTAACTTAAATTAGAATTTGTATATATATTTACGTTCATATATTTATACATGATTTCCTAATTTCTATATCTGTGCAGATTATATTAATATTATTTGGACAAGCCAAGTGATGCAGGCCGCCTTGAACTGGAATGGTTGACAACTACCATCCACTCTTCGTCCATCGATGATGTGATCCGTCATTGACATTGAATGCGTGAGCATAATCCTCAACCTGCAAATTGCATTTCATAGGTGAGCAATATATTGATGAATGATAATTCACTATTTGGCTTCCTATGGTAAATGTTATAAATTCTTAAATTTGTGTGATATTTTTATAACTAAATTATTCTAAATTGTAATAAAATTAATAATAAAATAAAAAGTTTTTTCGAAATACTTGCTATTAAAAATTAAAAAAATTATTTCATGTTTGTTACAACATGTAGTAGTAACTTAAATTAAATTTGTATATCTTTACGTTCATACATTTATACATGATTTCCTAATTTCTATATCTGTGCAGATTATATTAATATTATTTGGACAAGCCAAGTGATGCAGGCCGCCTTGAACTGGAATGGTTGACAACTACCATCCACTCTTCGTCCATCGATGATGTGATCCGTCATTGACATTGAATGCGTGAGCATAATCCTCAACCTGCAAATTGCATTTCATAGGTGAGCAATATATTGATGAATGATAATTCACTATTTGGCTTCCTATGGTAAATGTTATAAATTCTTAAATTTGTGTGATATTTTTATAACTAAATTATTCTAAATTGTAATAAAATTAATAATAAAATAAAAAGTTTTTTCGAAATACTTGCTATTAAAAATTTAAAAAATTATTTCATGTTTGTTACAACATGTAGTAGTAACTTAAATTAAATTTGTATATCTTTACGTTCATATATTTATACATGATTTCCTAATTTCTATATCTGTGCAGATTATATTAATATTATTTGGACAAGCCAAGTGATGCAGGCCGCCTTGAACTGGAATGGTTGACAACTACCATCCACTCTTCGTCCATCGATGATGTGATCCGTCATTGACATTGAATGCGTGAGCATAATCCTCAACCTGCAAATTGCATTTCATAGGTGAGCAATATATTGATGAATGATAATTCACTATTTGGCTTCCTATGATAAATGTTATAAATTCTTAAATCACAAAATTATATATTTGTGTGATATTTTGTTAACTAAAACTTGATTTTGTCTCTAAATATTAAATGTTCCATTTGTTTTTCTTTAGAGTCCAGACCACTACAGTCAAACAAAAAAGAACACAAACAAAGAAAATTAATTTAATATATTTTACTGTTTTATTCTATATTTTCAGATGTAATTCAACATGTCTGGCGATGGAGGAGAAATTTCTTTAGGTCCGTTTGCAGATGCTGTTGGAGTTACCCATGGTGACTTGACCAACCCAGTCGCGGGAAGGCTGACAACAATCAAGTGTGGCCTGGTCTTCGAAATAATTGACAACATCCCAACCCATAATGCTCAAGAGACTGCAGATTTGCTCCTGCGGTTAGTATAACCTATATATTAAGCAAAATGTCTTTAAAAAAAATCTACAGTATTCTATAAGACATGCAGGTTGGATCTACATCCCCTCTACTCTACGTCCTGACTGATGCACCCTGTAGACTACCCAAGTAGATGTAGAAGTACAAAGATGATATGTGATAGTAGTTTGATAAACAAAGCCTGTAACTTCATACAAAAAAATAAACTTTGAATCGATACAATATATTAAAAATGAAATTGTATTCATGGATATCTTATTTCTTTATCAATTTCTTTACAGATTAGCCCACCCAGACTCTATTATACACACGTCCAAACCACTTAGTCTACGTTTGAAGATAGCCAAAGCAGTCAGAGAGAGGGCCAAGTTGAGAAAGAACAAAAAGGCTGCATTACCCAACTTTTTCAACACAGAGTTTGTGCCCCCAGTAGCACCTCCACTTCAAATACCAGCGAAGCGCACCTATGAAGAACTTCACGTTGAGAATAATGAAATAAAGCAGAAACTCGCGCAATTGGAGGAAGAGCAGAAAAAAGTAGAGACTGAATATCCTGATGTTGTCCGAGAGTCTAACAGACTTCAACAAGAACTTGCGGATGTGGTCATTAAGCATAGAAATACATTAACAACTCATGCTAAAGACATTAACAAACTGATGAAGGAGAAAGCTAAACTTCAAAGTGCATATGAACTCAAATCAAATAAACTTGATGAGGTAAACATGAAGGTAGACACATTGAAAGGAAAGTCACAAGCCAAGTCAGAAAAAATAAATTCCTTGAAAAAACAGGTGAAACGAGATTCAGAGTGTAAGGGAAAAAAGGTAAAGAAAATTCATGATCTGGAACAAAACAAAAAAGAAATGGAACAGCAAGTGGCCCAAAAGGATGAGTGCATTGAGAGAACGAAGGAGTTAATGGAAGAGGCAAAGAGTGAACGACGTGCAGCCTTGAAGGACTTGAGTCAAATAAAGAGAAGAGCTAAAGAAAGCCAGTGTAACCTCATTGCTACAAATGAAGCCAAAATTAAAGAACTAAAAAACACAATTGAACAAAATGATGTACATGTACGTGAACTAGAGCAGCTAAATGTGTTGCTGGAAGGTGATGTTATCCACACCTTTGAAGGTGGACGTTTCATAAACGAAATGAGGGAAACAATTATGGTGCTTTTAACCGAGTGCAACGTTAGTATGCCAAAAGTAGGGAATGTTATCACAACAGTTTGCAAAAACCTACTTGGAAAGTTGCCCGATAAGCTGCCATCACACGGAACTCTTCACAGAATCTTGAATGAAGCCAAATTTGTTGCACAGACTCAAATTATGGAGTATATGGAAGAAGGGGGAGATCCTTCCAACCTTCAGGGTAATACCCTTCACTCAGATGCTACCACGAAATTTCACCGGCACTACCAAGGCTTCCAGGTGACGTTGCCTGATAAAGAGCAGATCAGCATTGGTCTTGTAGAGGTAGGCGCTGGTGATGCCGAAACTTATCTGGATGCCTTCAAACGCGCCATTAGTGACATTGCTGAGGCAGTTTGTAGTGATCAGAGCACAGAACAAGAAAAGAAAATAGCAGCATTGGTCACATCAGTTAAAAACACAATGGGGGACCAGGGGCCTACCAATCCTCAATTTAACAAGTATGTGCAATCATTTAGGGAAGAATTATTACCTCATGTTGTATCCAACTGGGATTCATTGTCGACAGCTGCTCAGAAGGAAATAGGAGACATGGGCAACTACTTTTGCAAGATGCATCTATTTGTTAACTTTGCAACAGAAGCAGACAAGGTCCTCAAAATAAATGAGGCTGATGTTATCGCTGCTGGAAAGAATCAGTTTGCTTTTGGGACGGAGAGCGGTGCAGCACGCTTGATTAGAACATCAGCGAAAGCCTTAACTCAACGTGGATGTGACATGTCAGGTATGGCTGCAAACTGGATGACATACCTAGAGGAACAGAACATAAAAAATCACCTCATTTCTTATCGTGCCAATCGTTTCAACGTCCTCTTCTATTCTGCTGCTGCAACGTATTACCATAGACGTCATATCTTTGATTTCATCAGTACTCTCCCTGATCCCAACAACCTTCTCAAAGCAGTACAATATGATGTGCAACAGACAATTTATCTCGCTCAGATACGCGCCCTAGGCATAATCGACAAAGTCATAACCGGACCATTTTGGCGGCTTGTCGAAAGAACAGATAATATCCTACAGCTCAACAACCCACTTGCTATCATGCAGAATAAGCTGAAATCATGGGCAAATGACGCTTCACCAATCTTAAACAAGGAAGTATTGTTCGAGAACATTGAAATTCACAAAGACGTCATGTATGAAGCATTGTTTGCTGAAAGCGAAGATACCGATTTCACTACTTATACACAAGTTGCACTAGAGATGGTACTGACAGGGATGTTATTAATTCTAGAGAGGCAGGCCAAGGACCAGCTCGAAGGAGGGAAGTTTTTCGCACCTTCTGCTAATCTGCTGAAGTCCGCTCAAAATGTGCCAACTACCAATAATGTTTCAGAGCGAGATTTTGCAGTGCTTGATGTTTTGGTGCGCCTGAAGCCAGCTGCATCCTGCCATTCATTTGAAACATATATCTTATGGCTGCACAACAAGCCAAGTGCCTGGCTGGACCAGATGACCAAGGAAGAAAAAAACAAATTGCTGGACATGGCGAGATGTCGGTACACATCGATAAGACAGCAGTATCTGAGAAAAAAAGACAAATTGAAACAACAGCACAGGCAAGCACTGCATGCAAAACAAGAAAAGAAAGAAAAACAAGAACAAAGGAGTCGAGTTACCAAAGTGGCAGCTACAGAAGGGGTGTTTGCGTATGGAGGAGTTTGGACCTTGGATTCATATGAAGATAAGATCAGTGAACTACAACCAGCAAAAAGGAAAGCTGCTATTTATGCCCAGCTCAAGTACCACAAGAGGGTCCTAGACTCCAAAGGGAACCCTCAATTGTTTCAGAAGTCCACTCACGGTACTGAACATTCAGAGGGAACCCTCACAGATAACTTAAAAACTCTCCTGGAACTCAATAATATCACAGCAGCTGATGTAGAGGGTGCTAGAGACCAGACCAACCTTCAATACCACACAAATGAAAAAATAACAACAAATGTTCGTAGTAGCAAGTCAGAAAGGATGAAAAAAATTTCTGAACAAAGGAATCAAATAAAGGCCAAACAGCAGCAGACGCTTCTTCCTGAACTCCTGTTGGATCCAGCATCATTAGTTGGTAAAAAATGTAAGCAAAAGTGTCGTGAGGAGGATGGCAGCGTTGAATGGTTTACTGGCTCCGTTACTGCAATTAGCCGTTTCAAACAGAATGTGATAAGTACGGAGTTTGACATGGTATATGACGACTTCCCTGAAGACACCTGGACTTTCCCACTTCTGATGGATCTGAAGAAAGGTGATTTGATCATCCTATAAAGTAAGAAAATAAGAGAAATAGTATTGTTATTATCTTTTATCATTATTATCATCATCATTATCATAATTACTATTGTTAATATTATTATTATTATTATCCTCATCATTATCAACAGTATTTATTACATGTATCATTCTTTGTCACAGTTTTATAGCTGAATGCTTTCTTCTTTTTTTCCTTCATAAATTTAACGGTATATAACTAAAACTTGGAATAACACATAACATGGGGTATTAATTATTTCTTTGCTCGTGATACTGGTACATTCGTTTGAAAAGGAAAGGGTTACGGTAGCTCTTTCCACTCACGAGCTCGACTCACCATAGTTCGTCTATCATTTCATCAGCGAGTTCGACTTACTGCAACTCTGATGATTTCACTACGAAGTCGGGCTCAACGATTCATCGAGCGACCCACTGCTCTTCTTCACCACCGGCTTTGATGTCTACATTTCTACCCTTGGCCTCCGACATCAAACGACTCACTGTTTCATCGTCGAGCGCCCAACTTTTCTTCTCTTCTCTTTTCGCCCGAGAGCTACATTCGTCATCATCATCACGAGCGTCGGCGTCGGCATCGGCATCGCGTTCTTCACGGCTCTTCAGCCACGTCAATGAAGTCGCGTTTCCGCCATCAAGCCTCCGCACCATCATCGCGTGAGCCCCTTCCTTCGTTCTTCACATTTCATCATCTTCATTGGACTTTCGACCTCATTTCCACTCTGTCGTAAGCTCTATTCATTTCACTGCATTTATTCATCATTACATGACCATTTAAAAGTCCGTGCAATATCTACGATTCTCATTCATGTGATTCGTATTCCGAATCATTTATTCGCCTGACTGACTTCACTTGCAAGTGTTAGTCTATCATATTTATACATTAATAAACTTAACGAAAAGAGAATACTTTCTTTCATGTATTTTATTGTCAGTGCAACCTTGCTTCCTCGTAGCTAAAATAAAAAGAGAGTTATGTTGTGTGACTAGTGAACACGTTTTCCAATTTCCATTCACATTTCCTCACACACTCATTTCTTTACAGACCTTTACTGTTTCCATGACAACCGACAACACAGACGTAATACATTGCATAAAACATTAAAAACCATACCATTGTAAATCATATTGTTAGAATAATATATCCAACAGTTTTGGTGGTGAAAACTTGTCTAATTTTGGATTTATGTTGAAAAGTGCATTTGTTTTTGTCAAATCAGAGCGTTAACAAATCAGTGATTTGTATTGGTTTCTATGGTAACAAAAACATTTTACAACATAAATTCACAATTAAAATTCTATTTAGGGAGCTTATTGATAAAATAACATATCCTGCATATCTTATGGTTATATCTTAAATAATTATGGATCTCAGTTTAAAAGCGTCAAATCAGGCCAAAGAAAGTTCATTGACCTTTCAACTGTTTCCATGGTAATGCAGATGTAATACCAAATATTGTATCATTTTAAAGTAATGTTTTTTTAAAGCATACAAATAAAGTAACATATCTTGAAAGTTTAGTGGTGATATCTCAAGTAATTTGTGATTCATGTGTGAAAGTGTCAATATTTTACCTAATTTTAGACCAAAACTTGGGACAATTTTGGGCCTAATTCACTATGCATGACCGTCTTCGCGGAATGTGCGATATTTTGACACGTAAATTGCCATATCTCGAAAAATATTTATCCAATTTGATTCATTAAAAAAATATTGAATTGTACTCTTCAAGCTCTTTCATATGATACCAAATTTAATGCATTTGGACATATGAATAGTTTTGACCTGAAAACCCTACTGATATGCAATGTGAAGCTTCATTTTTCGGGTTGATTTATCGGTTTTCGAGTATGAAACGTTATAATTGTGGTATTTTGCATAATGCATGAACCCTACTCATGCCTCAGTCATGGTATCTGGTGTAGGTCAAGATTAATTACGGGTGTTATGGTGAGGTAAAAGGGACACAAAAAGCTATTTATATTTCAGTATATCTTCAATTTTTCTTCCTCTTTGTCAATGTAAAACTGTGATATTATGACATGAAATATTACCTTGCTTTCAACCAATCAGAATCAAGCATTTGGGACTTGTATTTGATATTTATGTCATGATATTAACCAAAGTTTTATGCTACAGGGCCAATGCCGGCCGGGGGTCAATGTCTTTCTAATTCAGTTATTATGAGAGCCAGGGTTTATTGATTTAAAACGCTTTATATAAATTAATATAAACGCTTCTAATATATTCATTTTATGTTTATGGCTATTATAAACAGATTGATACTTATAGATTTGGGATAGAGATGGGTATGTAGATAGCTAGACACATAAATAGATGGATAGATAGATATAATATAGAAGGATAGAGATGGGTATGTAGATAGCTAGACACATAAATAGATGGATAGATAGATATAATATAGAAGGATAGGTAGATAATGGAAATGCAGATATAGGACGATACTGAAGATAGGAAGAGGGGGAAGGAAAGAATTATACACATTTATTTTAAAAAAATTGTTATTTACTCATCCAATCATTCATCCATCCATCCAAACAAACATTCTTTTTCTTCTTCTCTCACTCATTTATATCAAATTCACACCTTATGTCTTTCACCTAATCTCTATAAAATCTCTATATGTCTGAAAGAATAATTCATTTTTTTACAGTTCACTATAAATATATATGAATATTCTTTAAAAACAGCTGATCATTGATGTAATCATTATTTATTCACATCACTTTTTTTTTTCCATAAATAATATTCTCCTTGATACAGTGTATTTCTTATTTTCTTCATCAACCAGTTTTAGAGAATAAACTTATAATTCAATTTGAAGGAAAAAATGAATAAATGAACCTTTTATTACCACACGGCACATGTGTGTTGATATTCTACAGCATAGGCATTTAAGTTTTGACATTTTATTGGACATATATACTGCAATAATACAACACAATTGAAAGGACAGACATTGCAAAAACAACACCTCAGATTTTAGCCCCAAATTTACTGTCACGGATCATAGGCAACACAACCACGACAAATTGATTCGCCACCAAAGACAAGCATCACACATCCCAAAACCACCACAATAACTCCCAAAACATAAATGTCAGGAGGCCAATGTCTATGTGTCAAGATGTCAGCGATAACAAACACTTTATTAACTAGTCTTGGCTCCAAGCGCACGCAGGCGCGTCACATTTACTAATAATACAAAGACATTTCATCGAGTAATAAATGCAAACCAGAAAAAGTAATTGAGCATATGTATTCCAAGTCACCTGTATAGCTATGAAGAACTCTAATTGATGAGACTTACATCTCAGGATACTGCACTACACTATTCAGTGAAACCTCATAGTAACATGGTCTTTTGACATCATTATTCATCAGGTATAATAATAAATTTGAAACTGATTACCCTCAAATGTACACAGTAGATACAACAAGCCAAAGAGTGCACAATCTTATGGGTTTACATCTAGTGACATTATTCCATATAATTGCTCTGTTATCAAATCTCTTCAAAAGCAGTTTTCCATTTTGGAACAAAATTCAAACCTATGTACAAAACGATCTACGGGTGTGTATATGGTGTGCAACTGTGCATTACACAAGCTTTTCAATTGCCACACATCTGTGAATTCTTCTCGTTTATTGAAAATGGGCTCACTTGATGTGAATTTCTTGCTTTTCATCTTTAATGATGTAAATCACTTGGTTGAGAACAATCCAGACAATGTTATAAAAAAGGTCTACATGTTTATCTCAGGTTATCCATACTGTACCTGCAGAATCAAAGCACATGTAGAGTGCAAATAATTTGCAAAAATTATAGCAACTGAATCAGATATTGCAGGTACAATTATGAAGCTTATAGAGTAAATATTCAAATACAGTGTACCTCACAACAACTCAAAATTCAGGTACATTTTGTTTAACCCCTAATTTAATCAACTCTTCTAAGTTCCTCTTTAGTTTGCCTTCGTGTAAAGTTAACAAACAGAAAATTATGGTTAGGTTGTGCAACTGTCACAATGTGTCCCAAGAATTTTATTTCATTACACAGAACAAAAGTCTCAGATTGTTCTGTTATTTTAAAAGATTATTGAAAGCTCTCTCCAGTTTTAAACGGCTTCACAGTCAATCATCCAGTGGATAAGCTATGCAGACAAGAGGCAAAATATAAAAGACCGATCTGTCTTTGTAGTTTGTACGAATGAAGTTCTATGTTTTGGTTTTTTTTCCTGAAAATGCGTTCTCTCCAAAGTTGTGTTGAAGTAGGTCAAGCTGATCCTGGCTAATGAGCTTGCTTTCGTGGACTTCCTGCAAGAGAGTCCTGGTTTTTCCATCTTTCCTGTTTACCTTGTTTCACCACTTTTTTTTTTCTTGGCATCCTGCACTTGCTGTCTGGTTATATTCAGTTTCTAATCAACTCAGACAGAAAAAGAATAGTCATGTTCTCTTGTAATGTCATAGGGTTTCTTTGGAGGCACGGGAACACTTTCGGATGTTGTACATGGTTTTGCTGGGAGTCTTGAGCCATGGGTCTGTTTATAGGGAGGACGTCCAGGAAAGACAGTAGGCACAGCTCTAGGAAGGAGATGTGGTGTGTAACATCCTTTCCTCTCTTGGGTGTATTCCTGCATTACAATAAAAGCAAATGGAAACAATAATGAGTTTTTTCTCATAACATGACAATTGTTCTACTATTCATGCTATTTCATGTGATTTTTAAGACTGAAACTGAAAGCAGCTTCCAGCCAAATAAATAAAATAATGTTATTTGATAGAAATAGTGTAGTGTGCGGTGGGATTTTTAGGCTAGCCTAAGGTAGTTGGATAACTCCTGTGATGTGAAATATGGCAGGCTAGCCTGGCTTAGACCAAAAGCTTCAGTCTCTCTATATCGTCGGTTGTTCTACTGAGACTGCGTCTGGCTGGCACTAGACCTCTGATTATATTATGGGGAATGTCAACAAATGTCAGTTTTATTAAAGAAATGACCCATATCACACGGTTATTTCTGTCTAGCCTGGCTTTGCCTTTCAGGCTTTAGAAATTAGAGACTAGAGTTTAGATCTAGAGTCTAGATCTAGATCGAGGGTCTAGCCTAGATATAGACTAGTTAAAAATAAAATATAAAGTCAGAAGTTGACATTTGATTTTTATCTTGAAATTAGATAAGATAAAATTAATTATATCATTTTATTTAATAGAATCAAACTCATGGAGTTATATTTCCGAGTTGGACTCTCTGGCTCTTGGAGTTGCGAGCGACTCCAGCGCAGCAGAATTTTCCCATCACCGTCCCCAGAACCTTAACCCATGCCTGCCCCAGCCAGGCGGGCGTGGACTGGCGCGCTCCGCTGCTGCAGGAGCTGCGGTGGCTTGTCATGAGACAACCCGTGCCGGGTACAGACTACAGTCACTGCATAAACTACATTTTTAGCTCCAAAATCTCCTTATTAATCAACATAACATTAAGAAGAACTTACTTGTGAACTATTAGGCAGTTCCCTTTCTTTCTTCGGTTCGAACATCCAAATGCATCGCACGAACCTGGCTTCTCCAAATTTTTCCACGTAAGTTGTGCACAGTATCTTGTTGGGTCGTTCGTTTTTCTGCCCTCCTTAGTAATGGCGGCCACCGCTCCAGGTCAACACAGCAATTTGAGCGAGTACGCCCTCTAGTGTTATTAAGTATATATCTCTATGGTGCAGGGTTATTGAGTGAGAACCAATTACATCAGTAGACGTGTTGAATACAGTTTCCCTGTTGTAAAAAGTAGCATTTATGTGATCAAAAGCTCGTGCAAAATGCAAATCAACATCGGGCGCAAATTGCACCCTAGTAAAATAAAGTAAAAAATAAGGATTTTGCGGATGTTTCTTTTCTTCAGCGCTCTGCAGGTGTAGGGTTCCTGATTCGCGTGCTGGTAATGCAAAAAATGTATTACGCGTACTAAAATACCCCCAGTTCATCGTCTTCTTTTATGGGTGGTCCGTCTTCCCAAGGATTTATCGTTCATAACGACTAACGTGAATGTCTCTGTGCAAAGAAAGTGTGAAAGGCATCAAGGAGCATCATCGCAGAATATGGTTTTCGCATCGCCTACGCGCGGATTGGAAATAAGAATCACGGACGATCCTAATTTTTAAAGACGCATCTGTCTGCTTTTACGAAGATGATTCTTGTTTATGTGGACAATCCTTATTTTTCAGACCAGCGCCCCTAGTGATCATAGACTAGAATTTTCTAGATCTAAATTTTATTAATCAACAAATAATCTTATCAAGTTAATTAGTTAAGGATCCACACCCACATTATTTCTGGATTTGACATTCATCGAAATTAGTTCAAACAAATATTTCTTCAAATATTATTTCCTTCTGAAAACACCGGAAAGACTGGAACTCTTTACCACCATCCATAGTTAACATTCAAGATTCTGATGTATTCAAGCCAAGACTCATGACTCATGTGCAGTATTTTTTCACTAGGCAAAATAGCATGAATTATTCCACTCCTACAATTAGAATGTCTGATCGCGCACTCTGTTTTTGTGCTAAAACCCTTCCCATAGAAATTGCATGCGTAGCTATGCAGTCTACGTGCATTGCGCGCTCATGCAAAATTGGTTAATGTTTTTATTACCAAATTGAGATTCAAACCTTTATTCTTTGTGATCCTGAAGGCGATGCACAACAAATGAGGTGTCATATGAAAGAGCATGTTTTTCTCCATATTTCCCAAAAGGGTGCATTTCAAAACTTTAAAAATATTTTGATCAAAAAGGTGATTTAAAGTGAAATAAATATTTTCAAAGAGTGAAATGAAATTTATTTTAAAAGTGAAATTTAAAAAAGTGGAGAGGTTTCCCTATATTGCATGCCATAGGCATGGTTCCAATTTTCTTATGTTGCAACAAATATTGTAATAAAATTAAAAAGCCAGTGTAAAAAAATGTTAGGATGTATGATTGATGTAGAATGTTTAGACATCTGATTTTAATTTATTATTTATAGATCACTGGCTGTTTTTCTCTATGTTTATTCATTTATATTTTTATCTTATGTTCTTTCTCTCTGGCAGAAGTCCTCAAAACCTACTGATAATATTCAAGATTGGATCAAGGTAATGTACTAGTAGTAGTCAATCAGCAACTTTGTCTATTAAATATTTTGTAATTATTTTAGAATAATGTATTTACCTACAACAATCTCTTACAGAAATCAAATTTTTACAGAGATATATACACTCGTTGATTGTTGATTTACATTCAACTGTAGTTTTGTTTATTACTGTTTAATAGAAGGCCGTACTTTACTACATAACCACGGTGCTAGTCTGTTATTTGGATATTTGTCACTCACATATACATAAAAATGCTCATACATGGTTTCCAAAGATCAAAACATTGTTCTATTGGTAATGATAACAAACATATAAATGGTTATCTCTGTTTTAGAAAGTGGAAGAAGCATCCAATCAAGCGGCAGCTGTGACCTTTGGCCTTCCAAGCAGAGGTCAAAGGTCAAATGGATACAGTACGGTGGAGGCCACTCTTGATGCAGTACATGATCATGATGAGGCGTATAGTGAAGGTATGTTTATCTTGTGTCTATCTTGGTGGGCCTGGGTAACATGGCTATACCAAATCCATTCTTTAGGGCCCCGTTTCATAAAACCTGTTATCAATAACGAGTTACAATAACTGTTATAAGCTACCGAAATCGTGGTGTCTGATTGGCTGAGAGCTAATTTATCTTTGAATTGTATGATTTGTTAGTGATAACAAGATTCATGAAACAGGGCCCTGATTGACCACTAATGATAGAATCTTGGCCATAAGATGTAATAAGTCTTTTGTCTGGTCTATTGTAATTCGAGATTGTTTTAACCTTAAAATGTGCAGATTTATATTTGATGGTATTTATTTTATTTTTTAAAATTTCTATGTGTTCATGTAAAACATGACTTTTCTGAGACCATATTTTAAAGCTGGTCATGGAATGCATAGAAAAACTACATCTTCAAAATGTATTTAGGATAAATATTAGATATGACTAAAGGATAAATATTGAATATGCATGAAGGATAAATATTGAATAATGTATAAAAGACAGATATTTAATAAAGGGTAAATATTGAATATGTGTTTAGGATAAATATTGAATACATTGTATGTATTAAGGATAAATATTGAATATGTATTGAGGATTATGGATAAATATTGAAAAATACCGGTATGTATAAAGGATAAATATTGAATATGAATAAAGGAAATTGAATAAAGGTTGAACAATGATAGATAAAATGGTAAGTTTAATCTGAAAGTTTTTTTTCTCCATGTAGCACAAGATCTTCTCTCTCAGTGGATGGCTGACAAATGCAACCTGGATGATCATGTGACCATGGATGACGAGTATGACATTGAGGGCGCTGGTGATAGGTCACCGGGGGTCAAATCTACTCTGCGTAGTGAATGGGACGACATGCTAGAGAGACACAATCCGATGCTTGTCAGCAAGACCAAATACACCACATCTGATGGTATGTACAAAGAAATTAAAACAATTTCAAAGATACCATAACTTTGGTAACATATGCTAAATTACACTCAGTACATTAAAAATATAATAAAAATCATAATGTAATAAGAAAATAAAATAAGAACAGTAAAACATAATACGATATTATAAATATGTTAAATTACACTCAGTACATTAAAAAATATAATAACATAATGTATTAAGAAAATAAAATAAGAAAAAGTAACAACAATGATAAAAGGTATGATAAGATTACTGAATATAGAAGCTTGTGTAGGTGCTATCTTATATACATATTTATGTATGGTGTGTATGTGATATAACAAATAATCTGCACGTACTGTTAAGAAACACTAACAAAGCCCATGAATGTTTTGCTTACGATATTATTTTACGATACTATCTTAAAAGATAGATAAATATAAAACGAAATAAATGTATTTTTAAAAAAATCCAAAATTGAGAGATATAACACGTGCCGTAAAGTAATTTGGCGACAATAGTCAAATCACTGACTAATCGCCAATAACTCAAAACACAACAACAACAACAACAACGCCGTAAAGTATTTTGGCGACAATAGTCAAATCACTGACTAATCGCCAATAACTCAAAACACAACAACAACAACAACAACATGAGTTCAAAATTAACCATATTAAAAGCATATAAATGAGTATTCTTTTGAGCTCTTTGGAAGTGCATGGGGATATAATATCACAATAATTGGCACTATACAAGAATGGAATATTTTTATCTGATGACTGGGATTTTAGCAGAATACATGTGTGCTTTCTATAATCCAAATAATAATAATCTGTCTTCTTTACCCAGGGAAGCCTCATCAGTATTAAATACTGTTCTCCTTGAGGGCCCTGCAATCATATTATTACACCGGCTTTAGCCAAGCTACCATGAGAAAGCACTCAAGCATTCTAAGAAGTTTTTGCCTTCCGAGTACATATTTACTACACCTGGGTGGAGAGTAGCAAATGTAGATTAATATCTTGCCAAAAGATTTCTATGAACTTTTGTATAGGAAAACAATCTATAATATTCTTCAACTAAGCCTTGTCCATTATTGTTCTAATTATTGATCAAATTATTTGACCGCCGGTCCACCCTTAGAGTATAAACATGCTTGCTTACAATATATTTTATTACCTGACGAAGTGTAGCAGCGGCGCACGAAACGTCGTGATCTTTTAGATCCCTTGTTGACCATACATTGCGAGACAAACGAATATTACTAGCGATATTATTTCCGAAATTTATTTATCCTTTGCAGAACTTTATGCTGACATTGAAAACAGGGATGACTACAGTCAAGTGCAGAGCATACTGGGTTCCTTGATGGATAAAGAGTTGATAGAACCAAAGCAGAAGAAGAGACTACAAGCAGCGAATGAAGACAAGAAGAAGTCAGATCCAAGAACAACAATGGCTGCAAGACAACAGAAGGTACTATCACAGATTAACCCATTGCCCACTGGAACTCGGTTAATTTTGGCCCCTGTATCAACCTTGTTATAATATGTTTACAGAGACTACACCATCAAGTGTCCACAGTCCAACAATCAAATTACTCACACCCTTACCAAGTTTCGTAATTTTTTAAGTATGTGAAAAACTGATTTTGTTCAGACTTATGTTTCTTACTATGTGACATATTAAAGCTTTACATCTAAAAGTATTCAATAGATGTCCTAATTCAACCAGTCCACCTTTCATTCTTGAGTTATGAAAAACATGAATAACATTACATCTACAAGGTCATGACTAATTCAGGTGTTAACTGTGAGCTTTTACTACTCTCGCTCTCATGTCGTTGAATCATGAATAAAATAAGCATGACCCAATAACAAGTATTCAAATAATTTATTCTTTGTTTACGTGTCTCTGCCATGACTGTGAGAGTAATGGACACGAAACAACAAGCCTGATGAATTTATTAAGGAATCAAGCAAAGTTAAAGCCCCCAAGACAGAAAACAATGGAATAAACAAGGTTGATATTTCAATTTCTATACTACAATGACGCAGGTCAGAGAGAATCGGCTGAAGAAGGAGCAGGAAAAGAAGCAGCAGCTAGAAACCAGACAGGCCAAGAAGTCCGCACAGCACCAGGCGAGACAGATGGTGCAACAAGAAGAGAAAGAGAAGACGATGAAGATACAGAGAGAAGAACAGATGATAAGAGAAGAGATGACGAGGATCAGAAAGGAAATGCAGGAGCAGAAGAGATCGGAAGAGGAGTCAAGAGCAAGGTTAGAACCTGGGATAATTTTTTAAAATATTCATAAGTAATAATGAAGTAGTCTCAGGTCTTGAATCCAACCGTTTTTACGAGGTCACAAGTATTTGACGTACCTAACTTCTTTATTAAGCAATTAAAAATGTTCAATTAATTCAATTAAGTTTATTCATTTCCATAAAAATCACATTACAAGAACGCGTACATTTTGTTTTAAGTAAAACATAGCTTTGCACTTGAAATGTTTCACTGGAATAAACATAAGTACATTAAAATATTAAATATATAAGTGATGTAGAATAGATGGTGTATTGAAGGAGCTCTTAATTAACAAGCGTCTTTCTATTCTTCAGGGAGAGAGCGATCTTAGCGGAAGCTCGTAGAGAGGAAGATGAGAGAATGAGAAAGGAGGAGCTGGTGATGAGGAAGATAGAGAATTCTCGACGGCAGCAGGAAGATGGAGACAGGAGAGCTAGGGAGGAGAGAATGATAGGAGATGCTCAGGAGGCTCATAGACTTAAGGTAGGTCAGTCTAGCTAGTGACAACCTGGGGGTGTTTCACACTTAACTCTATGTTGGACTTGAAAATTATGGAGAGCCAGTTGTAGCCTTAAAATGAATATATTCAAAAGCAAAAATTCAAGTATTTTAGACTCTTCATAAATTCCACATCAAGAACATGAAATCTCGTTGATAATAGAAAATAAGAATGATTTGAATCAACATTATTTGCCTTTTAAAATATCTTTTTACAAAATATTTTCATAGGTGTAATCGGCTTTCCATAATTGTTAAGTCCAACGTAGAGATAAGTTCAACTTAATAATAATAAATAATAATATTGAACTTTTATAATGCGCCATCTCTGTCAAAAATGACACTCCTTAGGATCTTTGTGAAACACCCCCCCTGGAGTAGATCATTACCCAAGGTCATGTTGACAGTCAACAAAAACGTGGTGGGCCAAAAATTTGATGGGCTGATGGAATAAAAGAGATAACTGGCATGAACATCTGCACAGCTAATCGCTATGCCCAGGTTACTGGTTGGAACGTGATCATCAATAGGGTCACAAAGGGTCAGTCATGACTCATAGGATGACGACAAGATAGCTGCAGTCATACTGGGAGAAAATTCCTGAAACTTTGATTCCTGGTGAATCCTTACTTTTACAAAATTTTCTGAAAATCCACTAGGGCAACGTCACCTAGAGGAGGAGGTGCGCTTTACAAGTGACAATTCTTATGTGCTCTCTCGTTTTCTGTTAATTTAAGTGTTTTTTGTGATCTTGGTCATTTTATATTTACACCAGTGGAAGAAGTTTATACCAGGAACCTACTGGAAATTTTCTGTGTTGTTATATGCATCAATTGTGAAGTTCTTAATTAAAAAGTGCGTAGAAACTTTGGTGGAAAGCGCTTCATAAACACTGTTTTTCTATTATTATTAGATAATCCCATTGTATTTTGAGAAATGCAGTTCTGGCATTTTTGTGTGTGTGCGGCAAGTATTGAATCCAATGACCGGGGTAATAGAAATCTGTAAAGCGCTTAGAGACATTTGTATCTGTACTGGTTTGGCTAGGAGGGATTAGACCACCCAGGAAGGTCACTGACAGGTGGCTATCTCATCAACTCGGCTCTCAATTAACATAAGAAAAAGAGGATCATGGGGGGCCAATGGTCACCGATTAGGCATTGTTTTCTACATAGAGGGAGCAAGTAGCTACAAGTAGTACAGTGAGCCTTTAAGCGCTATGTAAAAGCGGAATATTATTATTATTATTATTATCATTGTTTCCCAATCCTTGTCTTCAGACCCTCCAGAGTCACTTCCATGCATGGTATCGTCTGGTCCAGGACCAACGGCTTCATATGGGCAAAGCGAGGGCGCTGTCTGAATGGCGGAGTATTCTCAAATCCTGGAACGCTTGGAGAGCTTTCGTCCGAGCCTGTCGAGCTGAAAGAGAAGCTAAGCAGACGGAGATGGACATCAAACTCTCTCACAGGTTTGGAAATGAGATCGTATATGAATCATCAAGGTCATTTCATTTTGTAGAAATCCCCTCCCCAAAGTGCCCTCAAATTAAATAATAACAATGTCTTCTATAGCGCTAATATCTGCCAGCTTGTTACTCATGGGGCTTACTCCAAAATAGTCAAACTCTGTACGTGCACTGCTCGTGATATATACATGTACAAATAATATGACATGTAAATAGATGAAGAAGTAATTTCCAGTGTTAAGTCAATAGTGAATCGATTGGCAAGTGGCAATTTGTGGGATTTAATAGCACAGGTGTGTGCAACAACGGTCTCGGCATTTTTCCCTCTTGTTGCAGTTTTAAGTGGTCTTAGAACCCGAGAAACGCAACCTTTCAAAGAATATTTGATTTTCGTTTAGAAAAAGTAACTGCTTTAAGACCAAAATAAACATATTTTAGATCATTTGAATTCTAAATTTTTTTCCAACAGGAGGAAAAATGCAGCAGAGAAACATTATCGTCATCGCCTTCTTCATAAAACCTTTGTAGCGTGGCAGGTTTACCGTCACAAAGAGAGCTTAGAGAAAGAACTCAACGAGCAACAGTCTCACAGGAGATCCAAGATGGCTGCCTTCCTCGATGCCGCAGCGTCAGGCAAGCTCTGGACTGATCGTAGTCAGGAACAGGAACCGACTCCCCGTTCTGATAGGCCAGTCTCTGCGGGCAGGGTTATGGTGAGTTTATATTGTTCATACCTATGGCTTGCATGTTCATGCATGATTCAGTAAACCCCCCCCCCCCCCCAAAAAAAAAAAAAAAAAAAAAAAAGGAAGAGAGAAAGAAAAAAAAATCTAAGCTTTTATGAAGCTTAGAAGTTAAAGGTAATGATAATCTGATATTTGATATGTTTACAGTGGTGATACATATGAGGAATGCTGTTTAAGATGTTCCAATATAGCCAAGCTAGGCCACAGGTTTCAGTGATCACTGTAAACATTCAAGGAGTTCCTTTTTACCATTTAACACCTGGGTGGAGAGTGGCAAATGTTTTGCAAAAAGTTGCCAATTGACATGGTTAAGAAACACAGATATTGGTATTACAAATTAAATTAGATTATATTTCTTAACAAAATCTAATATTTCTTGCTTTTTTGTGTAGGGGGCAAACTTTGGTGGTGAAGATAGCTCTGATCCCATCTCCAGCAGAAGTGACCCTTCATCCAGACTCAGTACTACACACATTAAACAGGAGAAAGGGGTCAGGCACCAGTCTTCAAAGAAACCCAAACATGCATGGCAGGTTACCAGAAAACATGTCAATCTCACTGCAGAAGAAATGGCTTCGATTGGAGACAATGTGGACATTCCATCAGCTGGACAACCTCCCTCTGATGGGCAACAATCGAAACAGGGCAAGAGGCCTATTCAATACACAGTGAATAACTTTGAACACAGATACTCTGCACAGCAGAAGCTCCTCGCTGAACAACAGGAGCAGCTGAGGGAGCAAAGACGATTGATAGATGAGCTTCAGGTAGGCCAGAAGCAACAGGCAATGAAGAAGCAGTTGGACCAGATTAGAGATGGGGAGTATACACAGGACATGGAAGAGCATCCTGAAGGGCATCCATTGGATAACATGTTTAATAAAGGAGGTCAGAGGTCAGAGAGGTTAGTTTCTTTGTGTTTGATTGTCGTTGTAAAAACAAAATGTCAAAAAAAAATTATTTAAAAAAATCATTAAAAAAGGAATTTGGTATTATCTGAAAGTGCATCGACTCCTAAATTTCGCATAACAGAACTGAAAAGGTTCTCAAGATATGCACAGAACAGTAGGATCCAATACCGCTTGCTTGCATTGTGAAAGTCATGTTTTACAAACCAAGCTAGCCTTGTGCCTTCATTCCCATTGTACACAAAATATTGTGTGCAGTATTGCATTGTGGATGCAAAAAACATTGCTTTTGCAAGCCAACAGATTGATCTGTTAAACGCCATCTGTACTAGTTTGGCTAGGAGAGATTAGACCACCCAGGAAGGTCACTGACAGGTGATTATCTCATCAACTCAGCTCTCAATTAACATAAGAAAAAGAGGATCATGGGGGACCAATGGTCGCGGATTAGGCATTGTTTTCTATATAGAGAGAGCAAGGAGCTACAAGTAGTACAGTGGGCCTTTAAATGTAATATTTTAACTATTATCTTATAATTATCTGGATTTATATAGCGCTTAATATGAAATACAGTCCCTAAGCGCTTTACAGATATTAACACCCCAGTCATCGGATTCATTTACCCACAATGTGCACCATCTCCACTCCCTGGAGAGTATTCTTACCTTAGATGTATATCCATCTATGTCTCATAGCTTGGAGGTTGTTTGGGCGACGATGAAATGAACCTTGAGACACATGTTCCCCATAACTTCATGACTTCAGCTGTTCTAGTTTCCTGTCCAAATGACTTTCTTATCCTAGTTGGTCTGCCCCTCTTTCTTGTCCCATATGTTCCTCCTTGCAAGATGGTGTTTGCCAAGCTATACTTCCATCTAGTTACGTGCCCAAAACACTGTAGCTATCTTCTTTTCAAAATTTATCTATTCACAATTTGTATTCCATGGTACCATACAAAATTACTCTCTTAAAAATCTTTCTAGATCTGAAGTGTCTGCTGGGGACTCAACTACTAGAACCACCTGGAGTGAAGATTCAGCTTCCTCTAATAAGACAAGGTCAACCTCAAGGTCACAACCTCCTATACGCAAAGGTAAGAAAGCTATTATGTGTCATGCCGTACACAGGGTTGTCCGCATATTGTCAAACATATAAGATTGAAACTTGGAAGGAGTATGACCTGATGTTTACAAAGCCCAAAGTCTCGGTACATGTATGTTGCTGGGGTCCAGTGCTCGCTCAAGGCTCCATGATATTCTAATATGCTCTCTGATACAATGCATTTAAAAACAAATTTTATGACTAAAAATACAGAGATGATTATTTGAGAGTGCATATTAACCTGTCATTGATTTTCAAAACAACTTGTGGACTAGTAAATACAGTGAAACCTGCTTTAGTGACCACCTGTCTACAAAGATCACATTTGTTGTATCCCTTGAAAATGGTTTCTCTTTGAAACATGTACTAATGAAACCTGTGTACGAAGACCAACTACCTACAATGATCACTCTTTGTGTTTCCCTTAGGCGGTCGCTATAGTCAGGTTTGACTGTATTAAATTCTGTTCTTGTAGAGAAGTATGTAAATCTACATTGGTATTTGTTGTTACAGGAATGGAGGACAGAGCAGCTCAGAGAGCTAGGTTGAAATCAGAAAGGGAAGAAAGACAGAAACAGAAGGAACAACAAAAACTGGTAATAATTGTTTCCGTTTATATAAAGCTAGAGAGAAAACTTTGATTAGAGTCATAAGTACGAGTTTGAAATCATAATGAATATGAGAAGTGTTTTCTTTCAAGCTCACATTTCGGCATTATCTGTGGCAACTATGGAATATCTGTTTACTCACTATCCCTTTTCCCAGTTGCTCTTCCTAGTGGGCTTACTCTCTCTCACTCTCTCTCTTTTTGCTCTCTCTCTCTTCTCCCCAACTCTCTCTTCTCTCTCTCTCTCCCTCTCTCTTTCTCTCTAACTCTCTCGTCTCTATCTCCCTCTTCTCCATCTTTCTCTTCTCTCTCTCTCTCTCTCTCTCTCTCTATATATATATATACATATCTTCTTTCTGTCTCCCCTTCTCTCTTTTCTCTCTGTCTCTCTAATTGGCTCTCTTAATAATACAGGTATGTCTATTACAGTGTTCTGTTTTGTTTCTCTCTCCCTAATTTTTTTTCCCTATCTTTAAATATCTCACCCATCCTTCCTCTCCTCTTCCCTTCTTTCTCTTCATCATTGTCTCTCTGCCTATCTCCTTCTCTCTCTGTCTGCCTCTCCCTCTGCCTCTCTCTCTACCCCATCCCTTCTTTCTTTCTCTGTCCATATCTGTCTTTTCTGTTTGTCTCTCTCTCTCTCCTTCACCCTCTCTCTCTCTCTCTCTCTCTCTCTAGTGTTAGATATTTATGAAATATCTCTTTTTTGTCCTTTTTAGAAAGAGATGCAGGAAGAGGAACAAAGGAAGGTTGCAGCTGAGGAGGCAGAGAAGAAAGCAGCTATTGAGAAGAGGAGAGAGGAGAAAAGACTCACTAAACAGGTATCTAGGATTCCTATTAGGTTTCTCTGCTTGATGCATATGCATGTCATTTATTCTCGTTGAAATTATTAAAATTAAGTATGGATGTTCAATGAATGTTTAATGTAACCATTAAACAACTTTTTATGCTTGGCTTCCTCTAAAATAAAAGTAAAATATAAACGAATAAATAAATGAAATAAATAAAATTGCTTTATGAACTAAAAGTACATGTTAAAAATATTCATTCTATTCTCTTTGTTATTTTGAGACATACATGTGTACTACTTTGTGCAAACAAAACTTGAATTTACTGTATATAATGCTTTCCTATTTTAATAAAAAAAGAAAAGAAAGATAAGAACTTATAGATAGTATCATTCATTTTTTTGGTACTAGAACAAGATCCTTGTAACAATTATTTTGATCAGAGTTGTGTTTCGAGCCCACCCCTTTTAAAGCTTATCTGCCGTAGTTTACAGGAGGGATTAGAGCGCCCTGCAAGGTCACTGGACAGGTGGTTATCTCATCAACTCAGCTCTCAGTTAACATAAGAAACAGAGGATCATGGGGGACCAATGGTCACCGATTAGGCATTGTTTGTTGTATAGAGGGCGCAAGTAGCTACAAGTAGTGCAGTGGGCCTTTAAGAGGTCTTTATTCCTAAAGAAATATTGATAGTGTCAATTTTAAACCCTAATTTGTGAGTGATTTATTTTGAATTTCAGAGGGAACAGGAGAAGTTGGAGCGCATAGAGAAATCACGCAGACAGATGGCACAAGCAGATGCTCACTATCAGACTTCGCTGCTCCGTCATTATGGTTTCAAACCATGGTGTAAACTGGTTAACGTGGCAAAGCAAAATATGCAGGTGGGTGCAGCGAAATGATATTTCTCTCTCCTTACATATGTATGTCTTCATTTCTTGCATCAAATGGAAATTACAGATTATTATAATATGATGTGTTTTCTTATTTATAATAGTAATGATAATATTCACATTTGTATAGCACTTTCATACCAAATTTTTAAGCGGTTACATTGATGTGTTATAAAAAGGACTTTTTCTAAGCTTTTGAAGTTCATATTGTACTTAATCAGATACTGCGGGACATACAGGAGCCAAGTGATACAATAATAATAATAATATTCTGCTTTATTCTGCTCTACACTCCCTGGGAGCATTCCAGCCAGGCGTTACTTGAAGCTCAAAAACTGTTTGACCAACAATGACGGTCGCATCCTACCGGGTACCCATTTAACACCTGGGTGGACAGTAGCAAGTGCAGGTTAATATCTGAAGTCCATTTCTGTCCTACAGGTTGCGATAGACAGCCATAGCAACAACCTGCTCCACGGAGTACTGTTGTCATGGCATCACACGACCCAGGAAGTGATTCAACGTAAGAATGCCCTTGCCGACGCAAGGTTCAGAGAGATTCTTCTCAGGAGAAGCCTCAACTCTTGGAAGAAGGTAATTCAAGTATTAAACATTCTCATAATTTCACTATGCCTGCTCTTCTTTTATCTATCTAAAGTATAAACCATTACTACCTTATATTTCACTCTTTCTTCTATGCACATATTCAATTCAAAGTTTATTCAACAGTCTTCATTAAAAACATACAAATACAGAATGGAATGATACAAAAAGGGAAGAACAAGATAGTGATAAAAATTACAATGGCGCTTTTTGAGAGCATTTGGGATAGACAAAAAGGAGGGATTCCTTATATGAAAGCCTACCCCTAAACACACACATACAGAAAAAACATACTAAAGTCAAACCTGGCTATAGCGACCACCCAAGGGAAACACAAAAAGTGGTCTTTATAGACATGTAGTCTTTGTAGAGAGGTTCCTTTAGTATATGTTTCAATGAGAAACCGGAGAAATCATTTTCAAGGGAAACAAAAAATGTGGTCTTTGTAGACAGGTGGTCACTAAAGCAGGTTGGACTGTGTCATATATTTATGTACTTACAACCTTATGTGTTCACTCTTTCCCCTATATCTTCAGTTTGGCCATTACCAATCCATTCAGCTGCAGAAAGCAAGAAAGCATTATCTCCGCAAACTGAAATGTAAAGCTTTGTTGACGTGGAGAGACTGGGTCACGGATGAGAGGATAAAGGCGTGGCAATCAGAGGAGAGAGCGGAGGAACATGATACCAGGTGAGTGGATGGTTGCTGTGTGAGGGAATACAACCAGGGGGGTGTTTCACAAAGATCCTAGTCAAACTTAACCCTCAAGTTGGACTTAAACATTATGGAGAGCCAATTGTAGCCTTAAAATGAAATATATTCAAAAGCGAAAATTCAAGTATTTTAGACCTGTTATAAATTCCACATCAAGAACATGAAGTCTCCTTGAAAATAGAAAATATGAATGATTTGAATCAACATTTTATGCTTTTTAAAATAACTTTTACAAAATGTTTGTCATAGATGCTAACAGCTTTCCATAATTGTTCAGTCCAACTTAGAGATAAGTTCAACTTAGGATCTTTGTGAAATACCCCCCAGTAGAACCATCAAGGATGGTGGTCACTTAGTAATTGGTAGTTTGTGTAGTTGGCTTTATATGGATTAATTTTTAAAATTTTTTTTTTTACTCATTATGAGATAAATAGCAGCTTGGTTGAATGAAGTGTTTAAAAATAATCTTAAAATGTAGCTTTCGCCATGTAATAAATTGTTCTGTTATTTTTGTATGATCTATCTTGCTGCTGTTAGTTTATTTATAATACAGAAGATTTCTTTGTTGTTTTGTTTCACTAGAGCATGTGATGTCAAGTGGATTCTGCGCCTTACGAATCTCATATATTATTATTATCATTATAAAAAACTGCACAACATAGAATGAATTGTACGTACATGAAATCAAGAGAAAAAAACAAAAACAAAGAAGCTAACAAAATTGATCAGCTTGTAATCGGTAGTTTACATATTTATTGAATTTTCATTGACGAAAATACAGCATGAATAAAGATTATACAGAAATTTAATGAGAGTATGAACATATGAAAAGAGAATTAGACACATGATGATGACATATGTATAGACAGAGAGTGATATGAGAGAGAGAGAGAGACAGAGACAGAGAGAGAGAGAGACAGAGACAGAGAGAGAGAGAGACGGAGAGAGAGATAGAGAAAGAAAGAGTAAGAGAGAGAGATAGGGAGACAGACAGACAGCAAAAAGGGGGATGGGGTGAGAGATTAGACAATTACGAGAGGGAGAGACAGAGAGAAATAAAAAAAGGAAGAAGATCTTTAGAATACATGTAAGTATAAGAGCCGAAGGAACTGTGATAGGGGCATAGACAGTTGCTATATTTTTTTTAATTTCTGATTTTTCAGACGGATAATGAAGACTGCATTCCTAGCCTGGAGACGGTATCCAAGGATGCTGAAGGAGGAGAGAGCAAAGGAGATCCGTCGCCAGGAGATGAGGAGGAAAGTTGCATCTATCATTCCAGACTTTGGATTTACATGAAGATGATCACAGTACTCTAGTCAAATTATGATGATAAGAATGATATTCCGCTTTTATATAGCGCTTAATACATCTATGATGTTTCGTAGCGCTCTACAAATATAAGTTTCTCCGGTCATTGGATTCAATGCTTGCCTGCACACACTGTGTGCACAATCTACACTCCCTGGGGAGCGCTCAGCCAGGCATTACTTGACGCTCACAAACTGTTTGACCAACAATGACGGTTGTATCCTACCAGGTACCCATTTATCACCTAGGTGGAGAGTAGCAAGTGCAGGTTAATATCTTGCCAAGGATATTAGTGCTGTGTCGGGATTCAAACCCTCGACCTTTGCATCTCCAGTCAAGCGCCTTAAACCACTTGGCCACGACACTCCTTATAATGCTGTTGACAGTACCTACTTTTCTTGTTTGACTTGTCAATATACAATTTGTCAACATTGACAGTTTGACACTATATCAACAACAAAAATATTTTCAAGGCCATTTGTTGAACGTATCATTAGATCGATAATATCAAATGTTTTGTAAAATATCAGCGCCAAGATAATAATATATATATATATATATATATAAGATCATGTATCATTGTTTTACTTGAAGTTTGTGTCACACAACAGTAATACTTGTTGAAATAATGCTATCCTTCTGGATAACATTTCCTGATATTGTCATAATGATAATAGAAAACTACCAATAATTTGTTTGCTTTATAATGATCTGATGGTTTAATTCCTTGTTTTCTCCTGATGAAATATTAGAAATGGTTATATTTATAGATATTTCAGCCGTCTCTGAACCTAATTTGATCAAACAAAGATGATTTTGTCAATTAAATAGTATATTCTTTCATATTTGGCACTCAGTTTTTCATTATCTCACAAATTTTTGTGTGTAGCGCCCTCTGCAACAAAACTCAACTATCCCTTTCAATAACACTTTAAAGCCGCATTAGTAAATTTGCAATGGAGCATAGACGTATTATCATCTATACTTTGTTCATTGATTGTGACTTTTCTTGAAGTACCGGGTATATTCTTGAATGATCAAAATATCAAATCAAAAACCATTTGTAAAGATCATAGGCCAAATTATTTGTGAAAACATTTGCGAACTGGTCAAAGATGTATGCCTTATTCTGCTTCTTGCTTTTACTGTGTGTGAAAAAAATGTAAAATAGTTTAGTTATCATAATGGCATCTGTATTGTGCAATCTGAAATACAAGGTGGTTTGCTGTGCTAATCAACTTAAAATAAACTATAATCCATGTTTTATGGTGTATGTTGACTAGTACAAAATAAATAGTGTCAGTAATTAGAATTTATGCAATGTTTCTCCTGCTGTTACTGAATTTAAAAGTTTGAAAAAAAAGGGCCTTGATTTTCAGCTAGTCTTGTTTCTAATGCTATTCACCGTCTAGTTCGATGGATCTAAAAATGGTAAACTTATTTTGATGATTATCACAGAAACGCAATAAAAAGAATTTGCTTTGATCAATAAGTGTAAATATTTCTTTCATTTTTTGTCCATTAAGAACTGTATATAAACAGGTAGTGAGAGAGAAAGGGAGAGAGGAGAGAGAAGACAGAGAGGAGAGGGAGAGAGAGAGAGAGAGAGAGAGGAGAGAGAGAGAAAGAGAGGTGGATAGAGAAAGAGAGGTGGATGGAGAAAGATAGAAAGTGGAGTAATAAAAAGAAAAGAAATAGGGATTACAGGAGATCGATGCAAGGAAAAGAGAAGAAAATGTATAGGTTAAATACTGATAAATCACACAGTAACTAAACAAATTTCATGAACATTTCATATCTTATTTTATTCTAACTTGTTGCTCACAAGAACAACCAAAGTCATTTACAGAATATAAAATACATACAGAAATGATATGTTATACACTATACACATCATTTGTAAATAAATGACGTTAGAAAAATTGGCTCCAACCTCACTCGTGAATGTAATGATGATATTCCCTCTTTAGAATACGAAGTTGATAACATTCATAACATAAGAATGAGGTAATAGGCTTGTGAACACAGAGAAGAGTCCATTATTTGCCATTAGTACATTAGAAATGCCAGCCTATTCATTCCGAACAGTCAACTCGAAATCTTTCATATAGAAAATAATTTATGTCTCTGGTTTAGTGATGAATGTAGAGCCAATGATAAGAAGAGTTTGGCCAACCCAGCTGGACACAATATGGTAAATAATGATTTTGGGGGCAAGCACAAAACAAAGGAATATACGCCATGTTGTGACCAAGTGACACTAAGTTGGCCAAACTCTGTGTATAGATGGCTCTGGATCAATATGCTTAAAGGCTAACCTGGTAAAAATTAAACTGTACTCCTCTTATCCAATAAAATTTATTATAATTTCTTATTTTCCTATTTATTTATAATTGGTCTCTTGCAGATAATTTCTAAACTCAAAAACAGTAACACAGTATCATGCATGCCAGGTTTACAATAGAACAGTCAACATTTTGAAATGATGTTATGCATAGGAGTACTATATGAGGGTACTTATCAAAGGTTTGCCTGACATATCAATGATGACTTGGTTACTAATTAAATGATCATTTTTGGCCCTTATAGAACACTTTTTATCAATGTCATTGTATGTGTTTGTAAAATTTGGTTGGCTAAAGTACAATAAACAAACAAGTTTTTCACTTTGGATCCAATTATGTGTACCTATACCAAAAAAACTTTGACATAAATAATCTGATGTAATATTAAACAGTAGTTCGCAAAGGGATGATAACACAATACAATGACATATGCCTACAATATGACAAGAGTAAAAGTGGTGTAATCAATAATTTAACTCTCACCTTGAGCTCAGAATGTACATTAATTTATAGGGACTGGGCATCCTCATCTGACTTGAAAATAATAATTAGTGATAAGATAGTACTAGAAGTAGCGAGGGGGTAAATATCAACTGCATGTCATTTATAAAAGCCCCAAATTATCTTCAATTAAATACCTGGCTATGAGGAGATCATTTATATCACCATATATGATATTGCAAGATTATCCAAGAGTCCATTCTAAAATACTATTTCACATTTTGAATTCTGTTGTGGAAAAACATTACATCATCAAATCTGTTTGGAGCCACACATGCTTTAGCTTTCTGTTAAAAGGTATAGGCTAAAACTCATGTGGCTCCAATGAACAATTCATTAATTCTGCTGAAAATGAATCAAAATCAATCACTGAAATTTGTGAAAAAAGAATACTGGCTTTAAGTCATGTGAAAGTTGTTATCTTTTTTAAGAAGGTAATTAATAAGCCATTTAATATGTACCATAATATAATCCTTAAAATCACGTAATCAGACCTTTGGGATCTTATTTCCAATCAAATTATATACCATAGTTGCCGTCACCCATTAAACATTGCTCTACATTTGGTCTAATTGTAAACACATCAATTCCTTCAAGGTAATACCCCAGTTACATCGCCAAAACTGACAAAAGATTCAGAACTATAGACTGAACAAGAATTATGTTATCCCAAATGACTAGGAGCTTGCAGACCATTTGTCACTTGATGTCAATTTTTGTGGTGTGACTTGGGTAGTAAACACATATACAGTTGAACAACAAAATTATTCATACCCTTATAAAGTTTTGTAATTTTTGAAGTATGTGAAAAATTGATTTGTTCTAATTCATGTTTCTTGAGAATGTGACATATCAAACTTTACATCTGAAAGTATTCAACAAAGGCCCTTTATTCATTCTTGAGTTACAAAAACATAAGATTTACAAGGGTTATGAATAATTTAATTGGTAAGTGTACCTTGTAGTTGCTATACCATTCTTTGTTTACCACAAACGCATTCTATGATGGGGAACAATTCAAAACTGAATCATCAAACCTTTACAGACAGGAGAGAGGGATATAGCTATTAGAGTAAGATCTTGTTCAGACAAGACCTGGTAAGCCGCATCAAAAAACGTCCGCAGCAGATATAATGACTTAAAGGAAGGGTATTTTACCGCCATTGCTGCCAGTGCTGTAATATATTTTCAATTGCACCATCTTCCAGTGAAGGAGTACATGGAGCAATTTCCAGGTACTGTCCCCAAGCATCATTATGCACGTGTCATGCAGTTGGTGATGCATTGTGGGACATGGCTGTTGACACAATGGGACAGCGTGAGCAGCAGATGGCAGTATACATAAGTCTGAAGTAGAGTCGGTAGAATACCCTGCCTTTAAGCACAGTACACAACAAACACTGATACTCTGGCCAAATCAACGATACAGACCCTCGACAGAACACCACATTACCCCAGTGGCAATGAATCGGTCGACTTGGCGTGGATTTAGAGTCGGTTTGGTGGTGTGACCAAGGTATTACAACACAAAGATTAGTAATTACACAAAGAGGCCTATATTGCCCTAGATTTTCACCTCCCATGTCAAATCTTGACATTCAGTTACAGCCAAACCTGCCTTAGTGGCCACCTCTCTATAAAGACCACCTGTCTAAAGTGGTAACACATATTGTCTCCCTCTAAAAGGGAATGTGTTGAAGAACCTGTCTATAAAGGTCACCAGTCTACAGTGGCCACTCATTGGCTTTCCCTTGGATGGCCTTCATAGACAGGTTTGACTGTACAATCAAAATGTCTACAGGCTTGTTAAGATACAAAACAAAATACCTGTGGCTGCTTATTACACATAAATGAATAGCAACAAAGGTCCTATGCATATTAACCTCTGTGTTATAAGATACAGAAACACGACATGTATTAAACCCCTTCTGCACTAGTTTGGCCAGGAAGGATTAGACCTCCCTGTATGGTCACCTACAAGAGGTTATCTCATCAAGTCAGCTCTCAATTAACATAAGAAAAAGGGGATCATGGGGGACCAATGGTCACCGATTAGGCATTGTTTGCAATATAGAGGGCGCAAGTAGCTATAAGTAGTGCAGTTGGGCTTTAAACTTTACATCATCATAAAGAACTGCTGCCTTTATGTCGCATCATTTATCCGAAAAAGGAATCATTTTGCTGCCGAGGAGGAGGTATTTTGAGGAGGCTTACCGGGTCATGTACGAACGAGAAATAATAAAAGTGCTGTTTCTATTCAACCTATCATTAATCCAAACCCAAATCTACATTGGTTCTTCGTCTGGTTGATCACACCACTCAGGATAAAGGTGAAGGGCATGGGTTGAAGTCTCTTCTCTAGAACGGCGGCTACAGTCCAATTTGTATCTACCATACCTGTAATGGAAGAGAGAATGTAGAGAAAATGAAAATAATAAAGCAGTGAGCGGTTATACAGACCTGCCAACCTCTGGAGTTCAAAAACTGTATTCTTTAATCCCCAAAGTTGTATTTTACTGACGCGGATCAATCCTTCTTACAGTTCCTACATACAGTAAGAATTTTTTTGATGGGGCATTGGTTGAATATGCATGATTTCGTCACGACTGGTGTGTTTGATGAACCAATGAACATCCCCAAATCGCTGATGTGAGATGCTTGTAGGATACTTTACATGACAGAAAGGGCATTTTGCCATTGAAAATGGCACACACACACAAAAAAATAAAACTGTCATATTTGCTTCTAAAAATCGTATGAAATACGACTAAATCGTACTGGTTGGCAGGTCTGGGTTATATACCATACATTTATAATTAGATACACTCTCCAATATTTCTTCTTATGTAATTTATCTTTGTTTTCATAACCTTTGTTTTCATGTTATTTACAGTTATGAACTAAATTTTTCATACCCTTACCATGTTTGGTAATTTTAAGTAAGTGAGAAATAGATTTGTCACAAATTTTGTTTCTCGAGAATGTGATATATCAAAGCTTACTATGTCTTCGCACAGTATATTGTGTACAAAAGTGAATTAGATCACACACCTCTCTTCCTTGCACCAACCCATTGTTGTAATGTCTTAGTTGTGCATATAAGAGACTCGTAAGTCTACATGAAACTCATCAAGACTCGAGAAAACAATGAGGAAAGAGATAGTAAATGCCCATGATTGTATATAACTATTATTGAATGTATATCGTTGTTCAACTGACAATTTTCTACCTCTTTAATTACTCCCAAAGACATAACTAGTCACATACCTTTGAATACTACATTAGCAGCTGGTAGGTCGACTTGGTACCCTAGCGAGACTGATGATTCTCTACCTCTTAAATTACTCTCAAACTCCACTCCGATCTGGACTTCTTTCCCCTTATGGTAGTATGCTGCGTGGAATGCTGTTGGTCCTACAGTACTGGAGGCTATCCAATTGTCGGCTGTGGAAAAATTTGAAAGGAAACAAATGTTAAAGGGCAAATCTAAGGTATTTGGTGAATTGGTGTCCCACAAGGTCCCAAGTATTGTGGAGTGATAATGAATTCCCATCAAATCTGCCATTTTAATTTGTGTTTGTGTTTTGACCAAGCTCCAGTATGGCTACTCAATAAAATAAATCAGATACTCAAGTCTCTCATGACGTTGGTAACATAGGGAATAAATTAACACGGACTTGCGCTAAACAAAAGTGGGGGTAAAGAGAAATGAGATGTAAGCATGTTTAGCTCTAGGAAACTGAAAAAGAACCCTTGATTACAAAAATAATTTAGAATAATTAAAAATCTCTATGATGAAATCTCACTTAACCATAGCAATTGAAAAAACGAGCTCCCATGACAAAAAAATTCTTTACACTACTACAGCGCAATTTTTTTTTTCCTTCTTCTCATTTCCCTATGTAACTCATTCCAATTCTATCCCTCTGCACCTCAGAATAGTTAACTAGATCGATGGCGCATTACAAATGCTGTATTATTATTATTATTACTTACCTGCATATTTGCCTGCGAGCGAGACTACAGCGGCTTGTTGGCCCTGCCCACAGTGATAAAGAAGCTCCGCCCCTACAGCCAATCTCTGTGTAATGCTCTGCATGTAATGAGCTACGGCTATTCCTGTGCCTTCTAACGGATCTATGTTAGCCATGGTAAGCACACCAGTGTAGGACGGGCCCTTGTACTCCAGCTCGGCTTGGTATACACCCCATTTGGTTTGCTGTGTCTGTTGGAGAATGGTAATAATATACATTAATAAAGCACAGACGCAATGTGAATATACAAATAATACACAGCAGTGAGGGCATTTGTAAGAATTACTCACACAAGGTAATTACTGTGTAATTTTACTAATGCCCGAACAAAATGCTGCCTATTATTTGTGTTATAAGATTATCTTTTATTTGCTACGGTATATAAAATGATGTTTTATAACATGATTTTACTAATGACTGGTCATTAGAATTGGATAATGACCGGTCATTATCAAAATAAATGCCTGGTCACGTGTACGCTTTTAACCAATCATTTGTTTAGGATCCACGTCATCATCTTATAATATATATTACTGCACCGCAGAGCTCCTGATAGGCTTAAAATCTACAACATCAAGTTATACATGTATGAAAAGAAATTGATGGTGATTTCCTGATCTCTAATGTTAAGTTATTTCACAATTGTTGGTCCGGCACAAATGCCTGATCTCCCATGTTATTTTTATTCAAATGTGATATATCGTCTAATTTCAATGTTTCCTCTCTCACTCTCCCCCTCCTTCTGTCGATTTACCCCCTCCCCCTTTAAAAAAGCAAACCTTTTGGGGCATTGTATTGGAGAGAGTGAGCCATCATTACTGCAGTTATATCTTTTACAATTTTTCCTTTTTGTTTGTTTACTAGTTTAGACCATACCTGTACTACAAATTTAGAGCGTATTCTGTCTGCTAGCTGATGAATGATCTGAGCGTTGAGACTCCCTGAGGTATCTATGTCACCAAGAAGAACGGGAAATGACTGCAGAAAAAATACAAGGATTGAACAGCTGTTATTGAATCAAATAAACGAAACAGAACAAACAAAAAAAACAACAATTCTACACCAATTTGATTGAATAATGAAATATATTACCTTTATTTACTGGGTCCAAGCCGAAAACTTCTTTACGATAATAGAAATTACTCCCAGGAATCCTAACATTAAATGAATCACATATAACAAAAAATCTTCAGAGAATCATTACATACTCATCTGAGTTTCATTGGAGTGAATGTCTAAGGCTCAAACAATGAAAAGTTTTGAACCACTAATTTCATAATTGGTCACACTTGCACTGGACAAGGAGTTTTTTCTGCAACTGTCTCTCTTATCCCAGGGATTAAGTGGGCATCTGCCAGGATATATTCCTTGAAGTGCTATAGTTAGGAAGTTTTTGTAACTAAACCTAGGGGTCTACATGTAGGCTAATATCCAAGAGAATAGATCACTTTAGTAATCATGTCACAAAATCCAATGCATACGTCTTTGTGAAGTGCCTCGATACAAATTATTTCATTCATCTGTTACAATTTTTTATTTCAATAGTCGAATGTAAACTGTATGGATTCCTAGTTACCCAGTTGGATAAACATTACGACTTGCCCTACCCAACAACACGTAATATGCATTTTGCATTCTGACTATTGAAGTACAATTATTCACTACAGGTGAAATTACAAAAACAGATGTAATAGATTTGATTACATAACAAAAATGGCTTATTAGAAGTGCATTAGGACATCACATCAATACATCTGTGATGGACTCGCCTGTTTATTATACTACATTGTAGGAATGTGTGACTACTAATCTTCCTACTTCTACTACTACATACCATATTTTAGGGTAGCGACGAGTAGTCAAATGCTCGAGTACTCGCACTGTTGACAACTACTCGAGTATGATTTGTCGTACTCGAATATTCCCCCGCAAAAAAAAAAAAAAAAAAAAAAAAAAAAAATTCCTGGTCACCCGACGCTTACCCGTACCAGGGAGAGCGCCGGCCACCGGCATGGTACTGTGGTTAAAAATGTTTCCGGTTCAATTACTGTTAACTCACCACTCAAAAACTGGGACCAAATGTCCGGATTTCTGTTTAGACTCGGAGGTAAAGTCATCTTTGGTTTTTATAACAGCATTGTTTACTATTATTATTATTATTAAATCGGCGCCTTCAACTGCAACTCAAAGTAAAAAGGCATGAGTTTTCCCAGACGGACCTGGGATATTTCTACCGTAGTAGTACGGTGGTGGCAAAAAATAAAAAATAAAATAAAGTTGCCACCACCATACTACAACGGTAGAAAAAAAAATGGTAGAGTTTTTCGCTTGTAAGCCTTGGACTCTTGGAGTGTACTCGAGTACCTCATTACACTGTTGTGCACAGCCTTACCTCATTTGGACTGATCTGTTTGCTGCCAACGTAGGTAGAACCAAAGTGGTACGAGGATGGATTGAAGGCAGACAGTGACAGTGTATGGCTGACCTGGAAGTGATTGCTTAGACCTTTGTTGACCACCAGCTTGCATCCCTCGAGTGGTGTGGGGAAGATTTCTGGATTCAAAGGAACAACATTGAAATGAAAGCAAAGATTAGGAGCTACATAGAACAAGATTAATCTCTGCCTGCATCACCGTGTACTAAACTAATCACTATAGCATTATCCTAGAGTATGAAATTGGCCGGGCAAATAATTTTTTTTCTACACCGCATGTCTTTGCATTTACATGTATTTAGACTGGAACCTACCACATCGCAAACTTTTGTAATAAGTCAGCATTTTTGTACTGTAAATCGCACCTTGACCACTTATCATCATGATATTTTGGTTAAATTCTTGACCGATTTCAAAGTGCTTTGCATGAGAAGAAAGAAGTGTCCACTAGCGAAATCCGAAGCCTGTGCTGCATCGTTTGATGTTAGTTTTTCCAAGTGCGAGTGTGTGCAAGGTATGTGCAAGAAGAGATTTATGCACATGAGATGAGCTGTTGCTTATGAATGTAAGCTGCCTCATGAATTATGCATATACATATGGATTTTGCACATGCGATGTAGCTCAATGCGGAACTGATAAACTCTGTACACAGGAAGCAAACCGTTGTGAGCCGTGTGCAATGTTCGTCGGGAAGAGGTGATTACGAGCGCATTTTACGCTTTATTTACCTCCTTCTTCACCAAGGGTTATTGGTGCCAATTGAGACTTATCAATTAAAATGAACTAGTCTTTAAGGCTAACCAATCTGGTGATTGCTTAATTTCACAAAATTATAAAAAAAAATATTTACACTTCGACACAACTCACAAGTCACAACCAACTGTCACAAGTTACTAAATCCACATTATCGTAAAGACTGAAGTGACTAATGGAAAAATATTTTCTCTTCTGTTTGACTTCATCAAGTAACTTCCATACTCTTACTATACTAACCTTTCACTTTCTTAAAGAGATCTTCAAAGTTACCCGGGTTTGGAAGGTCGTTGTTAGCCTTGTTAGCTGCGGCCAGCGCTGCCGCAGCCCCCGGAGAGACGGGAGGCATGGGCATGCCCATCAACGGCGGACTACCGGCGCCTAGTGGCGATGCATTTTTCTCAGCTGCAAAAACGTTTCCCATTGTGATAATATATAAATAGTCACTCTTTTCTCCCCTCTTTCAACTGAATTTAAACACAAGTTTGGTGAACTTCACAAATTGCTCACTACGTCCTTAAATGTACTCTAACTTCTCTCACCACCATCCCACGGTACGGATTTACTTCAGTCCCACAAGTTGAAATTCGTGTGCGTTCAATTATCTGTTACAACATAGCGCTTATTAGCGCACATGTACGTTCATAGGAACATGTGTAAATAATTACGCAATTTGATTGGCTGCTATACGTCACGTGAGGTAACCTATGAGAAATTCCACTGAACTCTAAACGTACGCGTACATTAGTGAACAATTCTCGATTTCATCCTAAAACCAGGGAGGTGCCTGTATCTCCGATTAAATCATGTTTAAAATATATATATATATATATATATATATGTTACATGTGGCTCGGGGGGGGGGGGGGGTATGATCAAGGGTACTGAGACACAGTTCATGGTATCTATACCAGGAAAGGGGAGCCGTAGGGGCCATAAGATCCGCATTTACAGCATGAAGAGGGCTAGCAAGAAATACGGAATAGAAATCAGCATATACCAAAAACAAAACAATGGCTCCCATGCAGGGGCGTCTCTGTCAGGATATTGTCTGTAAAATTGCACTGCCGTCGGGAAAAAAGAGAAAAGGGGGAGGGAAAAAAAGAGAGGGAACTGAGGGAAAGAAAAGAAAAAAGACTGAGGAAAAGAAAAGAAAGAAAGGAAAAGAAAGGAAGAAGAAAAAAGGGGAGGAGACAATCCGAGAGGAAAGAAAGGAAAAGAAAGGAAACTTCATTTAGACAAGGATTTGAGTCGAGCACGGTTCAATTAACGAATCGTCTACTTTCTATAAAAATTTAATGACACGTCCAAAGTTCAGCGCTTCGCGCGAAAGGGGGGGGGGGGGGGGACTGAATTCAGATAAGGATTTAAGTTTATCTGTACTAGTTTATAGGAGGGATAAGACCACACTGCAAGGTTACTGGACAGGTGGTTATCTCATCAACTCAGCTCTCAATTAATTAAGAAAAAGAGGACCATATGGGGGACCAATGGTCACCGATTAGGCATTGTTTTCTGTATAGAGGGAGCAAGTACATACAAGTAGGACAGTGTGGCTTTAAGGGTCAAGAACAGTACACCGAATCGTCTGCTTTTTCTTATAATCTAATGAAACGTCAAAGATTCCGCGCTTTGCGCGGGAGGTGGAGAAACTGAATTCAGACAAGGATTAACATTCGAGAACGGTACAGCAAGTCGTCTTCTTTTTATAATAATTTAATGAAACGTCAAAGCTTTCGCGCTTCGCGCGGGAGGGGGGGGGGGGGGAACTTCATTCAGACAAGGATTAACGGTCGAGAACGGTACAATAAATCGCCTTCTTTTCCTAATAATTTAAGGAAACGTCTAAGCTTCCGCGCTATCCCACCCCCTAATGAGCGCGCTTTTAACGGTCACCGTATTTTTTGTTAAAGTGGAGCTGAATAGGTATGATCGTATTGGCTAAATTTCAAACATTTTAGGGTTTAAAATTACCTTCATAGCCATTTTAGGCACTGGCGTACCTATGGGGGGGGCAGGGGGGGCAGAGTGCCCCCCCCTGACGGGCTCCAGGAGAAAAAAAGAAAAAGGGGAAAGAAAAGAAAAGAAAGGAAAAGGAAAGAAAAAGAAAAAAGGAAAAGGGAAGAAAAAAGGAAAGAAAGAGAAAAAAGGAAAAAAAGGAAGAAAAAAAAGGAAGAAGAAGAGAAAAGGAAGAAAAAGGGAAAAGAAAAGGAAAGGAATAAAAATGGGGAAATTAAAAAAAAAAAAGACCATGGCCGTACGCACCATGGGGGGGGGGGGGGCAGTTGACCCCAGATATTTTGAAAACGTACAGTTTTTTTCCTGAAAATGTAGTGTAGGCCTATACCAAATCCTTCAATTCTACTTTTGAAAATGCAAAAGTACCCTCATGACCAGTTCGGTCGCTCGAACTCCCTTCACTCCTTTTGCTTTTGAGATTCTTCGAAAACTTTTAACGCATCTTCCCCCTCCCCCACCAGAAAAATATTCCGCATACGGCCCTGAAAAATTATAACAAATGAAATTAGGAAAATATAAGTGATATAACAAATTTGAAACTCTTCGCTGGCGCGAACTGCTTGCTAGCCTATTTTGTATTAAATGTTTTCACTTGCTCGTCCCCCTGAAAAAAGAAAAGGATTAGTATTGCCTAGAATACAATTGTGCCTGCCCCGACGGGCCCCGCCCTGCAACCATGGCAACAATAACACACAATATATGTACCAAATGTTACTAAAAGAGACTAATTCATTTTTCTCGCTCGCTACACTCGCTCGCGAATAAAATGAATAGACATTGCTTTGGAAACAATTGTGCCCATCCTTGACCTGCAACAATATCATTAAAAATGTTTTTTCGCCCTCTCGCCAAAAAGGAATAAATATTGAATCGCGTTAAACGCGATTGCGTCCATCCTGACCTGCACCAATAAAAACAAGTTTATTTATTAATTTCTATTAAAAGAAAATTTATTTTTTTTGCTTGCTCGCTATGCTCGCTCGCCAAAATGGAATTGACACCGCTAACGTGCCCGCCCCAACCTGCAATAACCAATTAATAATTATGTACCAAACGTTATTCAAAGAAGTTTTGGTGTGCTCGTGCTCGCCAAAATGGAATTAACATCACCTAAGACATTGTTGTGTAAGCCCTGCCCTGCAACAAAAAAATCTGAAATTTATGAACCAATTATCATTACAAAAATTTTGCTCGCTCGCTACGCTCGCTCGCCAAAATAGAAATAACACCGCTTTTAATTATCACGTCCCTGACATGGAACAATGAACCCAAGTTTTATGTACCATATTTTCCCTTTAAAAGAGAAGTGATTTTTTTCGCTCGCTCGCTACGCTCGCTCGCCAAAATAGAAATAACACCGCTTTTAATAATCACGTCCCTGACATGGAACAATGAACCCAAGTTTTATGTACCATATTTTCCCTATAAAAGAAAAGTAAAATTTTTTCGCTCGCTACGCTCGCTAGCTCGTGGAATTATGTGCCCACCACTAACCTGCTACAATATCATTAAAAAGAGAAATGTAGGGGGTTGCCTGCCCGCCAAAATGGGATTGACATTACCTTAAACACGATTGTGCCCGCCCCTACCTGCAACAATGAAACAAATTTTATATAGCAATTCATTGAGAGAAAGATGTATTTTCGCTCGCTAGCTAAAATGGGTATAAAATCACCCTAAACACAATATTGTTCCCGCGCCCTGCATGGGACAATTGAACCAAGTTTAAGTGGCAATTATTAAAAAAGAAGTGATTTTTTTTCTTGCTCGCTACACTTGTTTGCAAAAAAATGAAATTAACGTCGCTAACAAGTGAATGTTCCCACCCCCAACTAGCAACAATACCAGTTTATATACCAAACGTTACTTAAAGATTTTTTTTGCTCGCTCGTTCGCCAGAAGTGAAAATTAGCATCGCCTTTTTTGTTTGTTTCGGTCGCTTGCCCCCCCCCCCCCCCTGACGGAGTACCCCAGGTACGCCACTGATTTTAGGTTCTAAAAGGGCACTAGAAATGTCATAGATAAGAATAAGAGCAATAACCATGCAATCTGAAGGCATTTGCGGTCTGAAAACAGAACTCAACTATCCCTTTAAATGGGTACCCGGTAGGATGCGAAAGTTAATGTGGTTGTAGGAGCAATTGGCGCTTTTACCAAGGCGACTGGCAGCAGGCGCGGATCCAGGATTTCTTAGGGGAGGGGGCCCAACTTTTTTTTTTTTTTGCTCCCTGAAATTTGAAAATCGCGCCGGCCGAAAAGTCGCTCAATGGGGGGGGGGGGGGGGGGGGGGGGTGGGGGGGGGGGGGGTGGGGGGGGGGGGGGGTACAGAGCACAATTTTTTTTTTTTTTGCTCCCGAAAATTTGAAAAACGCGCCAGCCAAAAATTCGCTCAGTGGGGGGGGGGGGGGGGGGTTTGTATGTATTGCGCCTAGAAAAAAGTACTAGGCGCATTATAAATGTGAGCTATTATTATTATTTTGTATTATTTTGGAGCCACCGTCTCTTCTTATATCTCTCTTCTCTCACTCTTTAATCTGATCTACACTCCCCTCCCTCTTTTCTCTCTCCCCCTCTCTCTTTCTTCTTCCCTCTCTCTATCTCTCTCTTTCTCTTTCTCCCTCCCTCTCTACCTCTCTGTTTTTCCTGTACTCGACCCACTTTCTCTTCTGATTACCATAGCAAATCTTATTATTCAACCCACTTCCCATCTTTCTTTACCTTATAAGCCTTCCACTTTTTTATTTATTTTTTACTTATGTTAATGCTCCAACCTTAGTTATGTTCTTGTTTTAATCTGTTTTATTCACCGTCATCTATTTTTACCTGGGCTTCTTTCCCACAGGCTTCTTGGGCTTTTTAGGTGTGCCTCGTATTTTCCATTGGAGACAAAATTTCATTACCCCCAATACCTATTTTACCAATATTTGTAATTATTACTTAATTGCTTTATACAATTCTGAACTTTCTATACCACCAGAATCATTTTTTTGTTATATTTATGATATGTTTTTAATCATGGTTTTAAAAAAAAAGACAAAATGAAAATGAAATAAATAAATAGAACCACCCTTCACAAATATGAATAGGCCTTCATGTACTGTGTCCCATGTTTTAAGATTGTCTACTTAAGAACATGAAACTGGCTTTAATGTATGAATTGAAATGAATATATATCAAACATCATTGACATATGTACATTACGGTAGATAAGATTGTAGCGGATCAGCATTATCCTTAAACAGAGTGTAGGCCTATACTAAAAAGAAATGGGAGAGTTGAGAAATGATTTTTAAATTCCTTTTGGGTTTTTTGAATTTTATTTGCATGAAAAAGGGTAGGCCCTATTTGATTTGAATTATTTGATTCAATTGATTTTCCTTCAAGGTCTTTTTCCAGAGTTACAAACTAATTACAACATAATCGGGATAATAAACACATTATATAATCAATACATTATCCATTTAAAAAAATTACTTTGTAATATTAACATAAAGTTATCATGAAAAGGGATTCGAACATAAGCTAAGCTTGAAGGTGCGGTAATCCTTTATTTTCAACGTAAGAACGTAAGAAGTGTCGTACAAAGGGAGCCATAGGAACACCAGGTTGGAATGGTCGTGGTCGATTTCAAGGTTATAAGTTTCTTAAAATGCAAACATCATTTAGATGAAATGAAGAATAAATAGATTCTCATGGGCGGATCTAGCTTTTGCCAAATGGGGTGTTTTACCCAGTGGCGGATTCATGTTTTTCAATAAATCGCGCCGTTAAACCGCCGAACCCCCCTGGATTCGCCCCTGATTCTTTTATATTGAAAATAAAGGATTAAACCATTTAAGTTTACCCTTTTACAGCTTAATAAAGCAGACTTTTCATTTCTCTTAGCTATGCACCATACCTCTAGCCAGTGGCCCCAGGCGCGGATCCAGGATTTCTTAGGGGGGCCCAAATTTGAAATCAATTTGAAATTAAGTGTGCTGAAATTTGAAAATCGTGCCGACCAATATTTCGCTCAGTGGGGGGGGGGGGGGGGGGGGGGGGGGAGGGGGAGGGGGTAGGAAGCACTTTTGTGTGTCCCTTGGGGGGCATCCCCTAAATAAGGTAAAATTAAAGTGTTTTTACACGTTTTTTTTTCCCGTGGGAGGCCCGCCCCCCTTAATCCGCCACTTGTCCTACGAGTAATCACTATCTGTCTGTTATAAGATACAGAATATGAAGTACATTAAACTTATTTTATTATAATACATGTATATGATATTAAAAAACCGCAGTTTACAGTGTCATGCGTGTACGTAGCTTAAGTACGTATCATAGATTAAAATAATTGGTTGTTATATCCTGATTTCAGATACGGCTTATTCAAATTATGTATGTATATCACGGCCATTTTGAAATTATGCAAATTAGGTATGAATGAAAGCCCACATATTGTAAATATTATCATATTCTTATTCGTTAACCCTGAAAAAATGGGTCTAGAAACCAGAATAAAGCTCACATTAGATTCAGATCCAGAGATATGACCAAAAACAATTTGATGGCGGCCATTTAGAATATATACATATTAGGCATTATTCCCACATCTTCGATTTCCTAAACTTTAAAAATATTGTTTCGTGAGCTTTTCTGAATCACCTCCGACTGTCCCTACTTGTACGTCTGCTGAGATTTCTTTTGCATATCTTGTGAATCTTCACCAATCTCATTTTTACTTTAAACGCTTCCAATTTGATTCAACCTTTAGCACTGATCAATTACTATTATGTACGTATATTTTCAGGCTACAGGTACACTCTAAAAACTGAAATGTTAAATCACCATTTAAAAGGGCCGAGGAGTGACCACTCTTTCAAAATGGTAGATTAAAACTTTGAACATGCTGGATCCAACACTATAAAGGTTCAATCTAGCAGGTTAAAAGAAACAATCTGACATTTTGAAAGAGTGGTCACTCCTCGGCCCTTTTAAATTGACATTTAACATTTCAGTTTTTAGAGTGTATAGTTCGGCTCATGCATATTACAATTCAAAATAAATAATGGAAGATCATGTGTATCTCGTGTGGTCGATACCACATAACCTCAACATGAAATCAAGGTAAAAAAAATATTAAAAAACGAGAAAAAAAATCCTCCATCATCATAGAAGGTAGTGGTACACGCACTGCCGAGTATCATGAAGCCATTACCATGGTAACGCCAGTGCTAATGGAGCAATCTTTGTAACATTTCACTGTCAATCCTCTCTACTCAGGAAACGGTTAAGATATTCGACCGTCCTTTATTTAGTAAGAAGCTCAGACATTTCTTTACAACTCATAGCTGAGTTAAAAGGATTTTGTTCTCCTTCAAGCTGATGAAGAGGGCAAGGATGATGATATTGACAGGTTTGAATGCACATTGGGGACACATTTTCTGCAAGAATTTTCAAAACATACGTGCTTGAAGTCGAATATTTATGAAAGAATGCATCATTTAGGTTTACTGCGTACAACTGAAAACCCAAATTAAGTATTCTTTTATCAATATTTGTCTTCAAACACATTTTTTTTTGAGGGGGGGGGGAATCTTTGCAGAAGTGTGTCTTAAATAGTATCCTCTTTTACATTATGATACAATTTAAGTTAAATTTTGCCAACAAATTTGAGGCAAATTTGAGACTTCCAACAATTTAAGACGGGCTTTAAAGACCAGAAAGTTCCTTAAAAATGTAATTTCCATTTTCGGTTTAATAAAATTTGGAGTGGACTAAAAGATTATTATTATTATTATTATTATCTTAGGAACAGAGGAAGCCAGGCGGAGAAGAGGCAGACCTGCTAGTTCCTGATTGAAAGATATCCACATTATGATGTACAAGGAAGTAACAAGAGCAATACTGAGCAGATAGAGAAGGATATCATAAACTTGTGATGGCCCCAGCAACGCAGCTAGCACCACCTGACTGACTGACTGAAAGAAGAGAAGAATGTCTATTACACCTTTCATATTTGTTGTGGATATAATTTTAGATGTGATTTTTTTTCTTTCCAGTTTGGTTTTGGAATGGAGAGGAAGTCAAATGTCTGCAAAGTTGCAACCAGAGGATAACTAGCTCTTCTGTCCATTGGTCTTTCCTCCCTCTCCTAAGATCTACCTTTCATGTCATTAAATGGACATTTCGAGTGACCGTCCTACGTGACCTATTCGCCTAAAGAGTTTTTATTGCTAAACTGACCATCCACTCTGTCCAAACATTCGTCCTCAAATTAGACTATACGGTAGAGTTTTCAAATTTCTAATTACAGAAAAAAAGGTTGCTTAGTTCCTTTAAAATATGGGCACATGTTATGGAGAAGGGAAAATGACACTTCTTAGAAAAGGAAAAGAGCACGTGTCGAAATAATCAGGGCAAGTATCAGAGGTAAAAAGGGGCACTCACTCGAGACGAAAAATGACACTGATGAGAATGAATGAGAGGCATTAATTATAAACCATTTATTTTTATTTAATCACCTCATAATCTGATATCCCTTAATTTTACAGTTCATAACTATGTAGATATACATCAAAGTACTTTTACAGGATACATGTCATGATACTATACCAGGCAAATATTATTGTTATTTCAATATTCTGAAACCAATACGGATATTAAAACATTAAGGAATAATGGTAACGCTTTCATAAATTACATTGCGTATAATGTAAGTAAATAATCATAAGCATATAGGCAAATATATAAAAATTGTAAAACTTTAGTGCGAATCGTTTTAAATTCTATGTACATTGTAATTGTAAAATTGTTGTACGTTGTAACAAAGCCAAAGGAAACAGAATTTCTATGTATTACCATGGACCAATAGTATCTAAGTATCTAAGATTTCGCGGGACCGTGTTTCAATCCACAGGATAACCTTAAATGCTTTTAAGCAGCTAACTATCTAAGATATCTTTGCTCAGTCATGTCCATTGCACCATTTCACATGCGTAAGGTGGTAATGTTTTTGTCACAAATAGCACATGGAAACCTAGAGATTTACTAACCTCGAAGACTCAGTAAATGCAAGAACGAACACAAGTTGATGAATTCCAAAGATATTGACAGAAGTCTTTCATTTAAAAAAAGATAGATTCTCCATTACACTTTGTCCATGTTGAATGACTCGATGGCAAGGTTAGCGTTAAAGATAAAGTTGAGTTCTGGTCATGCGATTGCATTGTGAAAGAAACGGTGTGGAATAGATCAGAAAAGGTTGATCAGCTAGCATAGTATTGTGTGTACTACAAGGTTCTGGGATCATCAAAATGATAAGAAATTTGGCACAATCTTGATAAAGTTACAAGCACTGTACACAGAAATATGTATATTGACTACACGAACATGTGGCACAAAAATCCGTCCTGATCTTTATGCTGTTATATACATGCCATATTTAGAATATTAAGGCGTTTGAAGAGCCATGCTTTTCAGGGAACGTTTGTTATCTGATGTTCTTCCACACTTGCACAATAACATTGATAACGCTCACAAATTATTTTTCACCTCTTCCCAGCGAAAGAAGCCAAGAATATGTCCTCATGACAGGGAGAACATCAACCACTGTGTTGTAAAAGAGACTTTTCTAAAACACATAATTGTGTTACCCATTTTAAGATCATCAACAAATTGAGCAGGTAAAATGGCCCAACTGCTATTTCATTGATGAACACGTTGGGCTTTTCTATACTACAGTGAGTCTTTCCCGGCAGAGATCTAGTTGGGTACGTGTATAAGGAATCCTAATGATTCCCCGGACTATTTAAAATCTTGAATTCAATAACTGCTACCAGATTAAAGTTTAGTATCAACAGGTTTGTACGAGTGGCCAATCGGAATCGCAGTTGTACTGGTGGCGAAGGATGTGGTCTGCGTCTCAGTAGCTCGGCACAGTAGAGAGTCCTTAAAAGCATCACGATATCTTCTACTCATTGCGATATATATGACAGGGTTAACGACGCTGTTGATGTAGGACATGGCCTGTGCAACGTATCGGAGTGGTACCGTAACACGCTTACTGAAAAGGGGTTCATCCCCATCCCGGATCAGGTTAACTGCTTGAAGGATAGAGAAGATCTCAAAGGGTACTAGACAGATGAAGAATATGAGACCGTTGACCACAAGCATGCCTGTTATTTGGTTTCGCTGCTTAAGGTTGGTGTCTGCACGTCCGACAATGCGCGTATGACGGACCGCACGCGTCATGCCTCTCACAATACACGCGTAGAGCCATATATTCAGAGTAATCAAAAGAAGGAAAGGAACCGTTCTGGCAATGTTCACATAAAGTGGGTATATTTCTAACCCGTCGGCTGGTGCGCACAACCCTATGTTCATTGACAGATTTTTGTAAGGTTCAACATCAGGCCAAACATGGCATCCTACATACATGCTACTGGATGCAGGAACGAATGAGGCAGCGATACCGATACTGACGATCCATGATAGGACCACTAGAGCGATAAACATGGACCTGAGCGTATTAGTACGCGCACTATGACTACGACACACCGCGTAATATCGCTCCACGGACACGAGAGTTACCATACAGATCGCTGCGAAATAGGAGGCGTCGATGAATGTAAAGATGATCGGGCAACCAAACTCTCCGAAAGAGAAGCGATCATTGATAAACGGGGAGTGGTGATACATCCAAAGTTTGTCCCCAATACCAAAGGAGAGAAAAATCAGATCAGCAACAGCCAAATTTGCTAGTATCCAGTTGGTAGCAGTGCGCATGTAAGGCTTGCTGCGTATCACGTGAAGAAAAATCAGATTCCCTATCACCCCAACACATAACAAAAAGGGTAAAAAGAACCCAATATAGACCTTGGCTGTCTGAGAATACAGTAGTGCGTGGGTCTCAATTAAACTCCTCGCTTTTTCAACAGTCAACTCCGCGCAGTCGTCAAAGATATACGAAAAGGAGTATGAACTCCATGATGAATCCAATGAATCCAAAGACGCATTTCCTTTGATGTCTGTTGTGAGTCCGTCATCGTATTCGTAGTCATCCATGTTAGTCGCCATTGATAGAGCGGCCTACATTCAGACAGCAACGTACAAATATTATAGCAGGTACGTCTGGTTTCGAGTTACTTATGACAAGCCCGACTGTGTATCACTAAATCTCACAGTATTATACAAATATGGCTTTCATTACAAAAGGTTCAAAGCTGCTTGAACTTTCAGCTGCATGGGCGTATAATGTAATCGGAGAGGCTGTATGCAGATTTTTACCTACTTGAAATGTGCATGCACACACAGATATTTGACAACATGGGTATAGCGCCTGATATATCAACAAAACATAATAAAACTGTAAATCAAGTTTAGCCTACATTTACCTACACAAGCCATCGACGTCCGCGCGCTACGTTTTCATAGCTGTTTCGTGTCCATATAGAAAAGTATACACGTTGTTTCCTGGTTATTAATTACGTATAGTCTTAAATTAGAGTTAAAACATGATCAGACATATATTATATATTTGTCAATGATTTATTTAAAAAATATAAATCACACAATAATTGATGTACATTGTCATATTTGGTTGACAGATCATGATAGTTATAATTTCGTGAAAACATGCAAATTAATCATGAATATTCAAAAGATGCATTGAACTGGTTTTCCAACTGGTAAATCAACTGATATTCTACTGGTAAATCAACTGGTAATCATCTACTGGATTTTTCAACTGGGAAATCAACTGGTATTATACTGGTTTTCAACTGTTAATCAACTGGTATTATCTACTGGTTTTCAACTGTTATATCAACTGGTAATCATTTACTGGTTTTCAACTGGTAAATCAACTGGTATTCATTTACAGGTTTTCAACTGGTAAATCAACTGGTAATCATCTACTGGTTTTCAACTGGTAATCATTTACTGGTTTTCAACTGGTAATCACCTACTGGTTTTTAACTGGTATATTAACTGGTATTCATCTACTGGTTTTCAACTGGTAAATCAACTGGTAAGCATCTACTGGTTTTCAACTGGTAATCACCTACTGGTTTTTAACTAGTAAATTAACTGGTATTCATCTACTGTTTTTCAACTGGTAAATAAACTGGTATTCATCTACTGGTTTTCAACTGATAAATCAACTGGTAACCTTCTACTGTTTTTCAACTTGTAAATCAACTAGTAATCATCAACTGGTAACCTTCTACTGTTTTTCAACTTGTAAATCAACTAGTAATCATCAACTGGTACCAGTTGACTACTGGTCCCAGTTAAACTGGTGTTCTACTGGTCCCATTTCAAACTTGCATTTTCTACTGTTTTCCAACTGGTACCAGCTGAGACCAATCTACTGGTCCCTGTAACAACTGGTATTCTATTTGTCCTACTTCAAACTAGTATTTCTACTAGTTTACAAATTGTATCAACTGGTTTTAACTGGTACCAGTTGAGACCAGTTGAGCCCAGTTCAAACCAGTAGATACCATTTGGAAATCCTTACTGGTTTCTTGGTACTTGGTAGGATTCCTCTAAAAGACGCCGTAAAGGTGTTTAAACTGGAGGTTAACTGGTATCAACTGGAATTCCGACCTGGGGCGCTCATGGGGACTGTTGTTGCAATTGGAACACATAGATACTGGAGACCAAGGAAGAGAAAAGAAGGTGGTATCCTAGTAGGCATCACCTTCTAGAAGGCATATAGAATCGCTCACGGTAACAGCTTAGCTTAGCTTACGTAGGTTAGAGGCTAGCCCTTTATGAAAAATAAAACGGATTAGTTTTATTTTTTCCTTATAATTATTAATGTGTTCTTTTATGTAATCCATGTTTAATCTTTCATGTTTTTATTATACATGTTTGTATGTGAATGCAGGGCTCTCTGGGAGAGCAGGTCCATAAATGGACTTGAAATGAGACCACCCTGTTGAAATAAAACTATAATAACAAAATAAATTAGCATACCTCCAATGAAGCGGGGCAATTTCCACCGATACCAGTAGATTGGAAATCCTTTCAGATGAAAACTGATATCAAATTGTTGTCAATTTCGTTGAGTAAGTTTTATTTATCTATTTTGTTATTTTAGACGAATGCGTGTAGGCCTACATCCACTGGCATTGCGCTTAGCCTGCCAAAAATAACGTACAGTAATTAAGCATTCAGAAAGGATAGATCTATATTATATACTTGAGTTTTGGGAAGCTGTAATAAACGTCAGCTTGAACAGCGAACATAACATTCCACAAACATTTTCCTTCTTTCAGGCGTTCTTTCGTGAGAAACACAGTTTCATTGACACTGGACAAATTTCAATTATTAGTTACCTTGCGTCAAAATAATTGAATTGAATTGAATTGAATTGAATTGAAAATTTATTGTCCCTTTCGACGTAATGGCGTAATGGCGTCTTAAACAAATGTCCTCTACCAATATTGTCAATATTGGTATCATTTTTCATGTCAAAATATGATCGTTCCACATGGTACCAGTGAAATTGATCCTCACATTACTGGAAGTATGATAGTCCCTTTTTTGTGGGGGGGGGGGGGCGGCTCTCAGTATCTTGCATTTTTTTCTCACGGTCAGAGAGGAATGGATTGGAACAAATCAAAATGAAATGCGACCATGCAAGTCCATTCCCTACTCGCCCTCCCCCGCTCTCTCATTCTCTAATTCCTTGCCCCGTCTCTCACCCTTATTCCTGCCTCTTTCTCTGCAACTTTCTCTGTCTCTCTCCCTGTTTGTATGTTTCTCTGTCCCCGCTCTCTCTTTCTATTCTCTCTCTCTCTCTCTCTCTCTCTCTTTTTTGCTCTGCAGCCACTTTTACGTCGTAATCTATTTCCTATATAGACATCTAATGCTGATAACACAGGATATTTTTACTTTCACACTGACCTGGTCTAGTTTTCATGTTACATAATCCATCTGATATGTAATGACAGAGGCGACTGGTATGGGGGGGGGGGGCGTAATAAGATTAACATTTTGCAGGGGAGCAAAGCATGGGCAAGGAATATTTTAATCAAATTAAAAAAAAAAAATCCCTTTTGCCGGCACACCTTTTTTTAATACTCGTATCGCATGGTTTTTCCCCTTTGATTAGCATCGAACCCGAAACCTTCCTTTCACGAGGCGAGGCCATTGCTTTACTATACTAAACTACCTAAATTACCGACTGCATGCCAGGGGCGGATCTAGGTTTTTGCTAAGGGGGGGGGTTGACCAATAATGACGATGCAGAGCATCGTCCACGAGCCGCGAAGCGGCGAGCCGATTTTTTTGGGGGTGTTTATTTGAACCCCGTAAGTGATGTTTTCCTGGCATCTATTAACACAATGGAGACCATAAAAAGCAGTGCATGAACACGTCCGTATTACACCCCCATGTATGGTAATTTACCCTGTATGCCAACTTTTTTGCATGATTCAAACATACCTTCCAGTAAAAAAAGATGCGAGACTGGATTGCCGCAACTTCTTTGCCCTGTTTGCTTCCATATTGCTTGTCACTACACTCAGACCAGACTGATAAAAAAGTGAGCAACTTGAACAAGTAATCCAGGAAATGAGCAGCCCAGCTCAGCGTGCGTTGCCAGGTTAAATCTTCACAAAATCCCCACCCAAACGACACTTAAAATATCCCCAAAGTTGCCAAATTTTGACAGAAAATCCCCAAATTCGTTTTTCATAAAACTCAATATTATTTTCATTCCCAAATATTTATTTTTCATCCCCAAAGACTTCAACAATCCCCCAATTTTTTTTTTTTTTTTAATGTTGGGATTTTGGGGATGAGAATCGGCAACGCTGGCCTAGCTTGTCACTTCGGCGGTGGCCCGTGTCCTCAAAAAAGCTGATGGGGGGGGGGGGGCAAGGGACTCTGTGACATTTGTTCGCCCAACCCCCCCCCCCCTCCCCCCAAAAAGAAATAATAATAATAATAATAATAATAATAATAATAATAATAATAATAATAAATGAAATAAATACATAGAAATAGAATAAAATAAAATTACAAGTTAAAAAAAAAAGATAAGATTTAAAAAAATGGTCCCCGGATTTTTTTTTTTTTTTTTTTTTGGGGGGGGGGGGGTTTCAACCCCCCCAACCCCCCCCTCTAGATCCGCTTCTGCATGCTCACAACAATTACAACATCCGCAGCCCAGGGCCCCGTCTTACTAAGACTTGATATTAATCGCAACTTATTTGCGATAGATATCAATCGCAACTATGTACATAAAAGATAGGAGACTGCAAACTTGCGATTGATTGGAGGACTTGCGATTGATTTGGATCAATCGTAACTCTTTGTAAGACGGGGCCCAGGTTTCGCATACTATGCACATTTCAAAGTTGTTGTTTTTTAGTTTCATAATCCCTGGGCTAATCTGACATAACGGCCCGAATTCACAAAGGAGGTTTGTCGACAAACCTTGGTTTTCGTACGTCATATGACGCGTTTTACGCGTTTTTTACAAACCTGGTTTGTAAAGAACAAAAGGAGGTTTGGCGAAAGAAAAGGAGGTTTGAGCTCAAACCTTGGTCTGAGCTCAAACCTTGCTTTGTGAATTCGGGCCAACATGTCTAGCCAATGTATTCTTGGTCTATCTCTTTGGTCTGATTTCAATAATATTTCCGGTCTGCCACCTATAAAACCCGAGAAGCAATGTTGCTTCATGAGTAGTTTATTCAACGGCATTGCGTGACGATCGAGGATTGCTCCCAATAGACAAAATGGCTAAGTTCCACTTTCTGGTTGTATGCAGCCTTTTTGCTGTTCTATTCCAAAGTAGCATCGGGCTTGCAGCAGGTAAGTTGGCCTCTTTTCTTTTTTCGATTTTTCATTTTTCATTTTCATTTTCATTTTTTAAATATTTTGTATATTCGCTTTTCATACAGTAGTTCGCCGGACCTGTTGTTGACATCAAAGCTGATGAAAAGTGACCCGTTAACAATACTTAAGTTACATTTCATTCCAGTGTGACTAAAAAAGAAAAATGAATTTGCTCTACTATTTTCATTTGCCTAATTCATTTATCCCCATCATTAACCATTTTTACCGTGACGGAGACAATTCGATATACATCTCCTTATTTATGTTATCAGGAAACTTCGCCTTTACCTTCTATTTGCGATAAACCAATTCTTATAACATTTATGATGAATATGCTTTTTGAAGTTTCAAGTTCAGAGTTAAAAAATTAAGCGTAACCTAGGAAACATAATATTATGTACGTGATGCGTCGTCCCTTGTCCCTTTTTTTGTTGCTAAAACTATATTTTATTTCTGATCTTCTTTTTATTTCTATAATATCTTCTTTTTCGTCCTGACTGTAATCCATCTATCTCTTTTCTCGCTCTTCTGTTTTTCTTCCTTCTCCTCTCCCACTCATCCCTTCCTCTTTGTTATTATCACCCCTCTTTCTTACTCTATTTTCCCCTCTATCATTTTCTCACCTCCTTACCCCCCCCCCTCTCTCTCTCTCTCTCTCTTGGTCTCTTTTTCTCTCACACCCCTCTTTTAAATAATTCCTCCCTATCTCTCTCTCTGTCTCTCTCCCTCTCTCAGATCCATGTGATCAATCTCCCTGTCTGAATAGAGGGACCTGCACTTCAGGGACCAACTCAACCAGCTACCAGTGTATCTGTCTAGATGGCTACAATGGAACAAACTGTGAAGTCGGTACGTTCTACTCTATGTATCTAATAATCTACTCTTAAATATAATGTCAGCCACATCTCCTTTATGCATCTCCTCGCTATTTCAGCAGCAGAGAACATCATATTGCTTCAGCTCCTTCCCTTCTCATTCCCCAACCCGGAGAGGAACAAAAAGGACGGGCTCTAGGTCCTTTTAATCCCATGCCCCACGCCTATAGAATAACCTCACTAACAAAATAGTACTTCACCTGACTTCTTCGGAAAAACCTCTGAGAAGTTGATACAGTTTATCCTGATTTGTTTATAGACTGCTAAGGGACATTGCTTTGAATCCTCTGGAAAAGCCACCTTATATTAAATAATGTTGTTCTCATTATAATTACTCTCAGAATGACCAGGGGGCGTTTCATAAAACTTGTCATCAGTGAAAAATGACAATTTGTGGTATATGCTACTGAAATCCTTACTTCTGATTAGTTTTCAGCATATTTGTTACTGATTGTTGTTATATGTCATTGAAAAAAGCTTTGTGAAACGCCCCCCCCCCCCTGGAGTGGGAAACGCTGGCGTATTTTAGTGATGGTCTGTCTGTTGGCCGATGTATAAGATCAAGGAGTTTAAGGGCGATTCTAGTAGATCATTAATTATGATTCCGTACGACTGCGCACTCAAAATGTAGACACATTGTCTAAAAAAGACTTGGGGGGGGGGAGGGGGGGGGGGGGGGTATCCCCCGTATATGAACTAGGGCCCTCAAAGTGGTTTCCTAACTGAACTTCATCTTCCTTTCAGGTTGCCCTGCGGGGCATTTCACAAAAATTGTCATCAGTGACAAATGACAGTTTGTGTTATAAGCTACTGAAATCCTTGCTTCTGATTGGTTAGAAACAGATTTGTCACTAATTTTTGTCATTGCAAAGGGGCTTTTTGAAACGGGTTCCTGCTTTCCTCCTTTCTCTACTTTTCACCATTTGATGGCAGCAGGGATACGAGCGTTAATCTCACGTGTCTTCCCCACAGTAGATTCATAATGCATTTTATCTGTATCTCTTTCCTTTTCGGAGGGGACAGGGCGGGGATAAATGTCTGTATATCTTCCGCCCACTCTCTCTGGAAAACGCCATTGATTTTAACAAGAACAACAATCCATATTTTTAAATGGATTAGGTAATATTCTACGAAATCTTAACTTTGATAGTGTTCTCCGTTGCACTCCCACTGCACATTGACCAGGCCGACACCAGACAGATAATAGAACGGAAAAAATACATTACATCATATAGCCAAATTATCGTTGATTATTCATCGGTATTGCTGTGTGATCGGGTTATCAACTCCATTGTCTGACTTAAGCGTATTTTCTCCTGTAACATTCGAAAGGGCTGGTTTCCTATCTTGATTAGATAACCGAACGCACCGAAGGAACCGTTATCTGTATCCGGACATCCTGTCTTCTAGCATAAGAGTACACTCACATCATTAACGGTACACTATCTTGTCTGGATATCTCTTCAATATCCGGTCACTGTGGTAAAAAAGGAAAATACTCGAAAGATGTTTTCAAAAATCGGTTGATGAGTGACACTTGATTGGCCTTTAGTTGACCAGAATTACGTAACGGTGGACAGAGCTGAGTCACATGGCATTTGACCCCCGGTCCTACGCCCTCTCTCTCTCTCTCTCTCTCTGTCTTTTTCTCTGTCTATTCGATATAATGTATCTAAAGAGAGGGGGATTGGAGGAGGGAGAGGGGTGGGGATATGGGGAAGAAGGTATAAGGTTCGAGACGCGCCGCGGCACTAATGTCCTTTGGCAAGACATTGATTTACATTTGCCACACTCAACCCAGGTGATGTAAATGGGTACCTGGCAGGAATTAATTCAGTGAAATGCTAGAGCGCCGCAATGGCAGCACAGCTAAAGCTGGGGTAATAATCTCTAAGTTTGGAAGCGCTTAGTGATTCTAATTAGCGTTATATAAGAACTGAGTATTATTATTAAGGCAATACTGAATGACCCTGTCCTTTTGCATTTCATACCCCGGTAAAAGTTTGTTGCCCCTTAATGATGAGTACCTCTCAAGTGGTGGACCCTTGCTACGCCACGCCATTGAGTGTTTTATGTAACACTTGCATTATCATATTCATTATCAGACTGTTATTCATTAATACTTTTGTTATATCAAATATCATTATTATCATATTAAATAATATGAGCTGCATACAGCATGAGCACTCTTTATTTGTATGCATCTATTTGCCTGTTTTGTTATAATGGCCGTTTGTGTAGGCCTATATATTATACAGTCAAACCTGTTTTAGTCACCAACTGTCTATAAAGGCCGCCTGTCTATAGTAGGCAAGCATTTCATCACCGTCGAGAGAGAAATGCGTGTTGTGGAACCTGTTTAGAAAAGCCACCTGTCTACGATAGTCACTTTTTCTGTTTCTCTATATAGAGTGGCCTTAAAGGACAGGTTCGCCTGTATACGTTGTGGTATGTTTGTATCGCAATTCAACCTTTGAATTGCGATACGGTTTATGTTTTTTTTAATAAAACTGTTTCATTTTCAAGTTCGATTTTAATGACTAAACATAATTATGAAGAGTTTAATTCCAAAAGGAGCTAGATCCATTTATGTAACTTCAGAGAAAAACGAATTTGTTTACCAGATTTCGTACAGGCGTCTATGGAAAAGTGATATTAGAAGGTGCATTTTTTTTTCATAATTGTTCGCAAAATTTAGGTTATTATTTTTGTTGAAAGACAGGCTCTGAAGTAAACAATTTTCTGATATAAACATCTAGTTTATATTAAAAGTGGATTTAGCTCCTTTTGGAATTAAACTCTTCATTTATGGAGTCCTGTCTATTCTATGTCATACCTTCATCCTTCAATCCAGATCCATGTGTTGCCGCTCCTTGTCTGAATGGAGGTACCTGCCACATTAAAACAAGCGGTGACTTAGGACCTATTTGCCACTGCAAGAGGAACTTCCTGGGAAAGAACTGCGAGAAAGGTATTCTTCTAGTATTATGTCCTTTTAGTGTGTTTTTTTAGAGTGCAGTTTCTCTCTTTAAAACACGAACAAATGGAACTCCCTCGTCTCTTTTGACCGCACTTCCACCTCCAGTGATCCTTTAAAAAAGAACTTAAAGACATTCCTCTTCAATAACTGAATGTTTATTACTCTATTTTTCTGAGTCTGTTCTTTGTGATTGGCATCAGTGGCGTACCTGGGGTACTCCGTCAGGGGGGGCAAGCGACCGAAACAAACAAAAAAGGCGATGCTAATTTTCATTTCTAGCTAGCGAGCGAGCAAAAAAAATCTTTAAGTAACGTTTGGTATATAAACTGGTATTGTTGCAAGTTGGGGTGGGAACATTCACTTGTTAGCGACGTTAATTTCATTTTTTTGCAAACGAGCGAGCAAGAAAAACATCACTTCTTTTTTAATAATTGCCACTTAAACTTGGTTCTATTGTCCCATGCAGGGCGCGGGAACAATATTGTGTTTAGGGTGATTTTATACCCATTTTAGCTAGCGAGCGAAAATACAATGAATTGCTATATAAAATTTGTTTCATTGTTGCAGGTAGGGGGCGGGCACAATCGTGTTTAAGGCAATGTCAATCCCATTTTGGCGGGCAGGCAACCCCCTACATTTCTCTTTTTAATGATATTGTAGCAGGTTAGTGGTGGGCACATAATTCCACGAGCTAGCGAGCGTAGCGAGCGAAAAAAAATCACTTCTCTTTTATAGGGAAAATATGGTACATAAAACTTGGGTTCATTGTTCCATGTCAGGGACGTGATTATTAAAAGCGGTGTTATTTCTATTTTGGCGAGCGAGCGTAGCGAGCGAGCAAAAAAAAATCACTTCTCTTTTATAGGGAAAATATGGTATATAAACTTTGGTTCATTGTTCCATGTCAGGGACGTGATTATTAAAAGCGGTGTTATTTCTATTTTGGCGAGCGAGCGTAGCGAGCGAGCAAAATTTTTGTAATGATAATTGGTTCATAAATTTCAGATTTTTTTTGTTGCAGGGCAGGGCTTACACAATCATGTCTAAGGTGATGTTAATTCCGTTTTGGCGAGCACGAGCACACCAAAACTTCTTTGAATAACGTTTGGTACATTTGTTGCAGGTTGGGGCGGGCACGTTAGCGGTGTCAATTCCATTTTGGCGAGCGAGCATAGCGAGCAAGCAAAACAAATATTCTCTTTTAATAGAAATTAATAAATAAACTTGTTTTTATTGGTGCAGGTCAGGATGGACGCAATCGCGTTTAACGCGATTAAATTCCTTTATGGCGAGAGGGCGAAAAAACTCTTCCATTTTTAATGATATTGTTGCAGGTCAAGGGTGGGCACAATTGTTTCCAAAGCAATGTCTATTAATTTTATTCGCGAGCGAGAAAAATGAATTAGTCTCTTTTAGTAACATTTGGTACATATATTGTGTTTTATTGTTGCCATGGTTGCAGGTCGGGGCCCGTCGGGGCAGGCACAATTGTATTCTAGGCAATACTAATTCTTTTCTTTTTTCAGGGGGACGAGCAAGTGAAAACATTTAATACAAAATAGGCTAGCAAGCAGTTCGCGCCAGCGAAGAGTTTCGAATTTGTTATATCACTTATATTTTCCTATTTTAATTTTTTTTAATTTTTCAGGGCCGTATGCGGAATATTTTTCTGGTGGGGGAGGGGGAAAGATGCGTTAAAATTTTTCGAAGAATCTCAAAAGCAAAAGGAGTGAAGGGAGTTCGAGCGACCGAACTGGTCATGAGGGTACTTTTGCATTTTCAAAAGTAGAATTGAAGGATTTGGTATAAGCCTACACTACATTTTCAGGAAAAAAACTGTACGTTTTCAAAATATCTGGGGTCAACTGCCCCCCCCCCCCCTTGTGCGTACGGCCATGGTCTTTTTTTTTTTAATTTCCCCATTTTTATTCCTTTCCTTTTCTTTTCCCTTTTTCTTCTTTTCTCTTCTTCTTCCTTTTTTCTTTCCTTTTTTTCCTTTTTTCTCTTTCTTTCCTTTTTTCTTCCCTTTTCCTTTTTTTCCTTTTCTTTCCTTTCCTTTCTTTTCTTTTCTTTCCCCCTTTTTCTTTTTTCCCCTGGAGCCCGTCAGGGGGGGGCACTCTGCCCCCCCTGCCCCCCCATAGGTACGCCAGTGATTGGCATTAATGTATAATGTGAAGCGCATCGAGCAATATTTGTTTGGAATTGCTCTTTATATAAAAAGAAATTGTATGAATATATGTTAAAGTTTTGGGAAATTTTGTAAATTGGTTGGATAGTAATTCTTTACAATTCTGATATATTTAGATGCTCCTGTGGATGTATTATAAGCACTAGAAAATTTAGCCCCTAAAACACTTCTGCTTTCGAGTAAAATTGAATATCAAAATTTACCCGTGCTCCCGGTAAATTTTGATAAATTTCACATACAGTTGTAGCTGCGACCATGAAAATCTCAGAATATGTAGTTGTGATATATAATTTCCAAACGAAAATAGCCAATTGGTCGATTTTAGTCAAAAAACATTGTTTTATGTGTGTGTGTGTGTAATTGGGTTTTTACAGACGTGTATCAATCAGATATGATTATTTACGTCTGGGGACCGACCTTTAACGTCACCATCCGAAAGACGTGACTCAGTTTCGAACCTGCGTCCTCGGCTGAATTAGTTTGTAACTTCCACTGTTAGCTGGATTACAGGCGCACGCCACAACGCCTAGTTGGCTTAATTATGGCTTAATTAATATCTTGACCTTAAGAGGGAGCTATATAACATAAAGAGTTTATTATTTACAATTCCATAACTTCAGACTCAATGTCAACCGCGACAACGATCACTGAATATTGAAGGATCGCATATGCTTCCAATATGTTCATTGAACCAAATTCATGACCCAATACCCAAACTCAAGTTTAGCAAACTATTTCCTCATTAAATGAAAACAAATGGCTGTTTTCACGAATGCATTTTCTCTATATCAACGGCATATATCTATTTTCACCTTACCAGATGCCTATGCGTGCCGCAGCCTACCGTGTATGAATGGAGGAGAGTGCCGGAACCGACCCGCAACAGGATCGTATATGTGTCGCTGCTTACCTGGGTCCTCCGGAGAGCAATGCGAAAATAGTAAAGACTTTTATTGATTTCATTTTAGTTATTTAAAATATTAATTAGTAAATTTGCTCATTAGTTTATCTTTATATTAATTAATTAATTAATTTATTTATTTATTTTTGTAATCGAGTCATCCCCTCCACATTGCTTTTTCCTCGCAATGAAGTTTGTTCAATTAGTATGGTTATTTTTAGTTTTCAGTTACTTTTTTCTGTCGTTGGTGTTGTTTGTGTTCTTATTTATTTGCCTTTTACTTAATATTTGTTTCTATAATTTCAATCTTTAATCAATATCTACATAACTCAATCTAGGCCTACTGGGACATTGTGGTGTGCAGTTTTGTTTAACTGATATTGCTACCACCGTACACGTAAAATTTTTATATTTTCATAATTTGTATATGTTGTAGATGTTGACGGTTGACTTCTTTGCAGAACAATGATACCTGTTCGTAAACGCAATACAAACAAGTGTTTTCAGCACTAAAGGTTGTTTGTCTTCATAATGTTGTTCGTTTTAAGAAACGTTTTATATGTGATGTTTACATGGGTAGCCTCATCAGTATCAATACTGATCTCCCAGAGGGCCCCACAATTCATATTATGATATGGTGACACATATCTCTCCTAATTTGTTTATTTCTAGATGTTGACGATTGTGCGAGTTCCCCCTGTCAGAATGGTGCTACTTGTACAGATCTTGTTGGAGGGTTTGTCTGCACCTGTCCAAAGGGAATTGTAGGACAGCTTTGTGAAATGGGTAAGATTGATAACAAATAGGAAAGTTATGAATGTTTGAAATATCATAATGGGAAACACAAGTTAGCAACACTGTGACGTATCTTGCGAGGTCTTCCCCAATTGAATCTATACATAAAATTTAATAAACCTTCATTTGTTTCGTTATTGATGGCAGAATAGATTTCTTTCACTCAAGGTTGTAAAGAAATGTATGTTCAATAATTGTACTTAGAATGCATGAAAATCGATTTCTTTCTAAAAAGGGAAAGTAAGAATTTCTGATTTTATTTTAATATAAGGGGATCTCACAAAAATACGTCCCAGAGTTGCCATTTTTGTATTGATCGTTGCTGTCTTTCTTTCTTCAGCTTTCTTACTTTTAATCGGAATTGTTCAAACTTTCATTGATTCGTTCCTCTCACTTTTCTTCTTCAATTAAAACCAATTAATATCAGGGTGGACTGGACTTCCTCCTTAATTAACCACTACTTTGGGATGGATTCAACTCCCGGGGGCCTTGTAACCTTGGGGTGTTTCACAAAGATACTAAGTTGAACTTATCTTTAAGTTGGACTTACAAATTATGGACAGCCGTTAGCATCTTTGAAAATATTTGGTAAAAGTTATTTTAAAAGCCATCAAATGTTGATTTAAATCAATCATATTTTCTATTATCAAGGAGATTTCATGTTCTTGATGTAGAATTTATGAAAAGTCTAAAATACTTGAATTTTTGCTTTTGAATATACTTTATTTTAAGGCTTCAAATGGCTCTCCATAATATTTAAGTCCAACTTAGAGTTAAGTTTGACTTAGGATCATTGTGAAACACCCCCAAGTGTATGAACGTAAGATTGAGTTTCTTTTTCATGTGTTGATCTGGTATCCATTTTTCTAGACTTCAGCTCCGAGATCGAAGTTTCTTGTGACGCTACAGAGATGACGATCACACTGGTTCGAAGTCTTCTAGTTGATGGGGATAACGCTAGCTCCATCCATCTGAATGAGGATACCTGTACTGGTGTCTTCCAGGATGACTACAAGATCATGCTGTCTACCCCATACGGAGAATGCGGCACAACGGTTGAGGTATTTATCAATTTGTCCTTAAAGATAAACTTGAGTTCTGGTAACAAAAATAAGAAAATAAATTCTCACAGAATCAAACGAAACTTACACTAAATGTTCGAGATTACAAATAGATGTCGAGTGCCAAACAATTTTGGAAGAAAATGTATACTGGCTGAGTAATGAGCACAGAAAGATAAGAAAATCAAGGTATAGCCCCCAACACCAATGATGTGTAGTCCTATATACATCTTTCTGTGTACAGTGCTTGTTACCTTACCAAGACTGGGCCAAATTTATTATGATTTTGATGACTCCAGAACCTTGCAGTACACACCAATACTTACATGCTACATGATCAACTTTTTCTGATCCATTCCACACCTTTTCTTTCACAATGATATCGCATTACCAGAACTCAACTTTATCTTTAACTCAATACCAATTTGGAGAAAAAGAACTTTTGCTCATGCAGGCCTTCGCTTGTTGAATGCTCTCTCGAGAGAGGTTCGTAACTGCAGATCAGTTGAGATGTTTAAAAATGATCTTAAAACGCATCTGTTTAATCTGGCATTTGATTTTTTTCCTTTATTTTCATTACGGTATCTTTTATCTTACTTCTTCTCCTTCGTTTATAATGCAGATGCTTTTAAGCGATCTCTTTCTTTGGTTTTGCTTCAAAAGTGCGCCTTGAGCATTCGATTTCAAGTGAATTCGATGCCATGCAAATCTCATATATTATTACAATTTTTAATAATAGTTATAGAATTTGTGCAAAATTCTATTTTCGAAAAAGATGAAATTCTGCGTTCACACCTTAGTCACGCCAGCTAAAACGTATTCACAAAATTGGATTTATAACAAAATAAATGTATTACCCAGTCAGAGAGTATTTGCTTGTTTGTTTTTTTAACCTGACTGTAATGAAAGCATCTGTATGCTTGTATAGTAACCGGGAGACCGATGGCTTTAAGTTCTCTCCGAGACACTTGGTAATAAACCTCGCACTATTTTTGTCACTGTCTTTTATTAATTTTGCGTGGTTAACTTGAAACTCGAAAGCAATACATAATAACGATTATGTTCTTAAAAACACCGTACTTGTTGGTATTTTATACAACAGATGATTTCCGATAATCACTAAACTATAATTTGGTTTAAAGCTTTGTTTTTCTTTTCATCTACTTTCCATCCCGTTATTAGGAGGCTGGTGACACCATTATCTTCTCCAACACAATAATTTACACGAAAAATTTAATCACCACACAATACCTTCTTCAACTTCCTGTGCAATGCATTCTTGGAAAGAAAGAAATCGTCGATGGTTCGTCCGGCTATGGAATTACACGTCAAAATGCTACTGCAATCAAAGGTGAGATACACTGAATGAAACTGAACTTACTGGAGTAGCAGGGAGGGGGGGGGGGGGGCAGAAAATTGAGGGGCACTTACATCGCGGGGGCGGTTTTCCCAGGTGCACTGTATAAACTATGAATTACCATGGCTACCGATTGGGGAGGATGTAGGTGTGGCTTCTTAAGCCCGTCCTACATTTCTCTCTCCCAATCCTCCACCTCTCTCTCTCTCTCTCTCTCTCTCTCTCGGTTGTCTTTTTTGTTAAAGGGGGGGGGGGCAAGTCAGAGCACTCCCGGAACTACGCCACTGTCTACATTCCATGCATGGATCAATATTTGTTTCCAACAATTATATTTTAAAGCACCTCTTCATTGAATAAACTTTGGGAAAATAAAAAAAGCTCTATGCTGACTTTCACATCGAGAACATATCTCTAATCGTCTTTTTATTAATGTTTGGATTTTCATGTCTTCTCTATCTCTCTCCCTCTCTCTTACCAGGATATGCTCAATTTGAATTGATGTTGGAGCGATACAACAACGAGACTTTTGATGCTCTCCCATCTTCTGGAAACGTCCGTATCCGAGATGAACTGTTCTATGCGGTCTCCCTTGAATCTTCAGCTAGCCTTACTGTATTGCTTGATGAATGTTGGGCCACACCTAGCCCGGACGCTAACGATACACTGCGATACAACCTCCTCGTGGACGGGTAAGCCATTAACATCACTAATTAATAAATACCCTTTGTTCTCACAGCTGTACGATGGGTAAATACTTTTATCCTAGTCTGAACGATCCAACGTTTGAGCATCGTTTCGAACGAAAACTCGATAAAGAATCATTTTCCAATTTTTGTCCGAACTTCGCATCCCACGAACATTTTATAATTTTTCTATAATTTTTCTTTAAAGAATTTTGTTTACTAGTCTAACCCCTCATTTTACTATACGATGATTCTTGATACATTTCTTTATCATATTTTCGCATAAATGTTTTGTATTCTGAATAAGCTATAAGGGGCGTGACGTGAGGCACTATAGTCATGCTACTGTCATTGGTCAGTAGATGAGAATACATGAGAGACCTAAATCCTTCGGTTCTCTGGTTGCTTACTAAACAAGCATTTATGATTTCTTAGCAGTCAGGTAAAAATAAGCACCCCTAGACAAAATTGTCATTGGTGACAAAATTTTATTGGATATTTCTATAGCGGACATACACGCCAAGCAAGAGCTCAAGGCACTCCAATATTATCCGCGTTCTGATAGGCTACCGATTTCGGTGCTATCAACTTTTGAGGAATTCTTTCCTATCCGTATCAATTTCACACCTGAGTGGAGAGTGGAAAAGTGGATTTATGTCTTGCCAAACGACATTAGTGCCGCGCCGGAACTCGAACCGCGAACCACGTGATCCGAAGACATATCCACTAGACCACGACACATTATAGGTTAGGAGGTATTCTAGTGGGTAATATGAATTTCATGTTGACCCTCCTCCTTCTTGAGTTCTCTTTTTCCGATTCAGTTATTTTGATGGGGTGGGGCTCTTTCATCAAGTTGCAGTCTTTCTTATATCCGATATTGAGATAAACATTTTTTTATTATAAACCTGCCATTTTACATCTTTCAAAAATGTTATTTTAACAACTTGATATCCTATCATGCTTTCTCGGGGTAAATATATATTCATTACTTTATAATATCATTAAATATTTTGTTCATAATTTCTATTAGTAACTGAATTATGAACGAATTCTATTTTTCCCTAGTTGCCCCGTCGATAATTCGTTGAATATATTCACAAATCTGGGACCCCTCAAGCAAGGATTCTCTTTCCAGGCGTTCGCATTTGTAGGCGCTTACCCTCAGGTAAGTTTGCCAACAATTTGAAATCAGTCTGTAAAACTGACAGGGTTTACGAAATGATTGTGTCAAATCGAAACCTAGCTCAGGTACCTGATTCATCAAACTTGTTATCAATAATAAGATACGATAGTTATTATAAGCTACTGAAATACCTGCATCTGACTGGCTGAGAAGAAATTTTGTTATAAAAAGTGTCATTTGTTTATTGGTAAGAAGTTTTATACAACATTAATGACATGAAATCTCAATTTAGGTAGGGGAAACCAGCCGTAGAGATTGACAATAACTTATAATGTTCTTATTTTAATATCGGAAACCAAATTGTATCTGTTATTAAAAAAAAACAGTTCCTTGTGGTAGCTTACTCCTATTGAGCGTTTCAATTCAAACATGTGTATTGAGGCAATAAGCAAAGAGGATACAAATTAGTGCCGGGCGAAATATTTGGTGAGGATTTCCATGTGAAAATGCTAAAAAGAGATATGCAAATCCAAATTATATTAACGTTTTTACATTAGGGTCTGCATGTCTTGGTCCTGTCCATTATCGTAAATTGTATTCTGTGAAGTAAACTTTTTTTTTTTACAAAATTGACCTGTGGACATTGATTGCTAGTCACATTTAATTTCGCAAAATGTAACTTTTTTAAATTAAAAGTTTTTCACGATTCATTGCATAGGTTACACTTTCCTAACATGAATTGTATGTTAATTAAATTACTTTTCTCAGTTCAATTTATAAGTGCGCGTCGATCGTGCTGTAAATATGAGTGTTACTGGTGGCACCGATTATCAACGATGTTGTATCACTTTAGACGCAGCCTCGGCGATGCACCAAGCATGATATCTAACCCAATAAATCAATTTATTTTCCTTCATGATATAAACATTTTTGAAATAAATCATTTTTCTTGATTGTTTTGTGCAGGTCCATGTCCATTGTGCTGTAACCATGTGCGTTACTAATGGAAGCGGTTGTCAGCAAGGTTGTACCGCCAGCCCTCTGCGTCTTCGACGTAGCCTCCGTGATGCAGAGAGTCTGATGACCAACACTATTTCGAGTGAGCCGATTACCCTCAATTAGGAATACACAAAATGGTAATTTTGTAAAAGGGAAATCGCCACTTTGCATGTCCGGTATTTTCAGAATTGAACGGTTGATATTAGGGTTAGCGTTAGCGTTAGGGTTGTGACATATAAGATCGAGTAATATTGTCAACTTAAAATAGTTAAAAAGGAAAATCGTCAATTTGCACGTTTTATATCAAAGCTGAATATTTTCTTAATCGGACGATTAAAATTAGGGTTAGGGGTAGCTTTATAAGGTTATGACATAAGATAGAGCAATACTTACAATTTGAATTGGTAATTGTGACAAGAAAATCGTCAACTTGTGTGTCTATATAGAACCAACGCTGAATAATTTCTGATATGATGAGGCAAAAACTGATTCGAACTAATGATAACAAGGGTGTAATGTTTTGTGTATTTTAAACAGAGTTAGAAATGATACTGATTGTAGGACGTTCATTTGATTATTTCTATAATGTAAAGCATAATGAGGTAGAAGCAAAGGCCTCAAATTAACAGCATATACAAAGAATATAGAGTCTCCCTGAAATGAAGGCTATCCAATATATCAAACTTTGCTGGTGTATCATATATATTTATCCATTGACCAATGGTACATCACATGAAATAGTTAAAACAAGTTAAATATACGCCCAAAATCCAAATGTCAATATTATGTTCTATCAAGGGTGGAGGAAAAAATGGAAAACACATTTATTTACAAGTTTAGATATAAGCAGGGGGAAGAAAATTATTTGTCTGAAGAAATGACTAATCATTTATCTTATTTTCCACTGTACCTGCTAAAGGTTAAAATGACCAGAAACAACTTTTGTGTAACGGTGAAGATCTTAACAATTTCGTCGCGATCATGAGAAATAACGGCAATGTTTGAAATCTTATTTACCATCCATATATTTTTTGTTTGCAGGATAACTTGATCGAACTTTCCTTTTGGATGCAGCAGCAGTGATGGATCACGACATGCTTCCAATCTGATGTAAAACAGATATATACTCTACGGCTATACGAAATAGATAACATTATAAATGGAATATACATATTTCCACCAATTAAATCATTTGACAAGGATTATATTGGACCTTAAGACTACAACTTTCTTGTTTGTTTGCAAGTATCCTTGACCTAAATACAGCTATTTTGGTCTCATGAACCTTTATAATCCTAACTAAGGGTTTTCAACAGCAATTACCCTACGAGACCAAATGATTTGCTCTCGCTAGCCTCCTTATTTTCTGAGCATTCTCGGAACGGACCTTAGACATTTTCGAAGTATTTGATGTCAGGTCTAGTCTAAAGGATTGAAGGTCTGAAGGTCCATGAGACCGTAATAATCAACCATTTAGCAGTACGTGCTTATTTTGATCTCCTCGACATATGATTCGGAAACCCATCGGTCATCTATCACGCTTGTGTGTTGATGATAAATAGATAATAGTAATAATATTAAGGTTAATTTGTAGCGCGCCTCTAATACTATGTTTCTAGGCGCCATAATAATCATCAGGGGGGCGTTTCACAAAACGTGTCATCAGTGACAAATGACAGTTTTTGTTATAAGCTACTGAAATCCTTGCTTCTGATTGGGTATCAGCAGATTAGTCACTGGTTTTTGTCATTTGTCATTGGAAAAAGGCTTTGTGAAACGGGTCCCTGGTCATTCATAATAGTTACATATTTAGAAATCAATTGAGATACAACCATTTTCAATGTTTTCAATTTTTCCACTGGAGTATTCTCAAGCCGAATCATCTTAAGCCGTGACGCGGTCAATAATCTGCTTCATGAAGTCCATCTGCGGAGCCAGATTGGATGCTGTAAGAGACATAGATGGGACATACCATTACATTTGAATACAGCTATTTATAACGACGAAATAAATATGTTGTTGAAATTTATGGGATTAATACTTGAAGAGAAAATTGAAGAGTTTTGTATAATTTTAATAAAGTCAGAACCTAGGCCATGTATTCTTTGAAGATGAGTCAGTTTCAACAAATTTGAAAAATTGTCACAGAATACGAAGATGAGTTGTCTTTCGTACAAGACACATCATCACTATTCCAAATACTAATTTGTGTTCCCGATTATGATTTCACTGAATAGCGAAATAATATTCCAGTTAATAATAATCGCAAAATAAAATCATTTAATCGCTGAAGTATAGATTGTTCATTGTTTGACGAAACACATGCCTTTAAACGTAATATGAATCATGATAATATTTTAAAGGAATAACATGAAAGTGCTAGTTTTCAAATTGTTTATCATGTAGCCGATCATTGTAAAATTAAATCACACAGAAAAGAAACCGTATAGCCAGTAAACGACGAAAGTGCATATCTCTGTTCCACTTCTTTTCAGTATCGTATAATATAATATTATTTGGGATCTTACCGTAGGAGTATGAAGCATAGCCCCACCTGTAAGAAGATGATAAGAAAACATGTGGTGAATACAAGTTTCGTGGGCGACATAGAGAGAGAGAGTAAGAGAGGGGAGAGGGAGAGAGAGAGAAAGGGTGTAGGAGTGAAAGAGAGAGAGATAGAGAGAGAGAGGGGGGGAGGGAGTAATATGATGACAAGAGAGATATAAAGAGATGGGAGAATGGGAGAGATAATTATAGGAGAGTAGAGGGAGAGGTGTAGATCGAGAGGGAGTGAGTGAATTATAAAAGAAAGAGAGAGAGAGAGAGAGAGAGAGAGAGAGAGATGGAGTTAAGAGAGAGAGAGAGAGATGGAGTTAAGAGAGAGAGAGAGAGAGAGAGAGAGGGTGTAGGAGTGAAAGAGAGAGAGAGAGAGAGAGAGAGAGAGAGGGGGGGGGGAGGGGAGAAATATGGGGACAAGAGGGATATAAAGAGATGGGAGAGTGGGAGAGATAATTATAAGAGAGTAGAGGAAGAGGTGTCAATCGAGATCCAGTGAGAGGGAGTGAGTGAATTATAAAAGAAAGAGAGAAAGAGAGAGAGAGGGGGACAAGGAAGGAGTGAGAAAGAGGGGACGGGGTAAGAAAGAGTATAAAGGGGGGGGGGGGTAATAGATAGAGAATTAAGAGAGGGAGGGGAAGAAAAGAATAACCTGATGGGGATGAGAGAGAGAGAGATCGATAAATAGTGTCTGTACGTTTGATGAGAGAGAGATCGATAACTAGTGTCTGTACCTTTGTGTTTTCGTGTGCGTGTAAGGGGGTATATTATAATCACGGTGCCCTGTAAAACTAGAGTAATGACTGAGTAAGAACAACCATAATCATTTTCATGGCATATTATATGACATAGAATCGAAGGGATATACTTAAATGCATATGTGATTTTAGATTATTTTTTTAGATGCGTAAAAATATGATGCTGGAAGAAGTTTAAAATATCCTTGTCTATAGTTTGAACTTTCACCTTTTCTAATTGTTTAGTGTTAAGCAGAGAACAGACGAAAAACAATATATATATTTGAAAATAATTTGAATTACTTATGGTAGAAAGTGATCTTACCAATCCCAGCAGGCACCGGGATTTCCGCCAAACGGTGTTGAAGTGGCTTGTGGGTAGATGACGATGATGTCATTCAGTTCACCCACTTCGTTGTAGCCAGAGAGCGTGGTATATTGATCACCAATCAACCCGCTAATATAGTTATTTGAATGAAGTGTGATTTTGGTGTGAAAAAAATTATGACACAGAGGCTTCTGAGATAAAACGTTAATTTGTTTTCTTATTAAAGCATATTTTTCCTAAAATGTCACTTATTTTTATGTATAAGCATGGGTATAAATAATAAACTTTGCCTTAAAAATTTCACTGTAACATCAAGATAATATATCAAGATAATATTTGTAACAAGGAACTTGATATCCACAGTTTCCTTAGGCTTACAATGTGAAAAATGTCATTAAATCGAACAAAAAATGACATTAGCTGCCGTTCTATTTAAGATACTGCTACAGTATACAATCCAAGTAAAATAAGTAGTGTGTTTTGGAATGATTAGGAATGCCGTTATACTTACTATTGCTGCAGACACCCATGTAGTGCTAGGTGTACCCGGCAGACTGGGAAAAAGAAACGTGACAATAACAAAAATGGGAATAGAACAGTAATCACGATTTTGAAATAAATGAGCAGAAATACTTGATAAATTATGCGCCCGGCGGTTTTTTTTTATGCTGATGTTAAGTGTAATTTGATTAACAATTCATTGAGCTTTGTGTTTACGTGCATGATCTTTGTTGCGCGCAGTTACTATTAATGTATCTTTAAGCGACGGCTTTTGTTGCGGCAGATTACCACGTCATATCTGAACAGCGCCTTAACTTGTGAATTATGCCCCTTCCCCATTCGTGCTGATTAAAGCTAGATCCGCCCCTAAAGCTATGGTCACAACCCCCACAAGTAGCCTGCTAGACGGCTGGTTGGCAAGTTTTTAGCCAATTTTGCCCGGACACCGAGCGGCGGCCACCCGGGCACCGCTTCTTTTTAGGGCATCGCTCGGTCGCCGAGAAGGCGCCTGCAGCCCAAAATACGCCGACACGATTTAAGTCCACCGACCTATTCGAGCGTTCGCCGTCGAGCGATTTAGGTCCAAAATCGAAGCCGCTACGGGTCAAAGGCTGCCGAGCGGTCGCCGCCCGGTCACCGGCCGGTCGCCGCTGGGAGATTAGTCGGTCACCGAGCGGTGAGTTCTAAATCGGTCGGCAGCCTTTGATCTAGCGGCTTCGAATTTTGACCTAAACCGCTCGACGGCGAACGCTCGAATAGGCCGGAAAAGCTACCCGATTTCGCCCTGTTTTGAACTAAAATCGACCGGCGACCGATGGGAAATTGACAGGGCACCGCCCAGGCATCGTCAGGCGCGGATCCACGGGCTCAATTCTGTCGGCCCGGCTATGGCAAGCCCTTTGTGTAAAAACTAGATGAACTCTGTTTTTCTCAGATAAACTCTGTTTTTCTCAGATAAACTCAGTTTATCAACAGATAAACACAGTTTATCAGAAAAACTCAGTTTATCAGTTGATAAACTGAGTTTATCATTGATAAACACAGTTTTTCTGATAAACTGAGTATATCTAGTTTTTACACAATGGGCTTGCCATAGCCGGGCCGATAAAATTGGGCCCGTGGATCCGCGCCTGGGCATCGTTTGTGCTCTACAGCCTGCTCGACTTCTCAAAAAATCGTTGGGCGACCCCTAAATTCCAGCGATGACCGAGCAGGCTACAAATCGGTCGGTGGCCGCTCTGATTTGTGACCATAGCTTTAGATAGTCACTTACGAGACGCATCGACGAGGCATCCGGTGGGCACGTACACATAGCCGGTATTGGCAACACTCTCCAGTCCCGGGTTTCCATATGGGAAAAACTCCGTTTGGTCGAATTCCAAAAGCTGTAAGGAAGGAAAAGAAAACACAGTAGAATATTCAATCACTATTATATTATCTACATTAACCATCTATCTTTAGATTAATTAATAACTTATTCATCCTGTATTTTACATTTCCTTTTTATTTAAGTTCGAAAGAGTTCCCGTGCATTAAAGTTTTTCCCTACTCAAAGAAAGAAACAAAAATTAACTCCCTTTCTCCCACACGTCACTCTCCCCTCTCTTTCTCTCTTCCTTGTCATTTCCACAACACTGACATTTTATTTATCTGTCTTTTTTCTTCAAACTGAAACACAAAACATAATATGTTTATTCTTGTCAGATTTCAATTATGCAATCTTTAAAAGCGCAAAGGCTTTCGAGAAATAAATCTTCGGTAATTTCATAAGCCTTACCTATCACAATGTTATCTGTCCAAACATTACAATAACATACAAAAACAATATGTTCTATAAGCAAAACAAAATGGTATTGAAAATGCCCTTTAAAGAGTTGATTTCCCGAGATTCTTTGCAATAGTCTAGTGAATTTGTCAACAAACCGTCGCCTGGCTGGCAGAAGGGCGTTAGCTCGAATTTCAGGTTAAAAATGAAGCGCTAAGCAGAAGGGCGTTAGTACTAAATCACCTCAAACTTATATAAAACTGACTTATTTCCGAGAAAAAAATTGTGGCCATGTTCTAATACATCTTCATTTGCCACTATCCACCTACTTGTAGGTGCAATAAATGGGTACCTGGTAGGGATTTGTTCCTTAAATATTCAAGGGCAGCTGGGCTTAAGCCAGGGTAATTATTAGTACTTTGTAGGTGCCTTAAGCATCGCCTGGAATGGATACGTGCAAAATATGGATGTAGCTATCATTAATATATTATTCATTATTATTCCTTTTCTAATAATTATTGTTATAATTATCATTATTATTATTATTGAATAAGGCCCTCTTGTACAACGGTTTTTTGTTTTTGTTTACACCAACGCGATTACCAAGGCGAAATAAGATAAGACAGATACATGAAATTGTGTTGCGATACGTACATCTCCGTCCTGACTGGTAGTTGCTGTTGGTCTCTAGTTAGAGAGAGAGCATTCCAAAGAAAAGAGAAGAAGAAAATAAATTAGATGATTACTCTAATCGTTTATATATGTCAGCTGAGAACATGGGATGGGTATAATATAGATATATTGACTGCTATGAGAGGCATAGCTGTTTTCATAGGCTCAAGGGGACGTTACATCCTGCTATGACCACGAGGCGCGCCGCGGCAATAGTTCGTTTCTTTGCGGGCATGGCTAAAATCACGACTCCAATTTCGACCAATCAGATGACTAGATTCATTCAATATACGTAAGAGAGGTATATAATAAGCATTAAAAGAAAAGTGCTTCCTTGTTTCTTGCATTAGTGGATGTATTGTAGTGACACAATTTATTGAGCTTATAAAAATATTAGCCGAGCAAGTGGGAAAGTGCTCGAAAAGAAAGTCAAAGAGTTGAAGTTTCGAAATTATTAGATTACAACTTCAAAATTTATAAGTTTCATATTCTCTTTGGATTTTACTTAGTCATTTATTTAAAAATAAAATTTATTCTGCTTTTGTTCAAAGTGATCCCCCTATATATATGGTTATATGAATATAGGGTCAGAGTGGACTTGATTATTAACACATACCTTCTTGAATTATAATGCCAGTTAGTTTACTGCAATTCATGCTTTAAACAATCGAGGATGTTCCTCAAGCCCTGGTCAGTAGAAATGATTTAACATTCAATTTCAAAGGCCGCGTTGCGTTTGAGGAAATCATAGGATTTCCCTTAACAGTTTGTCTTTTTTTCCAAAGAGAAAAAAACAGCATGTTTTCTGATTGAATTCACCTTTAACACACCTTGAATTAATCATTTTCGTAATCGCTTTTAATGCGTAAATCTATGTTAAGTGCCATGTAACAAATGATTTATTCTCTTGTTACGAATGATTGTATTTCAATAGGCAGAAAGCGAATTGCGTACATTAATTGCCGCTAGGTGGGACAAAATTATGACTTGCCATACCTTGCAACACTTCATGAAGGCAATTCGCATTCTAACTATTGAAATAAAACTATTCGTAAAGGGTGAATTAAATGATTTATAACGAGGCACTGAACAAAGAATAATGTGTGCATTAAATTTGATTAGTTTACGACTAATTTCATGCCTATTCATGTTTTAAAAAGTGGGGATGTACCTGGAGCCCTGGTCCATAGAAGTGGTTCAGCATCTCATAGGCCGTATTGTAACCACAGTTGTTGATATTCGGTATCCCTTTATAACCACATGCGTTACCATGCACATCGTGAACCTGTGATCAATAAGAACTTTTACCATTAATGCGAACTTTTTTTTTGTTATCTTTTCAATTATATTAAGCCGTAATTCAAATATTAAATTAAAAACATGCAGCAGTTCTGTTCATAATTAGGTATGAGGTCATATGGCTTGTAACCAAACAGATATCTTCAACTACCACGGTATATCCATGCGTTAGTTACCAGTCATCAGGAATGTGATGTCGTGGACGAGTGGATATGTCACCGGACTGTGGATCACAAGGTTCGCGGTTCAAGTCCCACCGCGGCACTAATGTCCTTTGGCAAGACATTGATCTACATTTGCCACTCTCCACCCAGGTGTAAATGGGTACCCGGTAGGATGCGAAAGCTAATGTGGTTAGATTAGCACGTGTGCGCTTGTAAAAAAGACGCCTGGCTGGAATGCTCCCCAGGGAGTGGAGAATGTGCATACATTGTGTGCGGGTAAGCCTGAATCCTATGACCGGGGTAATAATATATATATCTGTAAAGCGCTTTGAGAGGGCCTTCGGTCCTGAAAAGCGCTATATAAGAACTAGCTATTATTAAATACTTATTAAAAAAAAAAATTAAAAGCATGCAAGTATGTCATACCATAGAATGTTCAGCAGGCACGGTATACTCGGTAAGGAAGTTGTCATTGTCCGTATTGAAATGTTGATAGTATTCCTCCGCAGCTTTGGTCACGTCTGTTAATACACAGAACATATTGTTAATATATCATAGAATTCGAAACTCCAAATTAGTCATAATTTTGCACTGCTATTGAGGTATTGTTTATTACTGATAACATCATAATTATGTATATGTATATATGAATTACAAAAAAATGAATATAAACAATCTCCTTCACTGATATAAACATTAACTGGGCATCATACAAATTGGTATATTAACCCTAATCCTAATGAGAAACTTTAATACTCGCAATGCGACGCGTACATTGCGCCGAATTTCTAAGATGAATGGACAACGATAATATCATTATTTAAAGTGTAACTCTAGAGCCACTCCCGCCACTCATCCTCTCCAAGCGCTATAGTTCTCCTTAGAACTATTAGCTAAGAAAGATAACCAAAAGTATTTTTCAAGACTATACCAAACAGTCCTTTTCAGGACTACAAACCCTCAAGAAAGATTACCGAAAAGAAATTCACATCAGTTAAACACAATATCAGGACTTGCATTCATTATTACAAGTCCGTAACTTATGGACCCGCTCATTTTGTCCCGCAAATTTTACACGAGTATGAAAAACGACTTAAAGTTATGCGTTATAGACGTTTGTTTATAGCCGTCAGCTTCTGAATATGCAGAAAAATTGTAAATAAAACAGATAATCACAAAACACTGAAAAATAGGACTCTTAGCCTTTGAAAAAAAACGTCCTTGTGATCCCCGCTATTATGCATCCTGGTAATAAAGAAACCAATCAATAACAATTAAATAAAAAGAAAAAAGAAAGAATTCACAAAACATACCTTCGTGGACGACAGAGTCCATTGATCCATGGAAGACGTATATCTTGTCATTGGCCATGTTTGCAGGGTTATCGATAGAGTTAAAGATATAAGCATATGTCGTAACCCACCCAGCGAGATAATTCACATTGATATTACCCGTAAGCGTGCATTGGGTAAGAGAATAGAACAGACTGCGCCGAGCACACCAATACGGGCCTGGAGTTTTGACAAGTAAAAACAAACAAGAAAGAAGCAGAATGGATTTAAAATAAATGGAAAAAACCAACGACAAAAAAAAACAAAAAAAACATTAACATTGATTATAATGTATATAAGGCTTCCAAGTGGTACGATATATCAGTATATTTAATATCTTTAGTGCAATACCCGGATGACAGATCAAACTGTCGATACAATTTACATTTACCGAGGTAACTCGCATTTTATTATTTCGCTAGTCAGCCTGATAGAGACAATTATAATAATATTGTATAGCTTTGTATTCCTGGTAAACAAAAATGTATTGCCCTCACTATTTCTTCTTCTGTTTTTTCTTCGCTCTTAGTTACCTCCTTTTCTATATATTCCTCTCCTTTTTACCTTGAATGTTCTTCTTCCCACCCTCCATTTGAAAAAAATATCTCTTCTCGTCCTTCCTTTCTACTTCCCCCATTTCCATCTTAGCTTACTGGATTCACCGATTCACCCATGAAGAAGGCTTACCGCCAGTGACCACACACACACCCTGATGGATGGTTACCAAGAGCGACCACACCCATAGTAAAGACTTACCCCATTTGGACACACCCCTAATAGAGACTTAACTCCAGCACCCATACCATTAACATCGGCTTATCTCAAGTTACCACGCCCAGGTAGCCTAATTACTGAAGCGATCCACGGCGAGACGGCCCGGTGGCCAAAGCCGCCCCGCCTAGTACCGACTCAGAAAATGTTAAAGTATAACTTTAGTTCTTGAAGTGTAGAAAACGAAAATAAAGCAAAGTCACTAAAACAAATTCTTGATTGGAGTTGAAGATTTATTAAAATAAACGTAGAATTAATATAACCACGAAGTTCATGTTTTTGGTTGCTGGGCAACCCAATTGAAGCAAATTAGCAACTCATGTCGGTATCGTAACGGAAAAGAGGTCCCGCTCCAGAGACGCAACTCGGTTTTTATCCCCCCGAACTGACACGCCTCCTCCTCCCCAAAATTGAGGCGTGTCACACAGATGCATTGCGTAATATCAATCCACCCATAATTAGTTTCCGTATTAAAAGGTCCTATATTTCTTGGCGAATTTACCCCCTCGGATATAAGGCGCTCCGGATGATCCGCATCTCTATTCCTCACATACTTCTTTCACGCACCCACCTGTGTCTCTTACATTCTAATCTTTCAAACAAGAGATGCAAATCACCCGGAGACCCAACAACCCTGGAAATTAATTCAATCAATATAAAAAGGGATAAATGTTGCTATGTCCGTCCACACTAGCGAGCCCACATGCTTCTGGCTATTACACACCTGTAATCCTCACTTCCTCTCTCATACTATTTCGATAGTGTGAACAGACCCGGCAACAAGGAAAAACCCTTCCAATTGTAATACAAATCTATTTCCCAATTTGCATAATTAAATTTAAGTCAACTGTGGCGACACGCCCAGCGACACCTAATCCAATCGGCCAAGCCGAAAAAGTAGAGCCAAAATTAAGAGCGCAACGTCTCGGAACAGGTGTTAAAAATAGCATACAAGGAATTCACCATGTATGTTTGTAAACATAGTTCTAGCGAAATCTACCAGGAATTTGCCTTGTACATGTACGTCAATGAACCTTTGAGGAAAACGTAAACACGAGAATATCCATATCATTACATTACAACAAGCACCATCAATAAACTTACCTCTAGCGGCAACACCAATTGCAATCATCGGATGGTTTCCACCATTGAACACACCCATACTCGAAGCTACCCTCAAGTGACCACGCCCAAGAAGCCCAACCACAGCAAGCACTATCAAGAAACTTACTTCCAGCGTAAAAACCCAATGCAATCATCGGATGTTACCACCAGTGACCACACCCATATTCGAAGCTTACCTCAATTGACCACGCCCAGGAAGCCTAACTACAGCAAGCACCATCAAGTAATTTACCTCTAGCGTCAGCACCCATGACAATGATCGGGTGGTTACCACCGTTGTACACACCCATACTAGGGGCTTGCGTCAGCGGCCACACCCATAATAGAGACTTTTCTCCAGCGACCACACCCATATCAAAGACTTACCTCCATTGAACACACCCAGAATAGAGGCTGACTTCCAACGAACTACTCAACAATACAGGTTAAGCTCCTTCCCCCCATTAACCTCGTCCAAGGAGCATAGCTCCAGTAAACATGCTAAAAAGCTTAAGCTATGGTCACAACTCAAAGCGGCGACCGACTGATTTGTAGCCTGCTTTTAAAGAAGTCGAGCAGTCTGTAGAGCACCAGCGATTCCATTGCGGTCCACTTTCGATCTCCCGTCGGCGTCCCGGCGGTGACCGACTGATGACCCACCTATTCCCGAGCGGTCTCCAACCAACAACCGGCTGATTTTAAAGAAATCGCCGGCAGCCGGCCGGGGATCGGCGGGGCACCAAAATAAGCTCAGTACCCGGGCGCTCGCTACCCGGACACCGACTTAATCGAGCGTTCGCCGTCGAGCGATTTAGGGCAGGGACCGCCCGGGCACCGAGCGTATTTTGGACGGCGATTAAAAAGGGAGCAGGCGCCGCCGAATTTTAACTCCGCGCTTAAACTTCAGCGGTGACCGAGCGATGTCCTCAAAACAAGCAGTGCCCCGGTGAAATTGGCTAAAAACTCGCCGCCCGGCCGCCGAGCAGGCTACCTTTGGGGGTTGTGACCATAGTTTTACCTCAAGCATCTATACCCGCACCACAGATGAATGGTTACGACTAGTGACCACACCCATGATAAAGCCTTACCTCCAGCGACCACGCCCACTCCCATGATGGAGGCGGAGTAAGCGACATGCACCTGTACGGCCACGAATCCTCCAGCAGATAATCCACTAACCGACACCTGGTTCCCGTCTGCGCCATATTGCTCTGTTTAGGGAGAAATATATTGCAAGGAGGTTAGGATATTTTGAACATAAGGCATACATAACTATTGACATACGATACATTAGGGGCTTTTAGATTTGACCGTCGACATAATGGACTGCTACTTGGTACTTGGTAGGATTCCTCACAAAGATGCCGTAAATATGTTTAAACTTGAGGTGTGTCGTCATGTGCGGCCACCAACTTAAGGTGCTGGTTTTAAGTTGGGTTTAAGCCCAGATTTAAGGGGGAAAGACTGTTCCAGTCCTTAACTGTCCTTAGGAAGATAACATATAATTGTTAGGCATGTACGTTTGTACGTTTTGTTCCTACGATGTAATCCTCGTAGTTGATGTTCATCAAGTCATGGATTATTTTGTACAAACACACAGTGGCGGATCCAGGGGGGGGGGGGGGACGCGGGGCCCGACCCCCCCCCCCCCTGGGAAAAAAACATGTAAAAACACGTTATTTTTACCTTTGGGGGGATGCCCCCCCCCCTGGCACTGGGGTGCAACTTTTCAAATTTTCGAGAGCCAAAACAAAGAAATGTGCTCACTACCCCCACCCCCCCCCCCTGAGCGAATTTTCAGCCGACGCGATTTTCAAATTTTCGGGAGCAAATTAAAAAAAATAAAAAAAATAATAGTGCTCACTACCCCCCCCCCCCCCCCCCCCCCCCCCCCCCCCCCCCCCCCCAACTGAGCGACTTTTCGGCCGGCGCGATTTCCAAATTTCCGGGAGCAAAAAAAAAATTAAAAATGGGCCCCCTCCCCTAAGAAATCCTGGATCCGCGCCTGCAAACACGTAATACAAGCTTCTGTCTTTCCTCCTGGAGGGTGATCCAGATTGTTTTTGAACAACAACAGTTTTAACGAAACTGAAGTAAGTTTTGTTGGTATCTCTATCTGGAGTCAACAGATGCAATTAACTACGTTGACACGCATGATCAGTAGACGTTAACGCTGTTACAGTGGGTTATTGTGTACGAATCGTTGGGGGAACCAAAGTTTACAAAAACAATCACAGCTCTACATAATTTTACAATCTGTTGATATGATATTCTTGACAAAACCTACAGATTAAAAGTCATTTTTCAAAGTTTACAAAAACAATCACAACTCTACATAATTTTACAATCTGTTGATATGATATTCTTGACAAAACGTACAGTTTAAAAGTCATTTTTCAAACTAATCAAACCGTCAATTCAACAAATATGTTAATAACGTTTTGTTGCATAGTTCTACTGGAACTGATTATACAGTTAACAAATATATAGGGAAATGGCTGAATGTTTTTGCACAGTGTGGGTACAGTCTTCTTCTAACCCTTATTTGGTAGTAACAGTGAGAATTTCTTTGGACATTTTGCATGATTTCTTTTCCAATAAACTGCATTATAGGTACCTTCTCTATGACATTACTATCATTATTATTATTATCATTATTATTGTTATCATCATTATCGTTATAATTATTATTATTATAATTATTATCATAATTGTTATTATTAATATTAGTAGTAGTAGTAGTAGTTGTAGTAGTATCAGTGTTATCTATTGTTATTATCATTATTATTATCTTTATTATTATTAATATTATTTTTGTCATTACTTTTAAATTGGCAATGACAAAATCAAAAAACATTACATACAAACAACGGTCAGATTTGAAGGAGACAAATGGATGCCAGGAAAAGAACGAGATTGATTAAATTTAAAAATGTTTATAAAATCATTAAACATACCTAGCCCAGGAGCAGCATGGCTTGTTACAAACAAGATAGTTGCAAGAAGAAGCGGAATAAGTTGAACAGTCATCATCTCTCGTTTTTTCTGAGTCTTTCGCAGAACAACCTGTTATCATAAAGCCAAGAACTTTCTTGATAATATCAATTTATCTCAACTGGAAAAGGGCAAAGCCTATAAAATGTGTAAATTTAGGTTTCATGTTTTTGTTTCCTTTTCTCTCTCTCTCTCTCTTTCTCTCTCTCTCTCCTTCTGTCTATCTCTGTCTCTCTCTGTGTCGGTCTCTCTCTCTTTCTCTCGTCACTTTTAACTACAAACACTATTCCGCTCTAGCTCTCTCCTTATCCTCGATTACGATTCTCTTTTGAATCCTGAAACACAATATTAAATATAAACTCTTACCTTTGGTCCAAAATAGAAGACTTCTGATCAACAAAGTAGAGCTACCTGAAAGCACAACGACCTTGTACACGCAAACAGACAGGTATGTTGTTTGTGATTGGGCGCTTCTATTAGAGCTACACAGACCGATCGATCAAATTTGGGTGTTGCTATTTTGAACCCCCGTAAGTGATGTTTTCCTGGCATCTACTTACACAATTGAGACCATAAAAAGCAGTGCACGATAACATCTTTTGAAATTAAGTAACAGTTTAATACACAGTTATATCCAGCGTTATCATCATGACGTTTTTCTATGAACATCACATTTTCACTTGGCAACCCAAGGGGGGGGGGGGGGGGTAAACCCCCCAATCCCACGTAGATCCGCCACTGTATCTGAATGTTTGCGTCATATCACCATATGGAACCAATATGATAACCGCGCCCATGTCCACACGTTGAATAATGGAAAACACATAAATACCCGATAATGTAGACATCTGGATGGGAACCCTTTGTTGTTTGAAGGCTAGCAATTTTTTGTGCGTGAACATGGGAAGAAACACATAGCAAGAAAAAACAAACAAGGCAAACCAACCTGTTTTTTTTTTTTATTGTCGCTTACACAAGCGAGTACACATATTTTTCCGTGTCCACATTTCAATCAAAAAGTTCTTCTGGACATTGCACGTTAATAACGGAAACAAAAACCCGAAAGAAAAAAGTTTAAAGGCATTATTTCCTTTTCCATCAAGACTCAAGGTAAATGATAGATTCGTGCGAAAAGGATCTAGAAATTAAATAATATTTTATTTTTTAACAGAAACTAAACTTGAGAGAAAGAGCATATCTTTAAGTCCCGGGGTCTCAGTCATGGAGAAATACTGTAAGCATGCATGGCCACAGGTTTTTTCCAGACACCCCCTAAACGAGATCTTAGGGGGTGTCTGGAAAATTGTACTCCTAAACAAGTATCTTAAAATTGTAACCCCTTGAGCACTTTCAATTGCGATAGGGGTTACCATTTAAGTTGTTGACAATGTAAAATAAATCAAATTGCGCTTCTGATGTAAAATTCACAATGTAAACAATTATTTCAATAGAGAAGCAATAACATCAACCTGTACACTTACAAATGGGTCTAATGCACAATCATCATAAGTCCTTTCTTTGAAACAAAGAATTACATTTCAAATTTGATCTATTTTATATAAAGTACATCTAGTACTTGCTAAAATTACACAATGTACAAAGAACAGTTACTACTCTACTTTGCAACACAAAATATAAGGGACAAGTACGTCTGGATCGGTATAGTGGGCATCCATCTTGATCTACTGAAGACTAACCATAATCGAATGAATGCAAGAACTAAATGGGATATGTGTAAAATAAAAATACGAGAATTTGCCATGAAGTTTTCTAAACAGAGGCAGAAGGAAAAATTTAATCTGTACAAGAAAATGTATAATGAATATACAGAGGTTTGCAGAAAAGTTGACAGTAACCATACTAGAGAAGATATAGACAGAATGCTAGAAATAAAGAAAACGATTGAAAAATGGCACACACATTTATGTGAAGGTGCATTTATTAGATCTCGAGAACGATGGATGGAAAAGGGTAAAAAGTCAACCAAGTACTTTCTCAATTGAGAAAAAAGAAATGGGAAGAGAAAGGAATTAGATTGTATTACAAACAAAGGGAAAATAATTACTGGAAACGAAAATATTCTTAGAGAAATAACTAAATATTATAGGGAATTGTATTCTAAGCATACATTTAATGATATCTCTGATATGAAAAAGTATTTAGAAACAACAAACTTAACTACTCTTTCTGAAGAAGAAGCTTTATTATGTGAAGGACCGATCACAGAGAAAAAATGTTTGGATGCTTTAAATTCAATGAGAAATAACAAATCTCCAGGCAGTGATGGTCTGACTGCAGAATTTTACAAGTGTTTCTGGGCTGACTTGAAGTGTATGTTGATCGACAGTTTAAATGAAGGATTTGCAAAACAAGAATTGTCTGAAAGCCAGAAGCAAGTTATAACATTACTTCATAAAAAGGGAGACAAGCGTTTAGTAGATAACTGGAGACCGATCTCATTGTTAAACATCGACTACAAGATCCTTGCAAAAATGTTTTGTAAACGTTTGCATAATGAAATGGAAATTTTAGTCTCTCCCGATCAGACGGGATACTTAAAACAACGTTCTGCTGTGCAGAATATTCGTCTTGTCTTAGACGTGATTGATTACTTTTACTATGGAAATTCTCCTGGTATTTTGATTTTCTTAGATTTCAAAAAGGCTTTTGATAACATTTGTCATGATCCCGGCCCCCCACTCAGTGTTATTTAGGGTACGCATATGCGTGTTTCAACCGACCCCCCCCCCTTTTCAGCAAAAGTTCCGTGTGTAAAGTCAATACGGCTCGACCTTTTTCTTTTGTATACGAGCCTTTTTCAGCACCCCCCCCCCTTTTCAGCAAAAGTCCTGTGTGTAAAGTCAATACGGGTCGACCTTTTTCTTTTGTTACGAAAAGGACATTTTGGCAACACGCATGGGGTCCGTCCGTTCTCGGAGTGGGGGGGGGGGGTGGGGCCGGGGTCATGATTTCCTATTTTTGTTATTAGATAGATTTAAGTTCAAAGAAACGTTTAAACATGGGATGAATTCATACAAGAATTAAAGGCCCACTGCACTACTTGTAGCTACTTGCGCCCTCTATATAACAACCAAAGTCTAATCGGTGACCATTGGTCCCCCATGATCCTCTTTTTCTTATGTTAACTGAGAGCTGAGTTGATGAGATAACCACCTGTCCAGTGACCTTGCAGAGCGCTCTAATCCCTCCTGTAAACTATGGCAGATAAGCTTTAAGAGTCGAGAATGGTAATACGAATCGTCTTCTTTCTCTAATAATTTAATAAAACGTCAAAGCTTCTGCGCTTCGCGCAGGAGGGGGAGGGGAGTGGGACAGAATTCATACAAGAATTAATAGTCAAGAATGGTAATACGAATCGTCTTTTTTCTCTAGTGATTTAATGAAACGTAAAAGCTTCCGCGCTTCGCGCAGGAAGGGGGGGGGGGGGAGACCAAATTCAGACAAGAATTAAGAGTAGAGAATGGTAATACGAATTGTCTTCTTTCTCTAATGATTTAATGAAACGTAAAAGCTTGGGCGCTTCGCGCGGGAGGGGAAGGGGTAAACTGAATTCAGACGAGGATTACTTTCGAGAACGGTACAACTAATCGTCTTCTTTTTCTAATAATTTAATGAAACGTCAAATCTTTGGCGCTTTGTGGAGGAGGGAGGGGGAAATCGCCCCTCCCTGCACCCCCCACTCTACGTCAATGCAGGTCACCATTACGTACCGATATTTGGGTCGCATAATTTCAAATTTGGGCCCCCCCCTAAGAAATCCTGGATCCGCGCCTGGTGTAGAGCCTTTCAAGCGTTGGGAGCCCCAAAGTTTGATGGTAAAATTTGTAATTGTATCATAATGTGAAAGAGGATCTAATTTAAGACATTTCTGCGAGGGTTTTCAAAACAAATGCGTTTAAAGTGGAATATTGATGAAAGAATACACAAAATTTCTGCGTGCAACAGAAAACCCAAATTATTGTTCTGCTTCTAATGAAGCTAACTTAATATCAGGGTGGACTTCCCCTCCCTGTATTTAATAATGAGCAGAAAAGTGTAATCTATTCCTTTTTCCATTAAACCATTTTTCTTCAACATGTCTCAGCAACAATTTTGTTATATTCTCTCAGCAAAATAAACCAAAATTTCAAATACACACAGGGCGTCTATAGGTTTTTTTTTGTTAACAAAACTTTAAAAAGTTACGCAAAACGTTGTTTAATTATAAAGCTAAAATCTGACCGAACGTTGCCTGCCCCCAGATATCGATTTGCACAATCATGGATTGTATGTACTAATTCCAATCATGTTTTCACTCCGATGGATTGATTATACTCCTTAGCATATACAATAAGCTACAATAAACACACCGTTTGGAATAGTAAAATTGTAAGCAGGTAGGTTCTTGATTAGCGCACGACAATCAAACATTTCTGATTATCATAATAATTAAAACACCATATGGAAAAGAATCGTAAACAGGTAACCTTGGGTTCTTGATTATAAAATTGTGCATGGCAATCAAACCTTTCTGATTATCATAATAATTAAAACACCATATGGAATTGAATCGTAAACAGGTAACCTTGGGTTCTTGATTAGTGCACGGCAATCAAATCGTTCTGATTATCATAATAATTAAAACACCATATGGAATAGAATCGTAAACAGGTAACCTTGGGTTCTTGATTATAAAATTGTGCATGGCAATCAAACCTTTCTGATTATCATAATAATTAAAACACCATATGGAATTGAATCGTAAACAGGTAACCTTGGGTTCTTGATTAGTGCACGGCAATCAAATCGTTCTGATTATCATAATAATTAAAACACCATATGAAATAGAATCGTAAACAGGTAACCTTAGTTTCTTGATTATGTGCATAACGATACAAACTTCATGATTAAAATATTACTACAAACACCTATTTTACAAACTTTTTAGGTACTCTTAAAAAAAAAAGATTAGAGATAAATGAGGTAAAAGTAATAATAGTTGTACAGGTTAATGCACAGGGAAATTTCAAGTCTATTGAATTAAAAGAGTGTATAAA